TTCCTATATTTGTGTTACTTTATCAGCTAACAAGATCTGTATTATTCTCGGTTACGAAAAGGGAAGAGTATCATAACACATCGTACGCCACTGACAGCGTGGTTTTGTATCGACAAATACAATGCGAGTGGATCGCCCCGTTAACAGTGGGAGACGATGTATATTGCTTCCGTTTTGGTACCGGACTCATTGAGTGAACTAATCAAGTTTCACAAAAATTTCACTGAATTTAAAACTGTTTATAAATTCTCATCAACCTAACGAATATCGCTGTTATTCCATGCAGTACTTCATAAATCTCTCAAAAATATGAATACGATCATTACTATAATTACAAAGGGAAATACATATAAAGAGGCGAATCACAAACGCATTGGTGCACGCTCATATAACATGTAACTTTTCAGTTGTTATACAGATTGTAGATAACGATTTATCATAAATTTATAGCCATTTTTTATTCATCCAAACACATGGTCATCAAAGTATATCCTCAGTACTCGAACAATATCGTACGTCATCACAGCTGATTATAACCAACAAGTCCTCCTTATGCCTCCTTTCAGGACAAGGTCATTAAAAACCGCGTCAAGTAGGTTAACTTTCTTTGCACTTCACACGCAACGCTGTCATCGGTTCATAAATGGTCCGTCTAAGAAAAAGGTAAATGGGTCAAGTCAGTCAAACAGGCTCGTGCAATTAAAATTTGCATATTTAGCACGATTTTGTGCACAGTTTTGGAGATTCTCAGAATTTGCCACACGACCACACCTAAAATTTTACCCCAAGAAAAAGATATCGCTGAGGAATGGTTTCTGATGTTTGTGGTATACACACTAAATTTTGATTGAATCTTGTTCTGATGTTATGAATGATACGCTTCAAGTGTTTCTAATGTACTAGACCACTATAAAAATGAATTCGTCTGCAATCTAAAGGTTGAGCATTCATATAGAAAAAATGACCACCCACTTTAAAATTAATTTTTGGATGACATCAACCTTTTTGTAATTATTATTCATAACTCCCTACCAAACCAAAATTCAGAAAAGTAGTAGAAGGTAGACAAGAACATAATAAAGATAGCCTAGACATTATTTGTCGTATATGTTGGAATATATTACTTTGAGAGTATATGCTGTTATATTATCTAGGCCTGATAATTTTCTTAATTTGAATTCATTGATCATTGTCAATGGAAAACTAATAGAAAAACGGCTTTCACTGTATATTCTGTAACACCGTGTATGCGAAAAAACTGCTTATACCTAATAACCCTCCTCATGCTTCTCAATTTGCGAACTGTAACGCGGCCACCACCACCAGCATCAGATCCCACATTCGGGAGTGATTTAGCGTCCCAGGCGACGCACTTCCTCCATGACAAATGACGTATCAAGGTAATTGATGAGGCAAATTTGTAATAGGCGATCACTCCCGAATATAAAGAACGCGTTATGGCGCGCGTGGCATGGAACAGATAATGTTGTCGCAGCGTCTACGTTACCTGCTTACCCAGTGTCGTTATCATCATTATCATCGGAGCTTTATTTATGGCAGGTAAATTTGGCACGTGCAGAAGGGGGACGTTTTAGGTAAAATCCGTTTTCGAATGATTCATTTTAATCAGCCACCGTTCCGCTCACTCTAGTCTAGTAGTTCCTCCACCGCACCCTGCAACCCACCGTGGACCAGTTCACCAGTACACGCAGTGTTGCCAATTCTACAGTTTTAACTGCAGATTCGCAGTTTTCTGTAATAATATGACAATTCATTTCAAATTTTGTCATTTTTATGTCACTCAAGGTCAACCAGAGTCAGAACCGCTACGAAAAGAACTTGATTCAATTCAAGTCAGAATAAGTGTGCGATTCGTAAGCAATATATTATTTTTTACGAGTATCTATCGCAGAAAAATGTCAAAAAATGACAGCTGATCATGCATGCAAAAAGCAAATTCTTTTTGAGCGGTTGTGGCTCTGGCTAGCCTTGAGTGAATTCGGGAAAATTTGAATGGATATTCTGTCATTTTTATGTCACTCACGGCCAACCAGAACCACAACCGCGCAAAAAGGAATTTGCTTAAGCAATGCAAAACTGTCACTTTTTGACCTTGACTCGTTGAAAAATACTGTAAATAGAAGAATGATAATATTCGAAAGCTTATATAAATAAGGCCTCCTTAAAACATTTAGTTCTCATCAATAAATTACTCCAAACATGATTCAGGGTGCAGTTATAGGTACAAAATGAACAGAAATAACATATGGCGAGAGGGGATATACTAAACAGACTAATCCATTCAAATCCTTGACCTCTAGCTATAATAAACAACACTTTCAATAACGGATAACTCTGCGGAACTGCAATCAAATACGACAAAACGGATGAAACCGTCCCGGAAATCCTAACTTCATAAACGTGTAAATAACGCTTTATTCACACGAGCACGGGTAAAAAAACAAAAAATCGTAAACAGCCTACCTCGCATATTTTCCGGGAATCCTAAGCGGCTAGCAAAAAACGAGCGCGGGACGGCAGAAATAAGTCGAAAGAATGAAATAAATATGAGGACAAATAGAAAACGGGTTCTGCTGTTTGTATACAGAGCGTTTTAAAACATAGGGAATATGTTAAAGGATTTTTGTATTTTTCAATTAGTGCTTGACGATTAGAGGATTCACAAGTGGGAATGCAGGTGCAGTTCTTAAAGATTTCAGCTGTTTGATGATACAATAATTTAATCACAAAATGATCAGTTTCTCGGTTTGCCTTTTTGGTAGTAACATGAATACAAATTTCACGGTTTTTTATGGATTCAAATATTTAATTTAGTAGTATATCATACAAGTTTTAAAAATTTGGGATGCTAGATAAAAATAACAGCATTTGAGCTCATTTAGACAAAAAAATATTGCGATGGCCACAAGCTGACTTTGGAATTCAAGCTGGACTCATTGGCGTATCGTATAGAAGAGGAAGGAAGGTATATCAATCATCTCTCCCCAAAAGCCTGTTCAACGTTGTTCATGCTTTAGAAATTTAACATAGAATATAAAAAAAACGTTTGAGAAAATGGAAGCTTCCGTTTTTACGTTTTGATATTCCGTTTTCTCAAATCCTTTTTTGGCCAGAGAAAAGCTTGTATGGCCACTCTCAGTCGTTCGCTATTCATCTCGTCAAGGTAGTGCGCGATGCATTCCGTCATGGTGCGTAGCGTTTTGTTGGTTTCATACTAGAAGGTGTTTGCCAGCTATATTCTGACCTTCAACAGCTATAGAAACCCTTTTGATTGTTTTTTGGGAGAGTACTGAGGAATATAATATATTTTCATTGACCACTATCAATACAAGATTGCACGATTGTACATATCAATAATCGATATTAACCGTAAGAAGTTCTGATGATTTCCGTGTATATATTGTACGAAAAAACAATTGCTTTAATGTTAAGTCTAATTCTACATTTTGTATATATTTGGAATATTTGAATAGATGTTATTTAGTGTAAAACACAATAAATAAAATTTTAACATTGTACAGCATTGTATCATTAATATCCAGGCCATTATTGCGGGTTTAAACAAAATGAAGCATCTTACGTCGATATCGGAATCGATTGTTTCACACTGTTTATTGCTATCCATAGACAAATAATAAGGAAGACACGTGCCTTACTTTACAGAGGTGATTAAATTGATTCAGTGGACAAATTCATGGATTATCTGTCAGTATACAGTGCTGCCAACCACATAACAAATTCTTGCTAGAAACATTTTGGGTTTTTATATTATGTATTGTAGTTTTGAATCTCATAAACAGAAACCATATTGAATACTGAAGTTTTATCCAAGTTCAATACTTGAACTGAAAAGTTTTTCGATATAATGGAAATGAAAACAAGGTTGGCGCCATGGAATTTTATGCCGAGTTTTATGCCCAAAATGGCAAAAATTAAAACAAGTTCTAATTTCGTGAAGAAATTCACGAATAACTTCATGGATTTATTTGACTTCTAAAATTTGGTCATGAACTCGATTCTGTCAATTTCACATTTGACATGAGCGACGAGAGCAATCATGATGTATTCCTTCTCAAATTGTAACGTTTTAAAAAATGCTTTTAGTTTGTACCCGGTGAAAATTGATAATATTTTATAAAGAATTCGTTCATTTTACTGAGGATGACTATCTATAAATAAAAAAAGCATATACTGTGAAGCGGTTCAGTGGAGTTTTCGGGAATAAGTGGAGTGTATGGCAACAGTGTGCGGCAGAGGGTAGGGAGCGGGCCTGCCAGGCGTTGCGATTTATCGCCAAAGTGGCTATTTGATGGCTTCAAATGGTGACTAGAATGGGTAGCTTGGCGATTGGCTACTTCAGCAAATTGGCGAGATCAGGTGATTTTTAACATTCCTGGCGCCATTTTATTCGTAATCTGACCAATAAACGGTGCGGCAGTACTGTGTATGGATTAATGAAGTTCTGTGTTCTAAGAACAATGGTCAGATGTCATACGGTGTTGTCTCCATAACAATGACAACACATCCTTAAACTTTCATCACAATGTTGCTAGACGTACGATTATTACCGTTTCTGATACTAAAAGGCGGTTTATTTTGGTAAAAAAAATCATTTAATTCACCGTCATCATTCCACATGCTACTACTAAATTTGCAGCAGTAGCTGGTTGTGGGCGGGAAAAATCATCACTCGTTCCCGACATATTTCCATCAGACCGCTGTCTTTCATCTCGACTGAGTCATTTAAATCTTAGAATTTACTATCAGAATTTGCAAGAATATCATTCAGTTCTTTCTCTGTAAATGGTTTATTAAGTTTCCAAGACATTTTCACTCATTTTAGACGTGAACAACCAGCTTCCATATTATCCGCCATTGTCCACACTCACAATTTAAAAGTAAACAAACACGGTCTGTCGAAATCAGCTAGAAGCGCGGATCCGCGCCCGCCGCCTTTCGTGAAACATCAGTCGGACGAACTCAATCAATTGTCCATTCATGGAGCATGATTATGCTCATCAATAATTGTCAACAATTCCATCCCAATGTTTAACCTGACATTTTATGGTTAGACTCCTAGTAATTTTCACTTTTAAGGGTTGTCGATTTTCACATGAAAACTGGGCGACCAGCGTGACTGAAAAACTGGCAACCCTGTAAAACGGAGTCAGTCCTCCATACGCCGCGTAGGATTACGGTCGGTGGTTTTTATTTAAACTAAGAACTAAATTCTCGGTTCGACTTCATTGTACTATTTTAAGTTGTGCGCTATTAAAGTGGCTTAAAATCTCGCTACCGTCTCGTTGAATCCACAACTATGAGAAAAATTAAGGAAACTTCCGAATTGTTTCCAACTCTTACCTCTGAAACTGGTGTTTTTTGAATTAATAATATGTAAGTACAACGCTATGTTGTTTATTGCACCTTTCTCGTATAATATTTATTAGTATATGAAACCTATAAAAATGTTTAACAGCATCCTTACAAATATACAAATGATCGACGAAAAGTAATTAAAAATATTGTTAATTCGGGGTGATCAAATGTCTTAGGCCCGTATCGTCAGTCGTCCCTACAATTGTAGGGCGCGTTTATGGCCTCCTTGATTGTCATACACTTTTCTCTCCTTCAAAAATTTCTAGATTACACTCGTCCCGTGTCAGCGTCAGCGCTCTCCTATTATGAAGATATGTTTTCTTTTTAAATTGTAGGAAATTTCAGGCTGATAAAACATGATAAAACATGATATAACTAAAAAGCAAGCACAATTTGATGCAAATAGATGTTTGTGTCATAACCTCAAAATAGAGTTCTGACACGGAGAAGTAGAAAACTATGACAATCAAGGAGGCCATAAACGCGCCCTACAATTGTAGGGACGACTGACGATACGGGCCTTAAAGTATTTGTTAAAGCCTTTGCTTTGGTGGCTTTGAAAAGTGATAAAAACACAGTATCTTCATGGTTTCTAAGCATGCTGTGTTCTTAACTAATAATTGTATAAATGCTAGATTCTGTAAAAGCAAAAAAAATAGATTTTCGGTGTTACATAATATTTAAAATATATATTGTATTTTATCATCTAAATATTCAGACTGACGATATCTCATTTTCGCATTTTTTGTACCTGATGCGACAGTATACGTACATACTATAGAAAAACACGCTGAAATAATTGTCGGTAGAGTTCGGTGCTAGGCGTCGCGTTCGGGACTGCTTCGGCGAGTTTTTTTAGCAATAGTACCCGCTGGCTAACAAACACGATAAACAGCAGATAAACAGTGAATCTGCCTCTCCGTGCTAAGTGTAGTTCGGTAGTGAGTGGTGTGGTTGTGGTGAATTGAGAAAACTTCATACTCTTCTGGAGACAGCTAAATGCCTACCAAAGTACCCATTGGTGAGTCTTGAATAGTTTTCTAACTCTTTTTAGCTAGTTTATTGAAGACAGTATAAACATCATCCAAATAAGGTATTTCCCGAGTAAAAACAACCGTTTTTTAGAAAATGCCGCGGAAATATTCAAGACGACGCCATGGAAAACGTTACACCTGCATGTTGCAGGTATTTTCGCAAACAGTGAAAGAATTTTTTTTCTATTCTAGGTATCATTGTCGTGTCGCGCACTCAAAAAATATCACCATTTGATAATGTTTTGATAAAATTCATTGTTCAACATTTCTGAACCTTCGTCTTAACTGCAAGGGCGGATAAAAAAAACTGTTTGGGGCATGGGCGCGATGTTAGAGGCGATTAAATTGTGTAGAGCTTGTAACAGAATTGTTTCACGATTCTCAGGCCTGGCAACGTAATTTTACACTAAGGTACAGCCATAAAAAGGGTGTTTTCAAAGTTGAGTCATTTATTTTAACAGCAAAATCTTGCTCGGCGAATCCACAACCCTGATAGCATGAAATATCTACATACTGAATATTTTTAAAAAATGTTTGCTAAATATTTGTAGGTACAGATTTTTAACATTTGATAAATATTTTTTTATATAAATATCCATTTTAGATATTTGTGGTACCTATACGAGCCCCTTCCCACTTCAGTTGTCCCACTTGAGGATTTGTACCAAAATATGCCGTTATAAACTAAACATGACGAAACTATTTACTTCTAAATCAATTTATTTTCTCAAAAACATTTCAGATACACTCTAGTCGTAAAAAATACATATTTGAAATCACTTAGACCTATAACTAATAGAACATCTGAACAAATAAACAATGTGCGACTAAATGCGCGAAGTTAACAAAGAAACAACTGAAAGGTTACCCCATGGGGTAACATCACCTTTATTTTTCATTACGGCTAAAATTCTTTGGGGCATAGTGTTAACCAAGTTTTGGCAAAAATTTGGTGTAAAACAATCGCGTATTTCTTGAAGCTTTTGTCTCAGTTCGGTGATTGTACGAGCAGGATGTTGTCGTAGAACCTTTTTCATCTCGTGCCACAAAGTTTCAATAGGTGACAGATCTGAACTGCTAGAAACCCATTTCAAAAGTGGTACATTATTTTCTTCCAACCATTTTATAGCCTTTTTTGAGGTATGGCACGCTGCACCATCTCGCTGGAACACAAAATCTTGGACGGATGTCAAACATTCTTCCATCACTGGTAAAAGCGATTCTTCTAAAATTGCCAAATATTTGTTTGTATCCACATTTCCATCAATAAAATGAAGTTTTCCTACTCCTTTTGATGACATACTGCCCCAGACCATAATGGATGCTGGAAATTTCACTTTTCTCTTCAGACAGTCAACATGGAATGCTTCATTTTTTTGCAAATAACTCCAATGCGACTGTCACCAACACAAACTTCGAATCGGGCCTCATCACTCCATTGTATTGCACACCATTGTTGAGGTGTCCATTGTCTATGTTCTTTAGCCCATCTAAGCCGATTTTTCTTTTGCAGTGGAGTTAATAGTGGCTTTTCTTTGGCCTATAAACAAGTTGTGCAACTTTAGGGTTTTTATTTCACTTTTTTTTATAAGAAAACTTACTTTGCAAGTGCTAAATCCCAGTTTGTGGGCCTCTCTATGAGTTGTGGACCTCGAAATTCTCCTTCCAACAGCGTCACTCCACATAGCACTTAATTGTAAATAATTGGCACGCCTGTTTTTCACGATTATTCTTCTTAATGCTCTTCGGTCGGCATTTGTGATATTACTTTTTTTCACATATCGTGGCTTAATATTAACTGAACCGGTTACGTTATATCTTCTAACAATATTTCTCACACTGTACCGCGATAAGTCTAACAAAATTGCAATTTCTGAGTTTGATTTCCCAGAATTAAAAAATTTAATTATCAGGGACCGAATTTTCTCACCAATAACCTTTCCTCTACCCATTTTGAAAACCTTAACTACCCAAAACTATTTTAAACGTATTCTGACAGCTGTGATTAATAAAAACAATTGTCATGGATTTTATTTTTCACAGCCACCTATGCGTTATAGACTTATTTTGCATTGAAATGAAAATAGGTTGATATGCTGTAATTGCAACATGTGTTATTTTTATGCTGCAAATTTGATTAGGGAGTGATAAAGTTGGTGTCTTCTACTATCTATATATATATATATTATCAAAATATTCATGGTTAATATTTTAAACCTATAACACCCTGCTACATTTTAATTATTTGTGTTTGATAAGAAAAAAACTAAGATTTCAATAGTTGGGCCAACTGAAGTGGGAAGGGGCTCGTATATAATTTATATATATTTTCTCGATATTTTTTCCAAACATTTAGAAAATATATGAAGAAAGATTTTTAACAATCAGTTTTATATTTTGATGAAATATCTGATATTTTTCGTAAATCTTTAGGAAATATATGAAGCAACATATTTTGAAGCATTAATTTGATAGATATTACCAGTGTATTCTTGAAAATGATTCATTCGTTATTTCAGCACAATCTGTAGGAATGCTTTTAGATGTAGTCAATGGTTTAATTTTCTAGAAAAATATCATTAAAAATATTCTAGGCCTCTTCTACGCCTTGCAAATCCATTTCCTTAAAAAAAAAACTTATGAATTATTATGGGATACATAAGTTGCTTTCCAGTGTTTTTTTTTTTGTTTGAGAGTGATATTCTCCTGAACTGCTCTAAAAAGTGTACATACTAATATGGAAATATAAAGTGTAGTGGAACAATATGGGTGCTCACTGCTGAGTTACTCTAAGTAACTCAAGTTGGTCACTAACTAACTAAAGCAGCTCTATAATGCATATACTTTTTATGGGAGTTCCAGATTTGCCAATTTTTATGAAAATTTGGGATCTTTTAGATATCTTGATGAAAAACGTCCATGGAGATAACTTGTTCCTTAGACTAGCTTTCAAAAAAAAGTGTTTAAAGATGGACCACTTGTTGGTTTTGCTGAAATGTGACTTTTTTGCAGTAAAAGGATGCTATAATTTAGCTACAACTATTTTGAAATGTTATATTATAATTCATTCATCGATGACAGGCACAATTATTTGCGAATGGACACCTCTGCCTATTTTTTTTTCGACTCTTCTTGTAAACCGATCTCAACGAGTTTATTTTTTTTGTAACAGTCTCTTTATTTGCCTTACGGTCTATTTCTTGGTATTTTTTATAAATTCCTCATAGGCGAGGTTTTTTTTTTATTACGGTCACTATAGTCTTTATTTTCATTTTTGGAGTAAAAAGAAGCGAACTGACGTGGAGCTACTCGTGAACTGAGCAAAGATCCGACGTCTTGTCTGAACATGAGTCCACACGTTTCGTTTTGTCCTATCAGTTCTCGCAAAATGATGCTTCTCCCATCAGTTTTTCAGTCTGACCCTGGATTTCATTTCGATTCGGCAAGACCCACGTTTTGCTGTTTACGCGCCACGTTTTATTGGATAGGATTTGTCCTGTCATACAAAACGTACAATAAGACGTAGCCTTCACGTAGGCGACCAAGAAAGATTGAGAGGTGGAAAGAGGCGTGGCTAAATTCCAACCAATGACGACACAGATCGACGGTAGCGGTACCTGCGTACTGCCATACGCATATGCTGCGAACTAACGCGGACTTCAGTCTTTAGTTGTCGGTTGGCGCGAGCGGAGGCCGGTGCGTCGATACCTCCGTTCAACGCTCTGCTTCTGTCGGCGATTCCCAGCAGTGCTATAATGATGATTTGTCTTAAAAGAGTGGACTGTAATTGTGTGTAAAACTGTGACGTGACAATAACAAAAGGCGAGTGACGCATATCTTTGCATTTTGACGTTGGATATCGTGTCTTCTCCCGATCTTTCTGAAGAAACTAAGTAAGTTATGCATACTTATCTACTTGTGTGTTAGCTTTGAGCTCATAATATCAAGATTGACTTATTGAACATCAATTACCCCGCCTCATGTTTTTTTTTAAACCAATATATTTGGCATAGAACAAAATTATAAAATCTCTACACATTCAAATCCTCTAAGCAGTGTGTCAAACAGTAGTACCGAGAATACTAAATACAAAAAGCATCCCAATTGCGCTCACTGGATGTGAATGTGAATACATGTTGATCAAAACTAAAACTGCTGGAAGCTATAAGGCAATTCCCAATCAATAATATTAACAACAATAAAGTATCAAAAGGTACTAACAATGCAAGATGGAAAATTATAATCTGTTGTGAATAAATGTTTATTAACAAAAATATTATAGTCTTTGTTTTGGGTAGATTGTTGTACACCTTGGAGGCCTGAGATGGGGGTTATTTAAACCTAGAGGAGTGGTTACATTAGAATGAAATATCCTTTGATGTGCTTCTATTATTATAATCATGTACATCTCTGATAAAAAGGATCTACGTGTTACATTTCAAAGTTTTCATTACTTACTTCATTGTATATATGTTTACATTGCTCTAATTCTGAAAGACGTTTCAAATCCAAGATGTTTAATTCCTTATAAAGGTCTGGCATGTGCAGTCGATCAAAATTGAATAATATTTTCAAAGCTTCATTTTGGACTATTTGCACTTTAATGAAATTACACATGTGGATAGCTGAGTGAATGTTTCATTGGGCATACACGAGTTGTGTAAATATATCGTAGAGGTTGAATAGCATCAAAAGAATGATTAAAGTCCCGATTTATAGTAAGCAGCAATAAATGAAAACATCAAAATTTTTAGAGGGTAAGCATTGGAGAGTATGTCATCAAGAAGGTTGGTTTTGAACTTCACGAACCACTGAAGTATAGATAGAACTGTTGAGGATCTTATAAATGTTCCTAAGTTGAACATTTGTTCGATTGGAAATGTAGGTAATAAAATTAAATATAGATTCCTAACATCAAGTAAATTACAGCCGCAAGAGGTTTTTTTTGGTAGAGTTTTCCTGAGATATCGGCTTGCTTTCACTTTAACGTTAACGACTGTCCAAATCTCCCACCTGTCGAATTGGTAGATGTTTGATAGAGCTCATCAAATAATATGTTTGTTGATCTGAGTGTACGTCTTCTAGAATTGTCCCTTTTAAAGAATGAATAACCATCTTCCTGACCTCTCGGTCCAAAAGTATCGTTCGATAAAGCAACTACTCTGTGCTTGGGTCTCGAGGAAGTAGACCTAGTAAACTTTCTGTTCTTTAACGCCTAAATTCTTAATTTCCTTCTGGTCATGATTCCACTAATTTCGCATACAGTGGCTATTTAGATTTTACTAATTATGTCTTCGTTATAGATCAATTTAGTATCTTCCAACATCCTATTAATACTTAAACTGTCTCAATCTCTTTATTGTACACATCTTATATAATTTATCTCTCTATTTCTTCGATATTCGATGAGCTAATCCTTTGAATTGAAGTTTGAATTTCTAATTAATATAACGAAATCAAGTTCATCATTGATATTTAGGTACTTACTTGGCTGACAGAGTAGCTCAATTAAGCAACCCAGTCATATCTTGAGAGTTAATAAACGGATAATCTTCAACCCTCGATAATCAGTTGTTTCATTTTATAGCCAATTCCACTCGACCCCCAGGCTTTTGCTTGAGTCTAAATGAAGTGTCTAGAACAGTACTAAAAGTGATAAGGCCATAGCGTTTGAAGATTATTTTGATCAATTTTCAAATATTAAATATGGGTGTCCGAAAAATGGACGGAGATATTTTCGAGGATGAATCCTTGTTCAAAAATTGAATTTTTTTTATTGGTATCTTAAAAAATATGTACTCGTTCTGTTGAAATTTGGTAATATTATTTGCTAATTTATTCCCAAATGGATTAAAATTATTAGGTCCAGTGGCATCCCGAGGTGCACCTTAGCGAATATTATTGGCAAACAAAATTTACGCTACTGCCTTTTATGTAACTTGGTTGTTTGATTAAGCATCTAAAAATACAATTTCTTTACCTCTTGTATTTTTTCGTACCTCACTTCGTTTTCGAGAAAAAAATTAAAACCGTTTAATTGCATGTCACTGTACAAAATTGGTTTGTGAATTTTTGCGAAAAAAATCACAAGTGCAGTGGAAAACAAAAAAATATTCTGCATGGAGGTTCGACATTTTCGCGTCAGTTCAAATTTCAGAATAATGGAGTAAATATTTTTTAAGACATGGCTCTGTGGGCCTGTTTGACTGACTTGATCCGTTCAATTTCTCTATTTTACATGTTCGCGGCTAACTTTTGTTTCAGATGCCGGAAATAATCGTTTGTGAAATGTTGAGACGCGTGAAAGTGCAGAGTCAACCTACTCGACGGTATTATTCGTTATTAGAGACAATCGGCGAGCATATTCAAATGTGGGTGTTTGCAATTTATCCAGTTTAAAAATGTTTTTGAAGCTCATCATCAGTTTATTTCTTTGTCTTACAAGAAAAATAATTGTAACATTCGCATATTAACTCAAAACTGGAATTCAACTACAGACTTTTAAAATATCGATGTTTTCCTGGCTCCTCCCTATTCCAAATTATGCATTTCTCGACCTGCCTTACTGGTATAAATAAAGCGCTTGATATTAGAAACAATCATTTAATAAATAAAAATTCTCTTCTCAAACATTACAATAACTGTATAACATCCATAATTAAATTAAGCCTTATAGAACATGTCATTAGTTCCACTCATTGTCTGAATTCCCGTGATCGGTATTTCTGGCTAACATGTAGTTGTCCATATCGATAGATCGACAATTATTGATCGAATATCGAAGTTTCTCGGCCATCACTTCTTTGCTTGTGTACGGAGGCAAACGCAATTGGAAAAAGCACGTCTGCGCTGTTGGCAAGCCGTTCGGCGCTTTGTCTACCTTCATCACCTGGAACAAAATAAAATAACTTAATAATATTTTCAGACAGAGAAAATAAAGTTTTCATCTTAATTTGTACTTGGCGTCGTTTTTCGGAAATTTTAAACATCGTCATTAGACTGATAATAGAGTTCTCCATGGAGATAAGTGGTATGGGCAGAAATAAAAAGGGTGATTCACAAGTCGTGATCAGAAGTGAAACATCAAGCACAGGACCGCACTTTTTCTGTTCAACTTCGCGATTTTTTTGAAAAGAATCTAGAGAAAAAAATGAAAAAGTGGCTCTATAGCAACCCTGTGGGGTTTTGTTTTCAGGACGCTATGAAAATTTCATTCAAAAATATCAAAAAATATAGCGTCAATTTCGAAGCGCGCAAACCTCTACAAATCGTATTTTAGACGAATTTTATCTACTGTTTCGTGCTGCCAACCCAAGCGTTGCGGCGCAATGTGTGGACTAAGAAAGGACGTATTCAGAGAATTTGGTGGCCCTATTTCATATAATATCGTATAGATAAGTCGTTCTGCAAATAGGTGGACTTTGTTTTTAGCACACTGCAAGACTTTCATTTGGAAATAATAATAAATGAAACGTAAGCTGTGAAGTGCAAATCGGTTTTTGGGCGAAATTCGTCTACTGTTTCGTTTCCTCAGCAGATGGTGCTCGTGATTGTAGGAGCCCCGTTAAGGGTACCAAACGTTATACGAAAAATGCGACGTTTTCGATCGATATACACAAGCCCCGGATCAAATGCCAGGACAGTCTGCGTACGGTTCTTCAAATGTGACATTTTTAAAAATTTGTAGAATATCGCTACTTTTTAAACTGCACCATTTTTTTATGAAGTTATCTTTTGTTATTCTTCAATCAGTTTTACAAGATATGTTCCCAAAGTATGTATCGTTGAAGAAAAGCTATCAGTGAAAAATTAGTACAGTTAATATAGGTATAGCAATTAGCTGACCCGTAATTTTATCTATTGTCAAAAATATTACGGCATATTCAGATAGGTTTGTAGAAAAAATTAGTGGTTAGGTAAACTGTGCTGAGGAAAAACTCCCGCATATTATGGCCTTCCGAAATACCTTTTAAGTATAGCATAAACAAAGTGCTGCAGGTATCCTTTGATATTATTTTGGGTTATAAAAGGGTTATGGAAGATGTGCCGTATTACCTGACCCGATAACAGCTTTTGTAATAAAAATAGGAAAATATACATGTATGGGATATTGTCTATTTAAAAATCCGAGTGGATAAGAGACGCTTCAAAATTTACCTGAAACCTTTGTGAAAGATCCGCCAAATTCGCGGGCAACCTCGATCTTCCTGATACAAATCGCATGAAGAGTACCTTTTCAGTGTCCGTAAAATTCTCTAAGATATCCCACAACCACTGCACTAACTGGTGATTTTCGTCAAGCTCGCGATACCTGCAAAAACAGACATTTATCAAAGTCATAACATATTGTGCGAGGTTCTGGTAATGCTATCGAATCAAGAAGCTTGATGGAAAGGGAAAATATTGTAAGAACAGGAGGTAATCTGGAAAGCTAAAGTAGATGGCGCTAGTTAGGTACCATATTGTTACAGTTTGACGTCAAACCATTCTAGCACCGCCTAGCACATTGCAGCAATTCCAATCTAACACATGTGATCATTAGTTATCATTGCTGATTTTCAGTTTGTTTTGAACCGCCACACGGTCTACTTATGCAAAAACCTAGCAAAAATTGAAAAATACGAGTCAAAAATGAATGAAAATTTCTATGCTAATACCTTAAACAATAAGTTGATAGTTTTTAGTGCTCTTATTTTGCTACTTCGATTTTGCTCATAAGGAAGACAATCACTCTCCTTTATCTAAATAAGAAATCAAAAAAAGCAAATAGCCTGTCATGCCTGCTAGTAGTCAATACGATCAAATTTCCACGGTTCACTTTAGCGGTCATAAGAGGTCTTGTTATCCCAGCCATCTTTATTTGCTTTCGCTGTCAAAAATAACGTAACGGACGGTATAGCGTTCTTTATTTTAGTTGCACTAACGGTTCTCTAGAAAGTGTAGAATCCCACCGCTTTTGACAAATATCAGATTTAACAGTAACGTACCTCACAATTTTCTTCAAAACAGATATAGAAATCTGCGCCAGTCCGCAAACCAACTGTTCCATGTGATCAGCAGTGACAAGTGACAGCAGCGGTACAGGTATCAAACCTGCCATTCCTTCCTTTATAGCTGCCACTTGAAGGTTGAACTCCTTCATCCGGAATTTGATCGCTAGCTCGTAGTATTGCGCCCGGTTTTCGAAAGTTAGTGGTATGTTGCGACCACCAGGAACTATAGGAACAGTCTGCAAAAAAATCAGTACTAAATTCTTCATTCCACGGAATCTTACAAGTAAAAATTTGTCAATATTTGTCTGACTGACTGACCTGTTTCACTAATGTCTTCAAAACGAGAGGAACTACATCTAATTTTTATCGTGATCTTTTATTGAAAGTTAGAAATTATGTATGAACATTGATATACAGGGTGGCCCAACGAAAAGGTCGTACCCCTATTTGTGACTCTCGTAATTAATTTTCATTTCTAGGGGGCCGTCTTTTCATCTATAGCCGTACAATACAGGGTGATCCAAAAATAAGATATTGTGTTACACTTTCGATTTAAATTTTTATATTATCCATGAAGTTTTTAGTAATTTTTGTATAATAATAAAGTTTATACCTATCATTATGAGGGATTATATCGTTAATATAATAATCAATATAGCTCCCATAGTATCAAGACTGCTAGCTGCTAATTTCTAATAAAATATATTGAAAAAATAAATCAGCGAATTAATCTAAGAAATAGGTAATCTGAAATGGGCCGAATTTGTAGACGAATCTCTCGATGTTGTCATGTCAACAATCATGTTTGCCCTGTATCTTGGAATCGCAGAACTATATTTTTAAGACAGTCCAAATATCAGTCTTTTGAGTTAAGGAAACTATTGGGAAGCAGAGTAATCCTAATAACTGCAAAGTAATCGAAATCCAATCGCAAATTATTGTTTGCTTACCTTGCCGGTACAGCTGGTCCCCTCGAACGTTTCCAAAGGAATAATCTCATGGAAGTATTCAGCTGTGACTCCGGACAAGTGTATGTCTCGAATACTCCTCAAGCTCTGCACGTACATACAGTCCACGTCTTCCAAGTCTTCTACATTGACAGGCTCACCGACAATCAGTTTCCATATCATCGGAGCCAAGGGAAGCGCTAGAGGTTTTTTTGTTCTAATTGCTACTCCAAAAAGTATACCTGCAAACGAAAATTGTACAAGGCGGAGACTTTGGCGCAGACTTACATAGGGTGCTTTTCAGAAAGCCTATTTATTTTATGAACAAGTAAAGTTAGCTGAAATTCGGGTTAAAAATACAACTTTTTTGTCTCCTACGCATATTTCTTATCTCGCTTCGTTTGCGAGATAGAAAATAAAAAGCACTTTATTGCATGTTTCAGATTTTACCTGTTTTCGATAAAATGAGTATATGATGTTTCATTTGGCCAGAAGAACATTGAGGGTTACGTAAAACTACCTTAGAATAGAAATCCTAGTGAACATCCTTCAAAAATGGTTATGAAGGAGTGTTTCAACATTATGGGAGACAAGTTATTATTGTTAGTGAATCACTGTTTGTGTATGGCGAATTTCCTTCAAAATTAAAATGTTCTACAATTATTCCTGTTCCAAAAGTGCAAAATTCTGGGTTATCTACAAACATGCGGCCAATTAATGTACTGCCAGATGTCGATAAGCTCTTAGAAGGAATCATATATGAACAAGCCAGTGAAGATATTGAAGAAAATAAGATATTGACAAAATTTCAAGCAGGATTCAGGAAAAAGTATTCTACTGAAACAGCAATTCAAATGGTAGTAGAAGAATGGACGCGAAATATGGATGAATAAAAGTTTACAGTAACATTGTTCTTAGATTTCAAGAGAGCATTTGAGACTATTGAGAGGGAGAAATTGTTATCGAAATTGCATTGCTATGGATTTCAAGGTTCAGTATTCAACTTATTACAAAATTATTTAATCAAAAGAAGTCAAAGAACTAAAATTGACAATACATTATCAAACTTTAAAAACATTTCGGTAGGTGTGCCACAGGGTAGCAAATTAGGTCCATTACTATTTATTTTATATATTAACGATATTCCTGATTTTTTACAACACTGCAAAATTCAACTATTTTCTGATGATACATTATATATATATATATATATATATATATATATATATATATATATATCAAATAAAGACATTGAAACTGCAATAGAGCTGTTAAATCATGATATGAAAAACGTAATAAATTGGTTAAATGTAAATAAACTTAAACTAAACACAAACAAAACAAAATATATGCTAATAGGAAAATGTTTAGATCAAAATCAAAATCTTACAATTAATCATGAAAAAATTGTGTCAATCGAATCATTTAAATATTTGGGCATATACGCAGACAGTAATTCAAAATTTGAAGGGCACTATGAATAGATTATTTTAAAAATAACCAAGAAAGTAAATTGTTTTTTTTACAAAATAAAGCTATGCGAATTTTCTTAAATAAAAATAAGAGAATAAATGTTTATGCTGAAAGAACTACAATGGTTAAATATCAAACGTATAGCCTCCTTGGTTTTGATTTTCATATTCAAGTTAAAAAATCATCTTCTACCAAATCACTTGGAGAATTTGATTGTATTGAACAATGAGTGCCACAATTATTCTACTAGAGGAAGTATAGACTTTCATTTACAAAACTGCAGTAGCAATATAACGAGCAAGTCAGTATTTCAAAAGGGATTGTACGAATTTAACAAATAATTAAGTAATGATATCAAGATGTGCGTCAGTTTGAAAATGTTCAAAGGAAAATTGAAAAATATCTCATGGAAAACCAGAATTCATAGTAGTGAAATTTTGTATAAAAATATGTAGTCTTGAAGACATAATATATTTTGTGGTATTCTGTGTAATATGGATATTACAAACAAACAAAGCTTGGCACTCACCCAAAAACTTGAACCACGAAATATGCTGAGGCGACGTCAACTGCGGATTAAGCAGGTACTTGTCCCTGTTGAACCCTTCTTCGTTGAGCGCGTTCGGCGTCGGTACCAACAGCGGTACCACCCCATTTGTGATCTCTTGGCACATCTCGGTGATGGTGTCGTCGAAGACACCTCCAGCGTCGTCCGCGCCCTCTCCTACGAGTTTCACTTTCCATGCTCTGGAGGGGAGTCGGAGGTCTTGGGACGGGAGGTCGACTACTTGCTTCGCGATTTGGACGAAGATAGGAGTGCATTTGTGCCCTGGAATTAATTAAATACACATGTTTTTGTATCGCTGATACTGATAGGGGAACCAATTCTTATTCTAAATTCGGGTGAGAATTTGGGAATTGTTATATTCGAGATCAACGCCTCAAATTACGTTATTGGACCAAGTTTTCTTTGCTGGTAATCACAGAAAACGATAATGGAAATTTACCACGACAAAGACGTTCGAATTTCTGAAAATTCTCCCTGGGCCACATGATATTTCACCATTTTTGCTTACCGCGCCTACTGAAGAAAATTCTGAAAATGAGATATTATGGATATTATTAATCACTTGACGCCATTTTTTAATGTAATATTGTAACTTATGGCTAAATAAACACTGATTCTATTCCATTCTAATGTACCATGTGGATAACCCACTTTGACCAACTTTGCACCAAATATCAACAGACATTTTAAGCCCTTACCTTCCTGAGCGATTCTCCTGACAACGATCTGCGGTCCATAGTTTTTCCCCTGCACCATCGTCTTGCCGATGCATCTCACGAACGGAAAGACGTACACCCTGGGCATCAACAGCGGCCTCAACCTGGGCGAGATCAGTCCCTCCAAGGGAGGCACGTGCAGATCCTTTTGCTGCTCGCACATCGGCATCAATGTCCAACAGGAATACAGTTGGTCGGAGACGCTGCAGAGAAATTTGAGACGCGCGCGGATCTTCGCGGTCGGCAAGCCTTGCAGGAGGTCGAATTGGGGCGGGATGTCTTTCGGAGTAGAGAAGGAGAGTTTGTGGGTCGAGCCGGCGGCGTCGTACACTACAAAACGATTTGTGAAAAATTGAATTGCGAATCGTTACAAATAAAACATTCTGACAAAAACTTCACAAATGTCAAACCTTTCGGCATCTGTGTTACGTAACTTGAAAAATGCCGTTATATCGATTGTTTATGAGATTATGTAGGCTTTTTGATAGTATTAAGGTTTTCCTATAATATGTCACTTTTGATCAAGCAGTTTCTTACTTGTAGAAGGCGTGGAATGGGCTAACGGCTACCTAATGCACAAGTTGACATTTTACAGATTTTTTTTGACATTATATAGGTTTTTACTTCCTTTGGCAAAACTCCCGAGGAAGTAATGGAATCGCGAAAAATTTCGAAATTGAGATATTATGTTTTTTGGTTGTTATATGACGTACATCACGAAAAACCATATCACTCATTTCCCTCGGTCTGTCTGTCTGTTTGTTGGTCTGTCCTCTAATTTTATAATCGTCTATAACTTCAGAAGTACCGCTCGGATTTTGATGAAATTTTCACACAAGGATGAAAAAGCTTGGTAGTTTTTGAAAATCGATCTAATGGTGGCAAATCTAGAGGCAAAAACACAAAGCCTCTTCGTTTTTGACATTTCAGAGGCTACTGATCGTTTTCGACAAAAAATTTGTAGGAGTAGAAACTTGAGGGCATGAAGTTGTAGGGAATAGTAAAAATAGTAAATGTAACATCTTTAGTATTAGTCAAAGACAAATACAAATATTTGTATATGTTGTGTATTTGGAGTACGTACCACTAATAGCGTTCTGTGATACTTTAATAAATGATGATTAAACTGTTTTTATATCTACACATCATATATTTTTCTGAATTTTATGATCCTTAAATGAACCACCCATTTCGCCTTACTTATCTTTAATTTGTGTTATTGCGTCTATGATAGTTCTCTGAATATTTCGTCAAGTAGATTGACTCAGTACCTATGACGCATTGATATACAACTGACAAGCCGACATAAATGAGAAACACGGACGTCTACGATGCAGATATCTTTAAGCAACAGAAAACTTGTGAACCGGAATTCTATCGCGAGTTTAATACGTTCATCGTTTAGGTACTCGTAGACGTTGAAAATTGATTCAGATACAGCGGAAATAAAATCGCTGGAACATAGTGTTACAACGTTTCTTATTTTCAGATATTTTTGGAGGGGATGAAAATTGTATCCATTATAAAAACAAGCGCAGAAAAATAACCGGGAATTAGTTCTGAACTAGTTCGAAACTGCTTGTTGGAACAAACCTGTGATCATGTGATGCTTTCCGAACTAATACTGACTAAACAGTTAGTGTTCATTAAGCGTTCCAACAGTCAATAATCACGTTCATACTATCCCATTGGCCTGTCACTTCAAACTACTTAGAAACATTCACACGTACAATGCGTTTGTTTTTAAATTGAACCCCCACTCTAACTTTTTTATATTGTATATGAAAGTTATAACGTCTAATATGAAGTTTTTCATGTAATATATACTTGTATATTAAAAATATACAGAGTGCTCCATACAAAAAAAGATTTAATGAAAAACTTCATATTAGATCCTATACCTTTTATATACAACTTTTTCTTCTAGAAGGTTACATAAAAAAGTTAGAGGGGGTCAACTTACAGCCGGACATCTCCGTACATATTTAGTCAGGCTCTTTGGGCTTAAACAAGCACCAGGTTTTGTGTGACCGCTTTAACGCCTACACATAAAACGGTAGCTTATAGAAACTAGTTCAACATACCCGGATGCCTTCTTCTCAATGAGGTAGCAGTCCACGCGGCGCTATGCGTCCTTCCAGTCGAAACCTGCCTGACGCCAACTCCACGCAACTCTGTGATCAACTCTGGCTCTCTAACTAGCGATACGTGCGATAAACCTAGCTGACCCTCGGTGTTCATGCCCCAGCCGAAGACACTGCCGCAAGCTGTTAGAAATAGTACGTGTTCCGTACCTACGGCGAAATCTTCCACTACGTAGTTCGCCAAACCTGTGATAGAAATTACAAAATACACTCGGATGCAAAATAAACCCAACAAGCAAAATGTTATTCAAATTCGTAACGTAGTAACTTTTTTACTTTTAGCTCGATTTCATTGATTTTTTTTTGACAGGCATTAATGTGTAGATATAAGTTCTTGATTGTAGCCACCGTTTGACTGCCTTCTAGTCGTTTTCGAGTGCCTGCGCGGCTGCGTTGGAGTAAAAAACTATTTTTCGACACGACTATGGATTTCAAGGTTCAATATTCAACTTATTACAAAATTATTTAATCAATGGAAGTCAAAGAACTAAAATTGACAATGCATTATCGAATATGAAAAACATTTCGGTAGGTGTGCCACAGGGTAGCAAATTAGGTCCATTACTATTTATTTTATATATTAACGATATTCCTGATATTTTATAACACTGCAAAATTCAACTATTTGCTGATGATACATTAATATATATACATATATATATTAATAATTAATACATAATAAAGACATTGAAACTGCAGTAGCAATATAACGAGCAAGTCAGTATTTCAAAAGGGATTGTACGAATTTAATAAATTAAGTAATGATACAAAGATGTGTGTCAGTTTGAAAATATTCAAAGGGAAATTGAAAAAATATCTCATGGGAAACCAGAATTTATAGTACTTAGTGAAATTTTGTATAAAAATAGGTAGTCTTGAAGACATAATATATTTTTTGATATACTGTCTAATATGGATAATATCGACATTGTAGCATTAATGCTGAATAAATGTGAAACAAACAAACTATGTCAAGATTCACAAGAATAGATATAAAACTAACTTGCTAGCGTATGCGGCCTATAATCCGACCGCTCCCTGGTGTGCGTTTGCCATGGAGCCCTGTCCACCCCGCACACGTACACCTCGCCGCGGACCGTCAGAAACACCGTCAGATTACTACCACATCCGACCTTCTTAATTCCTATATTGCACATCGTTTCGACTAGTTGCGGTGTCGACTTGGTGGTGGTGTGACCTAAGCCTAACTTGCCGTAGTCGCCCTCGCCGAACGTCCATACGCTCATCCCGTCTTGGGAAACGCACGCCGTATGGTTCAGGCCGCATGCCACTTGGCCGATTTTTTGACCGTCCAGACTTGACACCTGAGAAAAAAATAGGAATCAGAAGTGCTGAAAACTAACAAATAGATATTCGCTGGGTGCGCGATGTTATGAACATTAATGGCAATAAGAGACATTTGGGTCTGGTTTTGCAAGTGACGTGTTATTCACGTCTGTCATGTGACGTCAGTATGTGACATTAGGTCATTTTAACGATACTTTTACGTATGACAGTTGTTGACATTTCAAATTAAATTGGTACCTACTACTGCAAAAATATAAAAGTGCGTGGGTACCATACGATTTTTAGTGTTCCAGACAGTTACAAAAAGTGGTGAAGATTTCTGTGGATTGCAAATATATATATATATATATATATATATATATATATATATATATATATATATATATATATATGTATATATATCCTTTAATTTCTTTGGGTAGAAGGCAAAGTATTGCATAAGAACATTCTTACAACTCAAACTCGAGCTTTCGAAGGTCTATACCCTCGTCGCCTGGAGCTGGAAACAATTTTTGAAAAATAGTAACAATAAACAATTAGGAGGAAAAAAATATATAATTACCTACTAAGTCGGCGAGATTGTTGCTTGATTAAGGAGGAGATCAACGTTCGATTAGGACGGAATTATTTTAATGTTATTGAAAAATGAAAAACCATAGCGATGTTTGCCGGCCGGCACGTGTTGGATAATGTGGATAAAATGAAATCTCGAAGGATTTTTCAATAGTTGATAGTTCTTCCAAATCAATCAGTTTTTAATGAAAAAAAATTTTTTAAATATTTCAAAAAGACAACTATGATTTGCTATTTATTAATAAAATAATTCCGTCCTAATCGAACCTCATCGGCCCAGTTCTTTATTCGTCGACTATGTGTTCCCTTCACTGTTGTTTAAGAACAATTTCAGCAACAATCTCGCCGACTTAGTAAGTAATTATATATTTTTTCCTCCCAATTGTTTATTGATGCTATTTTTCAAAAATTGTTTCCAGCTCCAGACGATGATGGCATGGACCTTCGAAAGCTCGAGTTTAAGCTATACGAGTTATACGATATATATATATATATATATATATATGAATTTTTGGCGTTGCAAAAAAAAGGCATGTACCTCAATATTGGGCTTTTACCTGGACAACTGTGAGGAAATTTTAATCTAATTAATTTCATTTCTTGTTTCATTGAGCACTCAGTCCATTTTGTGAAATAACATGATCAGACCAGTCGTAAATACTTCTTACCCTTTCTGGTAGCTTGATATTTGTTGTAGAGCCATGACCCAGCCTTCCGTAATCTCCATTGCCAAAAGTGAACAGCTTTCCGTCCGCTGTCACCACCGCACTATGCTTGAACCCGCAAGCCACTTGTACGACTTGTTCCAGTTGCAAAGCCTCGATTTGCCTAGGCCTTCGTTGACGATCGCTGTTGCCATGGCCTAGTTTGCCATAATCACCGTCGCCCCACGAAAACACCTGAAAAATAAATTAATCAAAAATATCATTTTTGAGATTGTTAAAGACCAGGAAATCGCAGTAAAATGTCTGAACTCCTGAAAATAGTTATTAACAACTTGCGAAAATCTTATTGTGGCAATAAATGTATTCAGAAGAAATCTTAAGCGTATTTCCATTGTTCCCCAGATTTATTTTCTAACGAACAGATAGTTACGTATTTAAGGTAGCACGTGCCTTTTTTAGATTTCTTTTCAACTTCCTATTTGCAGTAGTATTCTAAATTCAGTTCATCTGATAATTTCAGGGTGTGTCTAGAGATGACTAAAAAAACAATGTTTTCATTTTTTGTCAGAAAATGCATTTTTTGTCAGAAAATGCATTTTTTGTGCATTTTATTCTACATTCTCTCTTCCATCGGAACTTATTAAGAAATATGAGTACAGCTCTAAAATTGTGTTCGAATATTCCCCGTTTATGGAAGAATGAAACGAGTGATAACTTTTGATCTTATCTCTTTTCCTTTTCAAAGAATCTCCGATTTTCTTGAAGCCTCGGTTCGCAGGAAGTTGGGTTTTCAAGAAAAGCAAAGAGGAATATTCACGCACTATTTCAGAGCTGTACTCACATTTGTTAACAAGTTTTGAAGAAAAAATGCACAATAAAATGCGCAAAAAGTGAATTTTTTTGACGAAAAAATGAAAACATAGTTTTTTGGTCTTCTCTATACACACCATGAAATTATCGGATGAAAAGGATTTAGAATAATGCTGCAAACGGAACGTTGAAAAGAAACCTAAAAAAGGGACGTGCAACCTTAAATATTTGATGGAACTTTTGAAAATAAATAAATATAAAATTTCCACACTAACGACTAACGAAGAGCTATGAAATACCGCTGATAGCAAATGCTGTCATCTTTTCGCCACAATTGCATAGCGAATGAAAACTGGCATATACCAAATTTGCCGCATATCCGAAAAATCCGCGATCTAGATGTCAGCCATCTGAAAAAATGAAGGAGTGCCATATTTGACATATTACCTCGCCGCTTTCTGCTAACGCCAAACTGTGCCCATCTGAACCAACAGAGGTAGCTAGGTCGACTATGACGAAACCTTGCAAACTTGATATGATGCTCAGGGAATGCAAATCGTCAGAATTTCCTTGGCCCAATCTTCCGTAGCTACCTTCACCACACGCCAATACTAGAACAAAAAACGTATATTGAAAAAGGCCATCGAGATAACCGAAACGTTAGTAAATCTTCGTTCTACATAGGCGGTTTTATTAGGCGGTCGGTGAAATATAGAGCTTCATGTACGACTTAGTTACTTAATAGTAAATTCCGCCTTTATAGACAGATATATACAGTAGTGGCCAAAAGTTTGGAAAGAAATATTAACATTATTATGAACGATTTCATATACCTAAATTAAAATTTTGAAGGAACAGATAATATAAATATAATAAGGTTTATCTCATCAATATTCAAATTCTCTGAAATAAAACCACGCGTTTTTTAAATATCACAAAAGTATGGAAACATTTAAGTTTTGCCGTATTTATTCGTTCTGCGGATACTCTGATATTGCGTGCGGTAAATATTAACATTAGTGAGAATGGAAAAAGTAAAAGAATTACGAGACAAGGTAATTGAATTATCTTTAGAAGTGGTGACAGAAATGTTGACATTTCTCAAAGACTAAAAATGAACAGCAACATCATGGTTGGGGCTGTTTTTCTAGGTCTGGAACGGTTCCAATTGTTAAGAAACTTTACAAAGATATTCTTAGTGAACACTTGCTCCATTTTGCTGAAGAAGAAATGCCTTTATGATAGACATTCCAACAAGTTAATGACCCCAAGCATACCTTAAAATTCGTAAGGGACTGGTTAAGACTAAAAATGTTAAAATTCTTACATGGCCTTCGCAATCGCTGGACCTTAACCCTATAGTACATCTCTGAGAGCATGTTAAAAGGCAACTGTTAAGAAAAACTTTTAACAATTAAAACGATTTACTTAATTTTGTAAAAAATATTTGGCAAAATATCTCAACAGGCGTCTGTAAAAAATGGTGTGTTCTATGAGCAGCAGATGTCAGGCAGTGCTGAATGCTAAAGGCTATGTTACCAAATATTAGCTAAACAGTATTTTTTAAATATTTTTGTACAGTTACTGTATTTAATTTTGTGATAAAAGATATGTTTCCATACTTTTGTCGTCTCATTTTTGGACATAAAATAATATGAAGGTAATAATAAAGAATAAAAAATTAGCGCGCTTTTTGAAAATTACTAAGAATATTTCCAAACTTGCGTCCGCTACTGTAGTTCATTTGACCATTTTACAGAATGTTTACGGCAAGTCAAAATATTTAGAATAAGAAGTTAATATGTGGTATTATAGTAATAAAATAAAATAAAGCAAGCAATTCTTACACGTATGACTCACTAAACAAGTTAAACAAAAATAATTTATATCAAACGATGTATGAGCTATGGATTATTATTTGCTTCTATGCAGCAAAAAATGTGGCGACCGATTAGAAATGCATAAACTTCATTCATATTTCTTAGATAACATCTCGTGAATGTACCAACCTGTGCCATCTGCTTGTATAACGAAAGTACAGTTCTGACCACACACGATCTTTTTAGCTACGGAGAATGATTCCACTGCAGCTGGTACTGAAGCACTGTACCCCAGTTCAGCCAATTGACCATGCCTAAAAATAATAGTCATACAGTGTCTGTCAGAAAAACCAGGTGCTCTTTAAAAAAATCAAACCTCACATATCTTGAAAGCGATTATCGAAGAAATAGCTTTGTTTTTGCAAAATAAACAGTCACATGATTTTTTAATATAAGTAAAACCATCCAGATTATTATTGGTATAATTTTAGTTATATCCATATTTGGAGGCCCACCTGTCAGATCCCCAAAGGTATGCTTTGCAAGTACCGCCTATCTGCCAATCCTGTGGTCTATGTACCGCCCACTGTATGATTTGTTCATCTTGTTTGATCGACCAGCAAACATTCTGTACTTCTGATGGTTTTGTATCGTCATCGATTACTTCTCTGATAAGGTCTTCCTGTACATCCGTTCTCCTATAACGATAATTTCATAAATAATTAGCGCTCATGTACTTGAAAATTCCAAAGCAAAATTAAAATATAAAAAAGCAGATAGTGTATTTAAAAATACGTGAACCACTAAACAGTGTTTCAACAGACACACTGGAGGATGAGTCTAGATATTGTTATGAATTTTCATCATAACACTCCAAAAAACTTAGGTCAAGTCAGTAAATTTGTGAGCGATAAAAATTTCTTATAGTAGGACGTTTTCTCGTGGAACTGTTATAGGTGAAGATGGGGATCCAAATCTATGCCACATGCAAGTTACAGCGTTACTTACTGGTTTGGTATTCAAGTTAAAAAATCATCTTATACCAAATCACTTATTGAACAATGAGTGCCACAGTTATTCTACTAGAGGAAATATAGATATTTCATTTACAAAGCTGCAGTAGCAATATAACGAGCAAGTCAGTATTTCAAAAGGGGTTGTACGAATTTAATAAATTAAGTCATAATAATAATAATAATTCTTTATTGCCCAACAGAAGCATCCATTTATAGGACAATATAAGTGAAAAATAACAAAAGTGTTCATAAAACATACAAAAATAAAATATTTAAATGTAAATAATTGTAAATACAAAATAGAAAAAAAATATTTAGAAAAGGACGACTACCGTTTAGACTACCATTAAAGTATGCACATCAAAAGTTGTATACTAAGTGACACCCAGTTTAAATGGTTTTATTTTAATAAAATTTTGTATAAGTACTTAATGAAGCATAATAAGTAAATGATAAAAATTTCAAAATGATTGCACTACTTTAAAGCCCTTTGACCTTTAATAATGTGTGGATGCACCCTGATGTGCTACGCATTCTCCAATGCGCCTAGGCATGCTTCTGATCAGGTGGTCAATGTCCTCATGTGGTATCTCATTCCAGGCAACCACCAACTCCTCTCGAAGTGCTTCTAGAGTCTGAGGAGGACGTTGCAAATTGAGCAATCTCCTACCCATCATATCCCACTCGTGCTCAATTGGGGATAAGTCGGGAGATCTTGGTGGCCATGGTAACAATGTGACTTGACAAATCTTTAGACATGTCTCGGCGTTATTTCTTTTAATCAGCGGTTTTCAAATGAACAAACCTTAAATTTCCAAATTCAACATACCTTATCAAACTATCAGACATACGTGCTCCCGAGCTGAACACGTGCAACCAGTGATAGTCCTGGATCACTTCAGGCAAATCATTGAAAGGCCGTAGCTTATAGCAGATGACCTTGTCAAGGCCAAGAAGAACAGCCAATGAAGCTAAACTCTTCAGGTAGATAGAGTGCATCAGGTGAGTTCCGATTTGGACGGACAGACGTTCGTAGTCGTGCTGTTCTAAGAGGATCTCTGGTAACAGGGACGCAAATATTTTGAAGAAAGGTACTGGGTTACTTCCCTTCATACCTAAAGAGAAAATTCCACTTTATGAAAAGACAAAAGTTGGCATACTTTTCTACAACGTCTCGTGATCAATTTCATCTAGTGCGAGAGGCTTTCGCGGCCATCATCCAATATTTTTTTCAAGGAAAAATGTTTTACGACAACCCAAAAACCAACCAAAAAATAATAATTTCATCTAGGATTGACCAGCGATATCTAGATTGTAGATCTATGTAGTAAAGCGGACCTTTTCCAATAGAAAGGTTCGACATTTTTCGTATTTCTCTTATTTTAATTAAAATCGAGGGATTTTGTTATTAAAAAACGGTCGAGGAAATTTGAGTGCAAAATATCAATATTTACGTCGACGAAAAGCATTTTAAGGATCGACGCGAGGCTAGAAAACGTACCTGTACGCGAGGCTAGACCGCGTGACGTCAGTAGCCAGATACGTGCTGTCACCCTAATAGAGCACTTGTATCTTGTGTCTTGTATACGAGTGAAGAGTATACGAATACGAATTTATATAAACTCGGTCCGACGTTTGTGTACATTATTTATTTGTGTTAGCACAATGCTCTAAGGTTATCAGAAAGCTGATTCGCGAAATTTTCCCCATGTGAATGTGGAAATGGTGTACGAGTTTTTGGCAAATAATGCAAATTTAAATGAACCTCAGAGCAGCGATGTTAAAGTAGTTCGGTAAGTACATATATGAAGCTAATTTTTTTTTGTTTAGCTCCAATGGGTAGTATTTTTTTATATTCCTCCGCAAAAACTGATCCTGCTTTGCTTTAGTCTATTGAAAGCTAATAATATTAAGACATATGCTAATAATGCCTGCTCGTGACAATAATTTTGAAGGCTATTTATCTCTGCTTTTTTCTTCCTAGGTAAAATATTATGGAATTTAAATTATCATACATACCTTTTTACCTTGTTACGCCTATTAAGAGCCTCGAAATGCGTTCTTTTTGCATGCATAATGATGCTTTATTACACTATTCTGAAGTAAAGTATAATATGTTTTCAATGAGAGAAATTCCAGGGATGTAGAGAGAATCTTATTTTTTTAGGTTCTTTTGGGGAATACTTAAATTAGGAGGGGGCAGTCACATGATAGAATTTTATAGCTACTAAAATAACAAAGTTTAGGGCTGCATTCGGGGGATGGGCAACGTTGACTAATATTGCGCTTAGTACATGTTTAACGTGGAAGAAACTGATTTTATATCCTGTCGAGCTGCGTCCAACCACTTTTTACGTTGTGCGGCAGCTTTTGGAACATTCACAAAAAAATTTTGTGGTGTTGTCCTTGATGTACTTGTACATTTTGGCACAAAACACCACTTTCTGTTCGACATTTGGAGACTGTCAAAGTTCACAGAATTTAACAATAATCTATCGTACCAGCTCTAACTACTCCAAACCGATTACTGGGGCGTTGTTGTGACAATTCAAAATGCAGCGGGCGAGCTAGCGAGGTGTGTCTGGCTACCGACGTCACGCGATCTAGTCTCGCGCACAGGTACGCTTTCCAGCCTCGCGCCGATCCTTGATTTTGAAATGCATTTAGTCGACGTAAATATCAATATTTTTGCATTTTTTTTATAGATTTTTAATAACAAAATCTCTCGATTAGAGTAAAAATAAAAAAATGGCGAGCCTTCCTATTCTAAGAATATAATTTTAGTACTTTTGAAATCCGATAATGCACAAAGAGGCCAGTAAGACTTTCAACAAATCATGCTTAGCGCTGTAGGGAATACGCATTAGCAGGTTAAGTCCAAGAGAGTTCATTGAATTGTGTAAAGCATTACACTAGACAGTGCTTTGTGATAGTTAACGCAATGCCCTGGCACTCATCGATATATTTTTTAGAAAATCTAGGAGAATCAAGGAAAATTTAGGAAAGCCAAGGTACAGCCTTGAGGCTCGCTTTATATACAACTCACCTTTCCGCAACAAAGTACATCTAACAGACGCCAACGGCAGATCTCTAGCCATATCTTTTGTCCCATACACTGCCAGACAGATGCTCTTTGTCCTGCAGAAAGGAATAGCCAACGCGTCGTTGACGTTCAACCAAACCATGCCATTTGAGTTGACTCCTCCTGAACCTTTGATGGTGTGCACTAAAGAGGCATCATGAAGTGACCAAATGTTCACTACTCCACTTGGACCTAGTGATTCAATAAAAAAATAAATAATTGTTTTATCAAAACTTCGTGGCGTCAAATTTAAATTCCACCAACATTTTGAAAACATTTCGAATATTTCAAACGTTTTCATTCTCAGATATCTCCCTATAAGTTTTCAAACCTCATACAAAAAGCATTCACTAATTTTGCGTACCTTTCAAAGATCCGCTAGCTAGCATCAAACCGGTGCCGTCAATTGTCAAACTAGTAACGCTGCAGTAAAAGTGTCCTTGTGCAGAGAACATTAGCTCTGCGTTTTTCTCAAGCATATGTCCTTCGATGGGAAGTCGCCATACGTTGACGGTACCATAACTGCTGCCTAAAACAAAAAAGGAAGTCAAGTAGATTGACTAGGAACATTCCACGTTTGGTAGATTAAATCCATATTTCGGATTTGGAATCCACGCACTCGATTGGAAATGACAGTCCAGATCACAGATACACAGGAGTTGTTGGACATTTTTTCAGAATATGAAAAAATATGTAGAAATTTGTAGAGGAAAGTTCCAGTTTTCGTTTCCTGTCATTACGAGCGATTGAAACTGTAAATTTAGGAAATTTGGAATGCCGAATGCAAATATGACCACCAAAAACTTCGCGTGGCACCATCTGTCAGCATGAAGTTGACATCGGATTAGAAATATACGTATCCAATCTGACACGAACATTTGAGGATTTTTGAAAATATTTCTATGAGGCGCAAAAATTCCAGTTCCGTGCTATTCAACTAATTCGTATTTTTACCGGAGTTACATTTATTGAATAGAGAAAAGATAGGTCGTCAACCGACTCAAAAAACTATTTTAGAATCTTGTAAACTAGAACTTTGGCGTAAGGATGAGACGTCCTCGCAACATCGACGCTTAGGCAACCAGAATTACGCGAACGTGTCTAGAGCGCGTTCAACATCCATCTGCATAAATTTGTAATAAATTAGTTACAGGTGTTGCAATAAATTAGACTATAAATAGTAAAAACGGTGTTATCGTTACATTATTTAGACAATGAAATAACGAAAAACCACAAGTGGATCGTCTAAATTTTAAAGAACAAGACAGTCACACTTACCTATAGCTAGCAGCAACGGCGTATCACTATTCCCAACCACAGGCGACCACGTCAAACTGACAGGTTCATAGGGCTGCATCATAACCTTCACTAACGCCAACTTATCATCATTCAACTGCCAAATCTTGCACGTCATATCCACAGAGATTGTGGCCAACAGCATACCCCTAGGGTCCCACTGCATGCCCGAAATGGAGTTTTCATGGGCTTTCACCGTGATGCTTGTGGTTTTATTCAACCAACCCAATTTCAAGGTACCGTCGAGGTACGAGATAGCGAACGGTTGGTCTTCGTGATGCCAGTCCATGTGCGTCACAGCTAAAAATTTCAATTCAGAGATCACTTAACATAAGGTGATTTGTATGTTACTAAAGTTGTATTCTTATGATCTAGTCCGGCTAGTTCTATTAAAAAAAGTCACTAGTAATATATATAAATACAATTAATTGTTAATTGGGGAATTGGCACACTTTTTAGGCTTTTTTAAACTCTTGTAACGGTAATCTCGAGCTTTCGGCATTCTCTATGGAGCCTTCTGCAGGAGCTGAAAACACAATTATGATGCTAGCAACCAATACAGGAAAAATTTAAATTGTAAAACAACTTGTTCGTCGTTGAGGTTGCAGCCAAATGGTGTTTCAAACCGAAAACCTCAACGACGAGTAAGTTGGGCTGCAATCTCAACGACGAGTAGATTGTTTTACAATTTAAATCTTTCCGGTATTGGTTACTAGCATCATAATTGTGTTTTCAGCTCCTGAAGAAGGCTCGATAGAGAATGCCGAAAGCTCGAGATTACCGTTAAAAGAGTTTACAAAAGCCTAAAAAATTTGCCAATTTCGCAATTAACAATTAACGGGAGCGTTCGAGAAGTATTGATCGACATCGTATATAACTTCAATGAGGCACGGGAATGCTTTAGAAGTCGTCCATTTCAAAATAAATACTCGGGCGCCTCCTCTAGACAGACAAACAGTCGACACCAGACGATGAGTCATCAAGAGCGCGATAGTCCAGTCGCGGTGGTTATAAATTTGCCATAAATTAGTTGCAAGTGTAAAAACGGTATTTTCGATACAAATCGCCAAGAAATCAATATGATGGAATGTCAATATGAAAACTTATCACTAGCAAACGTAGCATTTTTATGATTGGAGAATCTAAAAATCGAAAAATATGACTTATTGCTTAAGTGAAATAAATTATAATTTTTTTAAACCGGGCCTGTAAACATAATTTCGACAATTTGTGAATATCTGATATATTTAAACACTTACCTGGAGGTAGATTGAAACTTGTCATATGTTCCACTTGCTTGTTCTCTCTACAAATAGTTATCATTGAAACAGTCCCATCAATTTTTCCTGTCAAGAGGTAGTTTTTATCGTTAGTTTCTTCGCCTCTTCTCTTCGGCCAGCACAAGGCTGTTATAAACTGTTTTTGATCTTCAATGAACCTAAAAAATCAAGTTAACCATAATAAACGACGATTGTGTTAATTGAAGGAACATTTCCATTAATCAGACTAACAAAATCTATTTAGAGTGATGATAAAGTTTTTATTCTACTGCAGTTTCTTACCAATCGCTATAGCTCTCAGCCTCGTCCGACTTCTTCATCGGCCATATATTGATAAAGTTGTCTAAAGCAGCAGCAAGAAACTCTCCTGTTGGTGACCATGTCAAATGTCCGATAAGTTTGCCTTGCAGTTCGCTACCAAAAACGTCCGTTGCAATATGAAACACCAACGTGGAATCCAGAACTGGTGATTTACCTGCTTCTATCGACCATATCCTCACCTAAAGGTATTCAAAGATTAATAGAAATAAATAAGTCGGTAGGTTTTGCCTATGGATAAATACCCGACACTTTAGTTGTTGAAGTATCACACTTTGGACAATAGCGTGTTGGTGTATGAGTACTATTTATATTCAAATTGAGATATGAAAAAATTCTTTAATTTTCCTACCGTTCCGTCGTATCCTGAAGATGCAAGTAGTCGACCCTCCTTGTGCCAAGCTAATGTCGAAACCCTGTTGTCATGGGCTGCTAGGTGGATTCTCTTAGCTTTAGGCATGAAGGCCGATATGTCTGCCAGGTTGATCTGATCTGGACAAGCATCTGTGGATATTCAAGCTCTGTACTGTTATTGTCTAAGGTAAAATATTCAAATTGCGGCGACATTTGTCATTTGTACGTTCCAAATATGACAGGAATCTTAGCATCGTTATAGTGTGAGGGCTGTCATTTAATTATGTGTAAAGAAGTCCAGCGAAATATTCGTCGCGTTCCTTCCCCTCAATGAGCGTGCACCTTTACAGGACTTCCAAAACATATTTCATGTAAAACAAGCGGTTTTTTACTTGGAACGTTCTTATCAATTTCCTTCAAAATTAAAATGCTCTACAGTTACTCCTGTTCCAAAAGTGCAAAATTCTGAGTTACGTATACACATGCGGCCAATCAATGTACTGCCAGATAAGATATTGACAAAATTTCAAGCAGGATTCAGAAAAAAGTATTCTACTGAAACAGCAATTCAAATGGTAGTAGTAGAACGGAGGCGAAGTATGGATGAAAAAAGTTTACAGTAACATTGTTCTTAGATTTCAAGAGAGCATTTGAGACTATTGAGAGGGACAAATTATTAACGAAATTGCATTGCTATGGATTTCAAGGTTCAGTATTCAACTTATTACAAAATTAATCAATAAAAATTGGCAGTACATTATCAAACATTAAAAACATTTCGGTAGGTGTGCCACAGGGTAGCAAATTAGGTCCATTACTATTTATTTTATATATTAACGACATTCCTGATATTTTTTTATATATATATATATATAGATCAAATAAAGACGTTGAAACTGCAATAGTGCTGTTAAATAATGATATGAAAAACGTAATAAACTGGTTAAATGCAAATAAACTTAAACTAAACAAAATATATGCTAATAGGAAAATCTTTAGATCAAAATACGATAAATCTTACAATTAATCATGAAAAGATTGTCAATCGAATCATTTAAATATTTGGGCATATACGTAGACAATAAATTAAAATTTGAAGAGCACTATGAGTATATTATTTCAAAAATATCCAAGAAAATAAATTACTATCATTCTTCCTCATTTGTTATATTGTTCGACTATTTTGTTCACTGTATTTTCAAAATTACAGATACCACAAAATAAAGCTATGAGAATCATCTTAAATAAAAATAAATATACTAGAAAAAAAATTTAAGCTGAAAGAAGTACAATGGTTGAAGATCAAAAATTTCATAGCTGGTTTTCATTTTCATATTCAAGTTAAAAAATTATCTTCTACCAAATCACTTAGAAAATTTTATTGTATTGAACAATGAGTAGTAGTAGTAGTAGTAGAAAGATTTATTTAGCACATTTGGCTACATAAACAGAACAATTGTAAACAACTTGTGAGTGCCACAATTATTCTACTAGAGGAAGTATACCTGTAGACTTTCATTTACAAAACTGCAGTAGCAATATAACGAGCAAGTCAGTATTTCAAAAGGGATTGTACGAATTTAATAAATTAAGTAATGATATCAAGATGTGTATCAGTTTAAAAATGTTCAAATGGAAATTGCAAAACTATCTCATGGAAAAACAGAATTCATAGTAGTGAAATTCTGTATAAAAATATGTAGTCTTGAAGACATAATATATTTTGTGATATACTGTGTAATATGGATATTATGGATATTGTAGCATTAATGCTAAATAAATCTGAAACAAACAAACAACTACCACACGCGCATACCTGTCATGGTTTGAATCTTAGTCGCCAGCGATTTGTACAAACGTTGAGCAGCCCACTGCTTTGTGCTATGATCAACCTTTTCAGAGAGAATAAATGCTGCCAGCGCATTTACCAGAGTCAGTGGTCCAGACGAGTCATTTTCTTGAACGGCAGTCAGGTCCGAATCCTCTTTAGGTAGGTCCATTAGAGACACCTGTTGAGCCGAAATACGAGAATTACTTTTCTTGTTAGTGGGCATCGGACAAAAGGAAATCTAAACTGTTGAGGTCTGGGGACCTTGGTGGCCATTCTTGGGGCCCACCTCGGCCAATCCAACGATTTGGATAAACAGTTTGTAAATAATTACGAACCGCTACACTGAGATGCGCTGGTGCACCATCATGCATGTATTACATATTGTTTCTTCATCATCAAGCAGCAAAGGCAACTGTTGTTGAAGAAAATTGAGGTAAGTCTGTCCGTCAAGCGGTCCCGGCAAGAAGAATAGGCCAATAAGTGGATGCAAATAATTCCTGCCCATACGTTAACCGAAAATTGGTGTTGGAAATGGGTTTCGGTTACGGCGTAGGGATTTTCTTCTGTCCACAAATGACTATTATCTTCATCCGTGAACAGAATCATTGATTAGATACCACTGACAAAAGGTCACACGCCTTGGAAAATCAATGGGAAGTAATGCCTGTACTCTTAAAATATGGTAAGGATATAACAAAAAATCCACTAAAATTCTCCAAACAATTTGATGGCAAATATTTAAGTGCCTATCGATCTTCCCCGTACTCGTTTCAGGATGTTCTTCGACTTCGTGAAGCACTGATTCCTCAATTTCAGGTGTTCTCACACTTAGAGGTCTACCTTTGGATGTTCCTTTTCGGACAGAACCAGTCAACAAGACGACGATGAATATTAGAAAAGGTTCGACTATCTGGCAAAGCACGGTCGGGATATCTCTGGTGATAAATCCGTCTGGCTTGCTCACCATTACCGTCGGCAAGGCCACATACGAAATGTCTCCATTTGAATAATTCACCATTATTAACAAAATTCTTAAAACTAAATAATGAAAAAGATGTCACAGCGAACACATTTGAATAACTGAGACTTGTCAGATGCCAAAAGCCAGTGACATATTCCAGAGCAATTAGATATTTATTGCTAAATTGCATTCTTCAATTGTTACATTAATTTTCTCGGACAATAGAATGGTTTTTATCTTTTTACTCATAAATGGCGCATCGAAGGAAAACAATTCTAGAGAGATCATTTGTTTTAAATTGAACGGGTAATTCAAAAATAATTTTTATTTGGCAAAATATCATTGGCGTACCATTTTTTCTTAAAAAATATCGAAGTCAATACCCATACGCACGCCACTGTTAAAGCTAAAAAATATTTTTGCATTGAAAAATATGCAAGTTTATTAACTTTCACTACGTACTAAATATCAGTGAAATATCTGAAGCGGTTCTGAAAATATTAATTAATTTCCATTTTTTCCTAAAATTTCAACACCCCGAGTTTTTGTAAGGAAACATTTTTGGACCATAGTTTATAAAGCAAACTAACATTAATTTTTCATGTAGATTCACACCCTTAAATATTCGCATATCATTAAGGAACACTCTGTATATTTAAGAATCTTTTCATACTTCCGACAATAAATTGTTGTATCTAAAATCATACTTACACCTCCGTGTGTCGACAAAATGTTAACCAAAGCCTGCGTAACGGCGAATCCGGTCTTCGGCACAGCCTTGCCAAACGCCGCCAAAATCAAGTCCTTAGTACAAATGTCCACCACCAGATTGGACGCCTTCGTTTGTTTCAAGGCCAACGCTGCTATGCTGACGCTCAGATAGTTCAGACACGAACTGACGGAGCTTGACAGATGACTGACCAATTGAAACACGTCTTTCGGCAGCTGAAACTCGGAGGGTTGCTCGGGAATTTTGATATTGTTGATTTCGACGCGACGCATTGCGGTTAATGTCATTAGGCGGACGACCTTCGTGATGTCAGAGAGTCCGATAAGTTCGAGGCAGTTCACTAGTGATACGTAGTCGCTGCTCATTGATAGCAATGAAAGAACCTGTAAAGTATCGTTAGATATAGTTTTAGCTATTACGAGGGTTAATCAAACATTAACCGGACCTTTGTTTTAGTAATTTTATTGTATGTACGAAAGCTTTTTACAGCATAGATGAGTTTTTAAATAATGATTTTACCGACTTTGTTCCATAATTGTTGACTATTTATTACTTTGTTTTCGTTTGTTTTTTTTATGTGTTATTTTTGTATTATATTTTATCGTTCTCCAGACGTGTGTAAGGACATTTGAGTACAAACATGAAAAAATGATTAGTATTTCATAATTTTTTAACCATCTTATTTTATTGTTCCTCTAAATTTTAAAATAGTTTTATCAAGTTTTTTTTACCTTTTATTGCCACTTTGTGTTTTACGTTTGTCTTATTTTCGTATTGTTTGTTACTTTTACTTACTCTTTTATGTTCTACTTTAAATGACCTGTGCAAACACATTTTTGTGTAATAGTACCAATAAATTATTATTATTATTATTATAGTAAATACAAGTTTATTTACATCTTATTTTTCTACATAATCTCCTACAAAGTAGTGGAAAAAAATAAAATATTTGCAGAAAGCCAAATTCAATGATATTGCCGCATGGGACTTTGGAATTTTTTTGATGGTCATGTTTGGATGCAGCATCTCACATTACCTCGATATACAAAGTTCTATCAATCTGGAGATTTTATACTTCAAAATTCATAGATACATAAAAACCCTTTTGCATCTATGATCTAGATTCCTGTGTAAATCGAGAGCGTAGATTTCGAAATCGAAGGCAACTTGATGCTTAGTCTCAAAGGACAAATTACCTAACTCAAACTTGGTCTCTGGATATCCCACGATTTTTTAATAGTTATATTTGTAGTGAGCGCAAAAATTACCTAATTGTAATGAAAATGGACCCATAAAGTCTTACAATGTTTTGAGGTTTTTTTTTGGAAAAAAAATGTAATACTATTTTAAAAAAAATGATAATTTTCAAACTGGGTAAGTCGTTTTGTTTGTTTTGATCCTGCACTCTGTAAATTTCCGGATTTCTAGCAATTATGGCACACTCAATTTTTTGCCTGGTAAGGTATTCTTACCTTGAGTACAATCGTCCTCGACAACAATATATGCACGGTGGTGGTGAGATGTTTCAATGCCAACATCCTATCAATGGAAGTACTCAATTCAGCAGCCTGAGTACCGATGAACGTCGCCCTGATATCCGACCGCTCCTCCTTCTGATCAGCCATTTTGGGAACTGCATTGCCACCCAGCGGATCGTACCTAGAAACGCACACATTTTATAAAATACCGATTAGTCTAATCATATTAGCAAATTTTCCCGAAATAATCGGGACCTGCCGCCGTAAGCAATGGCACCCCATACCATAACACGCACAGTGCGATGAATTTGCCGTTCGATGAAATTTCACCACGTCTCCTCCTTACTCTTACACAGCCATCATATGTGTCTGAACAGAATCTGGACTCATCGCTGTACACGTCTGAGTTCCATTCCATAATCCAGTCAAGTATCTCTCTACTCCATACCAATCGTTGCCGACGATGCTGTGGGGTCAAGATGGACAACTCGACTGATGAGGTTCGATTAGGACGGAATTATTTTATTTTATTATTTTTTTTTATTCGTCGACTATGTGTTCCCTTCACTGTTGTTTAAAAACAATTTTAGCAACAATCTCGCCGACTTAGTAAGTAAATATTTTTCTCATAATTGTTATTTGTTGTCAATAATTGTTTCCAGCTCCAGACGATGAAAACATAGATCGTCGAAAGCTTGAGAGTTTAAGTTATAAGAGTGTACTTTTGCAATATTTTGCCTTCTACCCAAAGAAATTAAAGGATATCTTCTCCTAACAGTTAAGGCAATTAACTATGAATACTATATACAATGTGTTTGGTCACGACATACCGCTATTTTTATCGACAAATCCACCCCTCTACAATGTCCTACTCACCCCTCTTGAAATGGCATCCATTTTTATTTTTACGTTACGATTACGCTAGTGCATGTATGAAAATTGTAATAACTGGGTACATAAGTGTCACAGAATGATCAATTTGGTGTCAATTGAACAATAGCATGTTGTTCTAGCGATTGTTGAAAAACTTGTATTGATACTAACCGTCAAACATACTTAAAAACAGACAAAACCTGAAAAAAATATGCAAGAAAATTGATTATTTTGGGCATTTCCGCACACCATTCAAAAACTAGTTTGTGAAGTATTACTTCTTTGTGCTAATTCTACACCTATATGTTATCTACAAAATGACACCAAATTTCTTCTACGTAAAATAATAAATTCTATCTAACATGGGTCAAAGTATACATAAAAATGACAAATCAAAGTTTCTTAGAAATAGTTTGGACATGTTTAATGTTACAGAAGCTGTTCAATATATATATATATATACAGGGTGACTTTGAAGTTGAGTCATTAATTTTCAGATAATGATTGTAGAAGGAAGATAAACCAAAATATGTGTGTAAAAATAAAAAAAAAATTAAAAACAATTTTTTACCTTGTTTTATAAAGTATCCCCCCGACAAGTATTTCAGTGCGGACCTGTATTTGATCGTGAGGTGCCCTGTGAGGTCTTAAGTCACCTGATTCACGAGCCCGTTGTACTACATTAACAAACGCACGAGGGGTTGGTTGCACTCGATTGGGAAACCGATTGGCATAAACATGTGCCATTTTTTATTTCGTTTGAGCCACGCAACAGATACCACTATTCACTGACACTGACTGTATACAAATGAATGAAATAATTGTAAAAACATCGTTCCAAATTCTTTCGCTTTTTTGTTTCCGATGCGATGAACCGATACGGCGGATTATATCCGTTGTCGCCAAACACGAGCACATAATATTATTATTGAGATAGGGCGGTACTCAAACTTCCAAAGGGCTATAACTTTGTTACTTTAATTTTACCAGAAAAATGGTAAAGGAAAAAAACATTTCTTTTGATCAGATCTACTCACTGTTAAAATAAATGACTCAACTTCGAAGTCACCCTGTATATATATAACAACAAGTAGGAAAATAATGGTCAAAATCCGCAAAAAGGAGGAAAGTGGATTCGAGCAGAAAATAGGATAGGTAACCCGAGCGATACGTATTTCTGCTGGTTGGCTTCATCAGGCCCGAAATGAATGCACATATGAAACTACAAAAGTAGATACACATGCCCACGTTTTCATCAAAATTCATTTAATAATTCTGGGTGTTGCATTTTATGTCAGTCTATTTCGAAAAGAAAAGCGTGTATTTTCGTTTCATACCTGTCCATGGAGACGGTACTAACGCGCAACCCCTCCATTCCCAGATAGTCCACAAGGACGTCGACGTCATCGCAGGCCGGTACTTCAAAAGGCAACGCCTGCACGTCAGCTTCCGTCATATTGTCCTCGTCGAAGATGATGTCCGGCGCTTGGGACCTCAAATAGTTGTCCGAATGGTTACGACGCATGTATTTGCTCTCGCATTTAATGCATAGCACGTAACTGCCCTTAGTGTAGTAGCCGCAGACCCCAGGTTCCCAGAGCGTGCCTGGAAAATGAAAGAATTAGGGAGCTACCGATAGGACTGCTCATATGTCAATACAGGCCGACCGATTTACCATAAATTATAAATTTAATTACGGTTAATATCATTTAATTTAAGAAAAAAACAAACACACCAAAATACATATGAATATACAATTACATTGTACGAGTACAAACTTCTTTTTGTTACGTGTATAATAAAACAAAAGTTAACAGCCATTTTCGGTTTTTAAGTTTGATTAGTTCGCTATTTTCCTCCAAGTAAATCTGTTACTTGCATAGAGCTGAAGTTGTCGTAGCGAATTCGTCAGTCTTTTGATCAGTAACATTTTGGTCGAAATATTACCGTATTTCCGACATCCTGGTAAAGTATCTTCATGCAATTAATTTGCAAAACATAAATATGTGTATGGAAACATTTACTAATGGAAATATTTGCATTTATATCGCGACTCTTCTACGAGGGATGTCTTTAAGTTTTGCATATAGAAATATAGTAGACCGCGCGGATCGAACGTCAGTACTGAATCTTAACCTCACTCTTTAGTAAACTTAAATTTAAAGTTTCACAACAATACGTGCAGCATTTCCACTACAGTGAATTTTTAAGTGTTACAAAAACGGAACTCAACCGAGAACATTTTCGCGCCATAATTTATTACCACTTTCAGAGACAATTCTCGCAACAAGAATGCCTTGCTGAGTTACTGTCTGTTTTCGGCAACGAAGCGCCACACCAGTAAATAATTTCCCCTTGGTATGGAGAATTCAAACGTGGACGGGTGAGTCTTAGCGACGATCCCAGGGTGGGTGCACCAAAAAACGGCAGTCACTCAGGAAAACGTCGATGCGGTGCGCAAACTCATCATCGAAGATAGACATGTAACGTATCGCGAGATTGAGGCGTCCTCGAAGATCTCAAAGACCTCAATTCAAAAAATTTTACATGAAGAATTAGGAGTAAGAAAATTAGTTTCTCGTTGGATACCCCACCTGTTGACTGACGAGCAGAAAACAGCCAGGGTTAATTGGTGTCAAAAAACGCTTGACCGTTTCAATTCCGGAAACTAAAAAAATGTGTACAGCATTGTTAGTGGTGATTAATCGTGGATTTATTGTTATGAACCAGAAAATAAACGACAGTCGGCTGTTTGGGTGTTCCAAGGTGAAGAAAAGCCAACAAAAGTCATCCGTTCTCGAAGTGTGTCGTAAAAGATGGTCGCGACATTTGTGTCAAAAGCGGGTCATGCTGCAACCATTCCTCTTAATAAGCAAAGAACTGTTACTGCGGATCGGTATACCACCATTTGTTTGCCAAAAGTCATCACCGAGCTTCGAAAAATCAACCCCGAAGGAAGAATCATCTTCCACTAAGACAATGCAAGCTCGCACACAGCCCAAAAAACAAAGCAGTATTTAACGGAAGAAAACGTGGAATTATTGGACCATCCTCTATATAGTCCCGATCCAAGTCGTAACGATTTCTTTACTTTCCCGAAAATTGAAAACAGACTGCGTAGTCAACGGTTCCAGTCACCAGAAGAAGCAGTTGACGCATTTGGATCTGCCAGCAAACTAGTGGAATAAGTGCTTCGAAAATTGGTTCGAGCGCATGCAGATGTGTATCAATCTTCGTGGTGAATACTTCGAAAAACAATCATCATCTAAAACTACCTACCGTGTTGTTTTATTTCCATATGCAAAACTTAAAAGACATCCCTCATATAAGTCGTGCTTGCATATGTGGTATTATACTATATATGGTCTCGGCAGACTTTTGCTGATCTATTTTCGTATTTCGAACATGTAGCTTATCACTCTTTGCACCCGATGGTGCGTCTTTTTTCTTGGTTTTTCTTTTTTAAGATCTTGGGGAATCTTTAACGTACGCTTGCCTTCTAATATGGTACACTGATAAAATGATTTATAAATTATCACTGTTTAATAGAAGAAGAATTTCTGATATGTATAGAGTGCGCCATATTTTATGTCGGTATGTATACATGAAATAACTTTTGAAAACGAAAAACTGATTCCTATATATCGGGTATTTTTATGAAGTATGGTCCTTAACAATTTATTGGGACTAGTTTTTGAACACAACATCTGTCAAGTGGCCACCTTTATTGGCCAAAACAAAATGTGCCCGTTTTGCTGCGTATTCCATTACTTTTTCGAGCATCTCTGGTGCTATAACGGCGATTGTGGTACGAATGTTTGCCTTGAGTTCTTCAGTGGTCTGGGGGACTTGCTGGCGTATACTTGACTTTTCAAATAACCACACAAGAAAAAGTCCGGTGGGGTCAAATCTGGAGACCTGGGAGGCCAGTCAATGTCACCTCTTTTTGACATCAGACGTCCAGGGAATTTTCGTTGCAGAAACTGGATTGTTTCATTTGCCGTGTTGTTGGAACCAGTAACCATCAAGACCTTTCACGCATTTGTAGGTAGACATAATGAGCCAACATCCACCGATATCGATTTCCATCGACTGTTTCGTTTTCGTTGAAGAAAAATGGCCCAATGATGGTCTGACCGCTTCAACCAATTCATTGCAACGTCTTGGTCGTTGATGAACAGTATGTTGACGATCTCCGGCTGTCCCGTACTCAAGAAAATTCGAAACCAAACGACGGATAGTGTTGTCAGACGGTGCCTGTTTGCCAACTGAACGACGATTTTCAATGTACATTGTGTGATTGATGAGTAAAATTGTAGTAAATTGACATCTCAGAAACACATATAACCAAATCACTCAGTTGGTAAATATCAAAGTCATTCGATGTTACAATACCGACATAAAAGATGGCGCACCCGGTATTATATATACTGTACAAACTAGGTAACAACCTTTACGACTGCAATAATCTGCTATCCCTAATGTTCCAGATAGAAATTATAGTCATTATACCATGTTCTTGCTTGCTCATATCTTCAAGCGTAAAGTAAAATCCAAGTTTTTAAATCAATAATCACATAATTTTAGTCATTTTTCATAGTCACTATTCAGGGTGTAAACGTTAGTCGGTAGTCATTATTGAAATGGGTAATAGGGGGGGGGGTCAAATCAAGTCAAAAAGTTCATATGACCCATGGTCCAAAAGTCAATAGATTTTTGTCTAAATGGATTTATAGTTTACAACTTTAAGTGCTTTATATCGACCACAATCTTACTAATTTTTATAATCTAATCTAAAACGTTTTTAAATTCGGTCATTAACAAATAAATGGCATTGAGTTTTTCTAAGTTAAGCCACAATTTGTAGTCAGTAAGTTATTAAGTTTCATTAAATTAAATATCTAAAACACACATGACAACAGCGCGTCGGTCACCATCACTCTTATCGAACCGGCAATAGATCGCAAACGGTAACAGTGGTTAGTTATCGGCCGTCGGGCGTGTTGTTTACAATGTTCTCGAATCAAGAGTTCGCCGACATGTTGTTAGTTTACGGTGAAGCTCGTCAGAATTCAAATGTTCCAGCTCAAATTTATCGCGATAGATTTCGCCAACGGGTACACCCAGACAGAAGGACATTTATGCAAGTGTACCAAAGACTTCGATACAGGAAGTTGCCCACTAATATTCGCACTCGAGAAAGACAGGTTACTGTAGAGCAGGAGGAACAAATTTTAAATATCGTGGAAAGTAATGCAGATGTCAGTGGTTTTTGCACAAAAACATTGAAAATCCGGATATTTTTACATTCTAGCGACGGACGAATGTTCTTTAACGCGATATTAAATTTCCATCATACTCACACGTGGGCCCAAGATAATCCTCTTACCAAAGTTTTAAAATAAATATTTGGGCCGGTATTCTTGGCGATCAGGTAATTGGCCCTTTCGAGTTACCCCCAAAGTTGTCAGAAAAAGGATACCTTAGCTTTCTAGCCAATAACCTACCAGAACTTTTGAAATAGATCTTAGACAACATGCCATTACAACGGAGACAGAATTTGTGGTTTCTTCATGACGGGGCACCACCACACATTTTTAGAGGCGTCATTCAGTATTTGAATGAACATTATCCAAATCGCTGGATCGGTCGAAATGCTCCTGATCCTCGAAAATGGACAGCAAGATCTCCTGACCTCAATCCGATGGATTTCTGGTATTGGGGAGAACTTAAAGGGGTGGTTTATGGGGCTGGTCCAATAATAACTGAAGCACAACTTCGCGAATAAAATTTTAATGCGGCTGAAATAATAAATGGACAACTTCGAGGACCTAGAGTAAGAAGAAACTGGGTTCATCGTAATGAAGCTTGTGTGGAAAGTGGAGGAAGACATTTTGAACATCTTCTTGAAATACAAAAAAAATGCAGTGTGGGTTTTAAAAAGAAAAACAATGTATGTATCAAAATTGTGTTCCCTATTTATAAGTGGATTTTTTTAATACGTTCAATAAACTTTCACACACCAGGTGAAGCGGTGAGACAGTTAGTGGTAAATCCGTTTTTTTTAATTGTTAGCATTTTACGAGTACATTATCAAATAATGAAATAATACCCAAGAGCCAAAAATAACAAACTCCATCTTTATTTACACTGCGTTCCGACGTAATTTGCGTCTGGCGTTGTCAGATTTTATTTTACTTAGTCGCTTTTCTCTAAAAAAAATGCCGTTTTGACCCCCATGTTATATGAAACTTTTTGCTTCTTTAACCCCCTCTATCACCCATTTAAATAATGACTATCATAACGTTTACACCCTGTATATCTTAATATCCCATAATTCTCTACACGTTACTCATATTTTGATGTAACATACTGGATGTTGTTGGCTTTGGGTGTGAATACCCCAAATTGTAATAAGTAAATAAATAAAAATGATCTTCTATAGTGGTCTACTATATGTCTTGTCGAAATCGATAGCAAGATTAACAATAATGAAAACTGCATGTACGTACTCAATGCCATCTAGGTCTCTATGTATGTGAATCGTCGTCTTGAGAATATTTCATCTTTTGATTATTTTCTAAAAGTCGATAACTCATGCCCAGAAAAAAATTTCGCTTTCAATGGAGCTGCTTGGGATATCTAGCATTCTTAATTTACATCAAAAATGCTACCACATTCTACGTAACTTACCGCATCCTGGATGAGAGGTAGCGATATGAGCATGAAGATACGTTGTCACTTGGTCACAATACGGACAGAGAAAACGAGAGTACTCCAGGTTAACGCATGACTCGCTAGGCTGTTGCCTGCTGACGGTTTCGCTAGAAAGCGGTGTCGCAGAATCGCTAAGGAAATCTTCCCATGATGGGTTCCTCAATAACGGATGTGCTTCGCCTCTTACGTGCTGTCTCTCTCTGATCCTGTCATGCATCGGTCGTTCACACTCCACGAAAACTCTCAGTTCTCTGTTCTGTCTTCTTCGCGGACCTGAAAATAGAGAATTCCGAATATTGTAATGGCACATCTCTACCGATGTCCATCCCTAGTAAAAGAACTGGCCTTGACAACCTCCACGGACGCAGTGCAATCCCATGAGGTATCGGAAACACGCACAAACAATGACAGTCTGCAGTTATACCCAATTCAAAACTTGCCATGCAGGGAAAAAAGATGAACGTCCACTGATCGTCACCAGAACTAGTAGCTACTACAACAATTTACCATACACGAATCTGGGACAAAAGAAATAAACCTTACATAATCATTTTTAAGCAGTTACCATGAATTTTGTTTTGTTTGTTCTATATTCTTTTGAATAAAGATCTTTTTTTGTCCATTGTTTTTTCCTTATCGCAACTAGAAAAATGTTTGAGATATTGAGGTTAGAAAATCATCTTTTTCTCATGTTCTAGGCCCTGTGTAATAAATTTCCTGTTAAGGTTGTCCACATAATCAGAACAAATCGTAAAACCTAAGTCATTTTGCTGGTTAATCAACCCTTAGATTTTACAGGGTGTCGCATATAACGAAAGGCTCATTTATAACCTCAAAAGAAGTTGAATTCAGGCATGGACGCTAACATATAAAAAATGTTTAAAATCATAAGGAGAACCTCAAAATACAAAAATAAAAAGGATTTTCCATTAAAAAAATGTTTGGTCTACTTTCACTTTTGGGCTACCCTCTATATCAGAAAAAACTATATTTAACTTTTTTCAATTCCTTATAATAAGGAATCTATGATACTCAGATCTTACTTCACTTTTTTCGAAACTTACTTCTTGTGACATTATTTTTTCCCCTGTACCCTTCATACGATTATATTTTTTCATTTGCTTTTATTCTGCAAATATTTGCTATTCGATTTTTTTTAAATATTGTTTTTTGTTGTTGAAGAATGTCAATTTTGTATAATGATTCGGTTACATATTTTTCTTCAATCCGTTTTCTGTAATTTTACATTCTTGTCTATTAAAATTAAAATTACGTCACTATGTATTTTGATTATTCATAAAGTGATTTTTTTATTTCACCTTAAACATTTTTAAATTCGAACTCTGTTTAATATCATTATTCAATTTATTAAATCCAAATACTCCCTTTTGAAATATAGATTTACTAGTTACACTACTACTACAATTTTGCACATGAAAATCTATACTGTCTCTAAACTGAATCCAAATTCAAGATGAGATGTAAATAATAACAGTTAGCGCGTGATCTCTCGGTAACAGGTGGGGACAACGCCTCTTATTGGTCAATTCACCAAATTTCAAGCGGCCGCCTGGCGGAATAATGCGCGGGGCAGGGGCAGGGCAGGCAGAGTTGCACTCAGGCCACCGTCCGTCGCGTGTATCACTGCGTGCTCGTGTTTTCGTATTCACCTTGCTTGGTTGTTGCTGTTGTTGTTGTTAAGTGTATTTGAGTAATTTGTTAAGTTTCTGTTTCTGTTAAATACTGTCATCTTTGTTTTACAACACGTTGGTGGTAGTCCATCATTCGGAGGTAGCCCTGAATGCGGCCCTGTACGCCGTCCTTGCTTTTGACAATCACGCATCCATTCTATCTTGGGTGTAAATACACTATAGTTTCGTAGTTTTGATAATGACTATTTAATTTTGTGAAGTTCTCTAAATGTGGTGGTAATAAATGATTTTTTAATTTCAATATGAAAACGACAACTAAATAATATATGAAATTTTTCACATCCAACCACTGCAGTTCTTCCAACATAGACTTAATCCTAGCATATTTGTTTTTATTCCAAATGATTCTCATAGCTCTATTTTGTAGAATTTGTAATTTTGAAAATATGTTTTCATTTGCTGTAAACAAGATGGTTGAACAATATACAAAATGGAGAAAAATTATAGTGTTATATACAATTTTTTGGAATACATACTAAGATTATTGGAAACTCTATAGAAGTAATGTATCTTTTTTGATATTTTTTAAATAATGTATTGTCATCTAAATGTTTCCCTATTGACATACATTTTGTTTTATTAGTGTTTAATTTATGTTTATTGAAATTTAACCAATTCATAATTTATTCAATATCACTATTTAACAGTTCTAAAGCAGTGTTCAAATGCTTCTGAGCTATATATGTATAAGTGTATCGTCCGCAAATATATGAATTTTGCAGTGTTCTAAAATGTCAGAGATATCATTTATATAAACAATAAATAGTAACGGCCCTAATTTACTCCCTTGTGGCACCCCTACTGATATATCTTGAACAGTTGACATAATGTTTCCAACTTTAGTTTTTTGACTTCTATTTACTAAATAATTTTGTAAAATATGTAATACTGATCCTTTAAAGCCATAGTGACGCAATTTTTTCATATCTAAAGTCTCAAATGCCCTTTTGAAATCTAAAAATATTGTTACAATATATTCTTTCTCATCTATACTTCTTCTCCAGTCTTCCACCACTATTTGGATTGCCGTTTCTGTGGAACATTTTTTCTAAATCCAGCTTGATTTTTTATCATAATTTTGGATTCTATGATTTGTTCGTATATTATCCCTTCGAACAGTTTCTCGACATCGGGCAAGACATTAATCGGTTGCATATTTGTATACAGCTGAGAATTTTGAACTTTTGGCACAGGAGTAATGGTGGAAGACTTTAATTTTGATGGGAATTCACCATGTACTAAACAATGATTCACCAATAATAATAATTAATCTCCAGTTATATTGAAACAAACATTTAGAATAATTTTTGAGAGATTCTGACTTGGATTTTTGTTAGATTTCAATTTTGAGATAGATTTTCTTAGATTGTTGATGTTAATTGTCCTAAACTGCTTTATTGATGAATTCTGACATACTTGTAATGGACATAAGTTTGGATCACCGTCAATATTCTCATTATCCGTCATAATTTTTCTCAAATTATGCTACAAATAAATGCACCTCTATTTATGCATTTATTTTTCATATTTTGTTTTAAGCAATTACGTGGTTGTTGACGAAATTCCACACCCCACGGTTTTTTAAGAAATTCACAGGAACATTGGATATTTTTAAAACCGATTAGTTTATTTCAGGATTTTGCTGGCTCACGATTTTGTTTTGTCCAAAACTAGTAAGACAGATTGTCTATTGTCATCGAAGATTGCAACACTTTAAGTGAGCGAGCAGACTTTAGAATCAAACGAAACCTTCTGAACTCGAAGTTGAATCATATATTTACATATCATTTAAAACAATAGATGTAGTGTTTACGTTTTTCTTCTTTCTTCATTTCTTGCTCTCTAATCTTGCCTGATCCGATCAGAACAATATCAAACTGAGCCAATAAACTTTGAAATAAAGGTTAATCCTGGCAGACCACATTTCAAGTTAACAATGAATAGCAATATTGAAAGATTACTCCGTATTTTTGATTCGTTCTATGAAGAGTGGCGTATCAACTTACTCAACCATCCCCTTCGTTGAACCAGTTCGATCTCTGTACTATCCAAGCTCTGTGGTCTCACCAATTGCTGCGGCCTAACCATAAGCGACTGGAACAGGTTGATGCCAGTTGCGTCTACCGATGTTAGTTCGTCTTCTGATTGATCGGTGCGTGGATGTTCCAACATCCAAGTCACCAGGCTGTTTATCTTTTGAATTGTCACTTCGCTACCACGGCTGCAAAGAAAAAAAGAAAAATCCTCAACGGAGAAAACTGTGGTGACAAGGTGGCGTTTAATATTTCATCAAAATCTGATTTCGTACATCGTTAATGTAACATCTGAAAATTATCCTGTTTTTTACAGGTCGAGAATCATCCATGCTTGTCTGGGTAATACAGGGTCTGTCAGAAAGAACGCAATGTCTTTAAAGTGTAGAGTAGCACAGTCAAAATAAGTATGGGATTTTATTGTATCAAAATACTCAGAAATTCATGCCATTTTTTGAGTGAAACAAAATTTACGTTCTAAAAACTGTGTCGTCCATATATAACTTTCGGGGTATGCAGGGGGTGCTCATGCAACTGTTGGGGTTTCAGTGGAGAAAAATATCGACAATTTTGTTTATTGACGTATCCATGTAAATGAAAATGTGCTTCATCACTCATAAACAACGTCATGTCATTGTTATCCAACTGTTCAATCATGAGCTGTGCAAAATACCACGTTGTGCATAATACCCTGGCAACAGTTATTGACAAGCTTGGATTTTGTAAGGATGGAACACTAAATCGCGTGGATCAATAGGGAACTGGCACGCAAACGGGCGGAACGATTCGGGCTGTGCAGCGTGTCAACTCTTACTCTGTCTACGTTTTCGGGGGTTCTAACAGTACGGTTTCGCCCTGGCAGTTATTTCTTCATCACATCACCTGTTGTGTTGAATGCTTCCACACAACTCAAAATGGTGTTACGGTCTGGTACTGTCCCACGACATGGAACACGAAAGTGAACCGACTCGCCATTTTGAAAGTACCGACGTACAGTGAACACACGATGTTCAACGTTCCAAACCATCTCCAACTGCAACGGCACTTCTCTCACTATCCAACACGCCCCCTTCCCCACCGACACGGGACCAGCCCACTCGATGACGTACCCATTCGAAAAATATAGGTTGCTTCTGACGGACCCTGTACAACCACATGTATTGACAAAGTCTTGTTTGCTATAAACGTTTCAACCACACACAGGGTGTCCCAGAAGTCGACGTCAAGCCGAAACCGTGTGATAGGCAAAGTCATAACAGCTATCAGAAAAATATTTAAAAAAATTTTATGTATGTGTTTTGAAAATTATAGGTCTTTGAAAAAAATATAGAAATTTCACACCCTAGGGCAGTTTGTCAACTCCTGTTACTACAAATATTAACTTTTTTTGGATTTTATTTTTACAATGTAATGATGAATAATGCATCTTCAAACTGGTGTCTCAACCTTACTGCCAACTTTTCTCGTTCAGGAAAAATTGCCACTTATTTCCCAACCAAGTATTCCAAAGTAAAACTTTGCTCAACTTTAACTGGCTGTACTGGAAAAAACTGTACTACGAGAGTTTGGCAAGTTGGCGCATTTAATAAGGATTCCAAAATGGTATAACACTTAGAAGATTACTCATTAACTTATGCACAATTTTTATTTGAAGAAAAACTGATGAAAATTTTTCAAAATTTCCTAATTAAACAGCGATTATGAAAATGCACAAGGACCCTTAAGGATAACTGTTTGCACAACAGTTTGCGTCAAAATGCTGCTGATGATGATTTACCTTTACAGCAAATGCTCAAACTGTTTTCCTTCAGCCGCAATACACGCTCGACATCTTCTTAAAAAAGATCGGGTTATTAAACGAGGGAATCCACGGTTATTAACAAACTCAGCTGCTTCCAATATTCTTTGCCGTAGCTCAGCTACATTTTGAATCGGCTTGAAATACACTTTTTCTTTTACAGTTCCCCAGTAAAAAAATCTAAAGGATTCAAATCAGGTGATCGGGCTGGCCACGGTATTGTACCAGACCGCCTTATCCATCTCCCTGGAAAGTTTTGATCGAGATACTCTCTCACTGAGAGTGCATAGTGCGCTGGGCAGCCATCATGCTGAAACCACATGTCCCTGTAAATACTCAGTGGCACGTCCACCAATAAATTTTGTACATGATTTTTCAAAAAATCTAAATAAACTTCAGCAGTCAAAGTCTCTGGAAACTCAAAGGGACCGATTATTTTACCATTTAAAATTCCTGTCCAATGGTTTATCTTGAAGCGATATTGAGATTTATCTTCTCTCATCAAATGTGGGTTTGCTACGTGCCACTCGTGTAAGTTATGCAGGTTCATGTACCCATCTTTCTTAAATGTGGTCTCATCCGACCATAATTTTTTTTCAAAGAACTGTGGATCTTTTCTGTGTCTTTCTAACATTGTGCGACAAAAAGCAACTCGGGGCTCATAATCCCGGGGCAGGAGAGGTTGAACACGCTATATGTGGTATGGATGAAGCATATCACTTACTTGCTATTGCACACTTTGTTACCGATCAGTACTCCTTCGTTCACTGCGCATCTTTACATGTTCGTGCTTGTTGATTTCGTACTGTTACTAATTTTGGATTCGTGAACTGGACTGTTGATCGCTTGTGATTTGGATTTGGACTGTTTAATTGCTCTTCAAAACAACATTTGCTTTCCTTAGACTATCTTTGATAGTGTGATTGTGCAGTGCCGCTATGTCCTTGTACACCGTACAAGAATATGCTAACATGCACCTCATTTATGGGGAATGCAGATGCAACGCTAGTGCTGCAGCGAGACTTTACTGTGAGAGGTACCCGAATGCAGCTCGTCATCCAGATCATCGAGTGTTCACAAATGTGCACCGCTTACTGTTCTCAGAGTGCCAACTACCAAACCAATCACACGGCGAGGGAAGATCTTTCCTTCCTTACGAAGACGTGGTGCTAGGAGCTGTCAAAGAAGACCCGAGTACTTCAGTGCGTGCAATAGAACTTACTGGGGAACTGTAAAAGAAAAGTGTATTTCAAGCCGATTCAAAATGTAGCTGAGCTAAGGCAAAGACTATTGGAAACAGCTGAGTTTGTTAATAACCGTGGATTCGCTCGTTTAATACACCGATCTTTTTTAAGAAGATGTCGAGCGTGTATTGCGGCTGAAGGAAAACACTTTGAGCATTTGCTGTAAAGGTAAATCATCATCAGCAGCACATTGACGCCCACTGTTGTGCAAACAGTTATCCTTAAGGGTCCTTTTGTGCGTTTTCATAATCGCTGTTTAATTAGGAAATTTTGAAAAATTTTCATCAGTTTTTCTTCAAATAAAAATTGTGCATAAGTTAACGAGGAATCTTCTAAGTGTTATACCATTTTGGAATCCTTATTAAATGCGCCAACTTTTAAGGTTACTTGCCAAACTCTCGTATTACATTTTTTTTCCAGTACAGCCAGTTAAAGTTGAGCAAAGTTTTACTTTGGAATACTTGGTTGGGAAATAAGTGGCAATTTTTCCTGAACGAGAAAAGTTGGCAACAAGGTTGAGACACCAGTTTGAAGGTGCATTATTCATCATTACATTGTAAAAATAAAATCCAAAAAAAGTTAATATTTGTAGTAACAGGAGTTGACAGACTGCCGTAGGGTGTGAAATTTCTATATTTTTTTCAAAGACCTATAATTTTCAAAACACATACATAAAATTTTTTTAAATATTTTTCTGATAGCTGTTATGACTTTACCTATCACCCGGTTTCGGCTTGACGTCGACTTCTGGGACACCCTGTATATGATCTTCAGTACAATTACAAGACTGGTGTATAATGATACTAGAAACAACCGCTTATTTTTCTAAGGTCTATGTCTGTACCTCAGAGCCAGGCTATGTTAAGTCCGTTTTGTCAAAAATGAGATTAATATTTTAAAAGCTTATGATAATATTGTGAGTTTTCATTTGCTACAAGCTGCGTCCATCTATCGGTAATAATAAGAAAGTTATGACTTTTTAACTCATGTCAAGTCACGTACAATGCAAGAAAAATATAATTATCTAAAAATTACTTATTTTTACTTAAAATAGTCTGGCGCTCCGAGGTATAGATATGCTCTGTAAAGTCCCAGCTTTGACGACACCCTGTATAACATTGGAACGTGTAACGACTTATGGGATTTTTTCCAGTATCTCGTAACCTACGGTTATTAAGCTCTTGCCTGATTGGCTCAGGTTGATCTTTGGTTATATACGACATAATCAGTTTCAATAATAGAACTTACAGTTTTGTTCCAATGACGGCTTTCAGTATATGTCTGAGGGAAAAGCCCATTTCTAGCAATGGATTAGCGATATCGGGTATAAGTGAAGCTGGTAACCGTCTATCACTGGCACTTCTCAGATTTTCTTCGGATTCCGAGTCAAACAGTCTTCTACTGCGAGGTCTCAAAAAAGGAGATGGTCCTCCACCTAAACAGAGCGAGAGAGAAAAATACGTCATCAGATCTACCGAAATTTTCAAGTGCATTATGAAAGGTATGAATACTGGTCTCAAGCTGAAGTTGTGCGAAACCTTAATATGGTCTAGAATTCACTACTGTGACTGTATTTATGGGCCTGCACTAAAATCGATTGAGATAAGGAGACTTCATACTAATCAAAATGCGTGTCTTAGATTTGCTTGTGGAGTGAGAAAATTTGACACAGTATCACATAAATATCGTGAGCTGGGTGTTCAAAAAATAGAAGAGCTACAAAAAATGCACGGCTTGACCTTGACCCATAAAGTAATCAAAACCGAAACCCCTCCATATCTATCAACCGCGGCGCTCCTCTTGGTCTTCTGTTGATCAGTTCACCACGCCTGCGAAGTGATTCAACCCAACGAAGGATGGTGTTCTGAGAGGGAACAGCTCTATTCCTATGAATGTTGAAGTGGCGACTAAACTCACGCTGTACGACGAACAATCATAAGCGAAAACGCGGTGCTCCACCGTCCAAGGCTCCGTAACGACAACTGGTAAAATAATGCTAGGATCTCACGAGTCAAACGGCACCCTCCCCACCTCTCTCGTAGACGGAGGCGGAGAGTACTACCCATCCCAAAAAATTCCGTCCTCTCTGCCGCACCCTGTACTTGGTTTTATTTAAAAAATCCTGAAATAGCTATTGGGACTACCTTTATGAATACACTCACCGACTGTTGTAGTGGGAGAAATGAATGTTGTACCGTGTGCGCTCATGGACGAAGCGTGTGACCTGGGTGCGTGAGGCAAATGCGACACGTTGGGAGCGTTGCTAGATGACGAACACCCACTTTCTTCGTTCAGGAGAGTCGTGCTTGAAAAACTGTTCGACGGATTAGCTTGTAGATCCGGCTGAGCTGACTCCTTCAACACCTTGAAAATACAGTGGAATCCACTTATAATGAGCTTGCTTATAATGGACACAATTCAAGGTCCTATAAATAATTGCATGTAAAATCGCCGGATATTATAGACTTGCTTAAAATAGACCATCGCTTATAGCGGACTATTTTAATCCATTATACAGGGTGACTTCGAAGTTGAGTCATTTATTTTAACAGTGAATAGATCTGATCAAAAGAAATGTTTTTTTCCTTTACCATTTTTCTGGTAAAATTAAAGTAACAAAGTTATAGCCCTTTGGAAGTTTGAGTACCGCCCTGTCTCAATATCATGTGCTCGTGTTTGGCAACAACGGATATAATCCGCCTTACCGGTTCATCGCATCGGAAACAAAAAAGCGAAAGAATTTGGAACGATGTTTGTGTACAGTTATTATTTTATTCAGTTCAGTTATACATACAGTCAATGTCAGTGTCGCGTGTGAATAGTGTCTGTTGCGTGGCTCAAACGAAATAAAAAATGGCACATGTTTATGCGGATCGGTTTCCCAATCGAGTGCAACCAACCCCTCGTGCCTTTGTTAATGTAGTACAACGGGCTCGTGAATCAGGTGACTTAAGACCTCACAGGGGACCTCACGATCAAATACAGGCCCGCACTGAAATACTTGTCGGGAGGATACTTTATAAAACAAGGTAAAAAATTTTTTTTAATTTTTTTTTATTTTTACACACATATTTTGGTTTATCTTGCTTCTACAATCATTATCTGAAAATTAATGACTCAACTTCAAAGTCACCCTGTATACGAGCTATTTTGGTAGTTCCCTGTAGCAGATTTAGCTGATGCATTCGTTTACGGTGGTTTGACTTCGCAGTTTGCATTCCAACTTGGCCACCATTGTTATACTGTATTTATTAGAGTTGTAAACATATCGAAAAGTTCGAAACGTTCATTCACTTTACACGAGAAGTCCATTATAAGCGGGTTGCACTGTATTGCGCATTTATTAATATTTCAAGTATTATTTATTATTACCACCACTTATAGAAATGTCAAATTTTTATATTTTATGATCGAGCCCAAATTTTCTGGCATATTTATTGATGTATTGATCAATCTATAAACTTGACCTTTCTATTAGATTCGACACTGAAAACATAAGCTTCCAAAATGCAATTCATACCTTTCTATCCTCCAAAGATTTACACTTGGTATAACTGAGATGCAAAACCGTCTCAGCCCGTTCCATATCAGCGGCACTAACTATATTAGGCAGCTTGCACTGACTAGTGCTTTTCGTGACCAATGCCCGCATGATTTCGCGCATACTGCTGCTTGGATCGTGGCTCACGTTGCTGTTCGACAGGCTGTTGACGAAGAGATCCGTGAAAGAAGAGGCCGTCACCAAGGTGCCCAACACTTTCAGAGCCGCGAATTGAAGGAACGCTAGTTTGAGACTTTCGTCTTCTAGGTGTAGGAGTTTGTATTCTAGAAGTCGGGTCTCAAGATCTTTCTTGCTATCTCTTGCTGGACCTAGAATAGAAATTCAGAAAGATAAATAGATACCATACCATTATGTATACATGGTGGTCCATTCCCATTTGTATGATAAGAAATAGAATTTTTAAGAGGTACAGAACTCTGGAGTGAGGAAGAGACAATTTTTATATTGCGTTATTCTTGAATTTTTTCCTTCAAATTTATTTTCCAAGTTTGTCACTCTCCCAATGTCTCACGTCGCACTCAAATCGTCGGATTATTAGAACGCTTTCCAGCATGCACCTTACTCATCCTTGTCTGATTCGCTAGAGTATTTTTATCGATCGATTTTATTTTTTTACTATTCTGATTGTGTATAAAGGGCTTATACAGGGTGGCCCAACGAAAGGTCGCAGCTTCATTCGTGACTCTCCTGGTATATTTTGGGAAAACGCTCTGGCACGTCAATTTTGATTTCTAGGGGGACAATACAATTTACGTATGAGGTCTTACAAACTAATTTATTAACTATCCGACTTCATAGGATCAACGTTCCTATCAACTGAATAGAATCAGTGATTAAGCAATGCTTTTTAGCAAACTTTGAGGATTTACTTGATTTTAACATGACCTCCGGTCATTGTCATGGTCAAGGTCAAGATCATATTTGGACGCAAAAATTTCCTACTCTTTCCAATTCCGATATAAATAGGGGTAGTTTTATTTGAAAATGAAAACCTACAGCTTTGTTTGAAGCTTAGGTAGTTTCCGAATGGGATGCAAGATTAAAATGGGACATCTCTGCCAGTTTTGTGGTCACTTGTTCTACGCTTCATGATTTCATGTCCGGTTTTGAGACAATTTCCAGTGGGAAATTTCATATTTCAAATTTGAATTACGAAGCAGCCGTATACGCGAGGAAGTGGAGAGAGGTCTCTATCGACGCGTTCGGCGTGCGGGTTAAATAGTCACAATGGAACGTTGGACCGGAGCGCAACGTGCTTTTGCTATCGAGGATTACTTTAAGAGTGGCGATTCATACGCAGCTGCCCTTCGGCACACGATACAACAGTCGCCGACCACGAGATGCCCCCCCAGAACCTGTTGAAAAAGTTGATTAAGGAGTTAGTTAGTCAACCCATTCCAGAACCCACACCTACTGTACCAGCCAGAGAAAATGTGCGTCGAGTAAGTGATTCGGTCATTGCAAATCCTCGGCGTTCGGTACGGAAGCAATCAGCTGCTTTGGGAATCCCTAGGTCAACACTACATGGCATGAAGAAAAAAATGGGTTTTCATCCTCATCAAATCCAATCATTGCATGCTTTTTCAGTGACGAGTCCCATTTTCACTTAGGCGGTTATGTGAACAAGCAAAATTGCAGATATTGGGCACCAACGAATCCAAAAGAGAAACATCAACAACAACTACATAGTCCAAGGGTGACTGTTTGGTGCGTCATATCTTCTAGCGGTATTATTAGGCCGTATTTCTTTGAAGATGAAAACGGTCATAGCGATACAAGGACATGTTTGACACTTTTTATGCTCCTATTGTAAGAACAGAGTGTATCCCAAGTTGGGGACTTAGGGGTAATTCTTGACCCAAGATTATCCTTTATTACCCATATATATATATATATAAATGTGTATACAGGGTGACTTCGAAGTTGAGTCATTTATTTTAACAGTGAGTAGATTTGATCAAAAGAAATGTTTTTTTCCTTTACCATTTTTCTAGTAAAATTAAAGTAACAAAGTTATAGCCCTTTGGAAGTTTGAGTACCGCCCTGTCTCAATAATAATATCATGTGCTCGTGTTTGGCAACAACGGATATAATCCGCCTTATCGGTTCATCGCATCGGAAACAAAAAAGCGAAAGAATTTGGAACAATGTTTTTACAATTGTTTTATTCAGTTCAGTTATACATACAGTCAGTGTCGTCAGTCGGTAACGCGTGTGAATAGTGTCTGTTGCGTGGCTCAAACGAAATAAAAAATGGCACATGTTTATGCGGATCGGTTTCCCAATCGAGTGCAACCAACCCCTCGTGCCTTTGTTAATGTAGTACAACGGGCTCGTGAATCAGGTGACTTAAGACCTCACAGGGGACCTCACGATCAAATACAGGTCCGCACTGAAATACTTGTCGGGAGGATACTTTATAAAACAAGGTAAAAAAATTTTTTAATATTTTTTTTATTTTTACACACATATTTTGGTTTATCTTCCTTCTACAATTATTATCTGAAAATTAATGACTCAACTTCAAAGTCACCCTGTATATATATATGATTGTTTCTAAATCTCTTCAACTGTTGGGATTTATAAAACGATGTGCTAAGGATTTTCATAATATTCAGTCATTTAAAATGTTGTTTTGTCCTTTGGTGAGTCCCCATTCGGAGTATTGTTCTCGTGTTTGGTCACCCAACTATAATGTTCATATCCAGGCAATTGAGAGTGCAACATGAATTATTAAGATTCACTTCATTCAAACAAAAAATTATGATTGAAGATATTCAGGTAAGACGGAATCAGAGGGACCTGTCACTATTTTATAATACTTTGCACTCTCTTAGTTTTGCTCCAGAACTTTTTAAAAATATTAATCTCCATGTGCCTTCTCGTCAAACAAGACTGAATCACCCATTCCATGTGAGATCATCTTGTACTAATTATGCTAGTAATTCCTTCCTGTCTAGATCTTCAAGGTTAGCAAATCAGTATTCTCATAAGTTGGATTTCTTCAGTAGTCAGAAAACATTCAAATTTCAATTAGATTCCTGTCTATAATATTTAATATTTGATTTCCCCATATATTTAAATTTTAATTAAATCCGTTTCAATTTAGAAATGATCTGGATTGTTTTAAGTGTTAAATATCAAGTCAAAGTAGGGTTAGGTTTACATTAGATTTTCTATGTTGTACTTTAATTGGGCGGTCGCTCGTTGATAGATAAATAAATGTGTCAAAAGTAGTGAACCATTCATTTTAAAAAATGCTCATTCAAGGGCAACAAACGTCTTGAAAATCTATTTACCTTCAACACCTTCATTGATAGTGGACTCGCTCTGAGACGCAGTGATCCTCTCGGCGCTCAACCTGGTCACCGCCCCAAGGATATTGGACACCATCTCGTTGGTCAAGGATTCCATAGTTCTCGGTCGCTCGGTATTCTGCTTGTGAAGCTGAGAATCGGAGTTGCAGCGCAAACTTTCGCCGAAAGATTCTTGAGCGTTGCTGGCGTGAGGGTTGAGCAGCCTTTCTTCCTCTTCGGTCAGGTCGTAGCTCGGGAAGGAGATCTCGTTCGTGATACCTGTTGAATAGAAAAAGATATACGAAAACTAATTTATATTTCGTCGCTCAAGTTCGAACACCACGTACTCGAGAAAGACCAGAAACTGAATGACACAGAATGTGTTTCCTTCTGGAGGCCAGACAAAATTTTTTTACACCGAAACAGTTGCGCAGGCAGAAGCCTAAATGCCAGCGCACCACAGCAGCTATGAGGACCTTAAAGAAACTTTTAATCCGATTTTTGAACTGCCTAAGTTAGTGGAACTGTGAAAAGCCTTCTCAGGTAGATTTTTCCTCAATCTCGATACCCTAGGGGTAAAGGAGTGCTCGTATCGGCCAGTTTTAAATGAACGAAGTTTGACACGGTTAGGACGGGAGGCCAAAGTCAAAGTCAGGCGGATCTGTCTGGCAGGCACATCGCGCGATGACATCATGGAGGAGAGCTCTGAGGCGCAAAGCCCGCTGGTGTAGCGCTAGAAGAAAGCTAGATCGCCGGTGCGAAAGGATCCCGAGATTGACTGTTAGAGAAGAGTCATCGATCAGTCGGACAGCCCTCATCTGGACAGCATCGAGCATGAACAATGTAGTCGGGGCGGCAGCACCCCAAACGTGTGAGTAATACTCGAGGCTAGGTCTGATCTAGGTCTTGTATAGAGTGAGAGAAGGTAATATGGAGAAAAGTACTTAGCCCTAAACAAATAGCCTAGCTTTTTCCCAGCAGCTGCCGCTATTGACGAGATGTGTTCGTGCTAGATCAAGCTCTCGGTGATCTGAACTCGGACGAGCCGAAATGAACGGCTCTTTGGCAGAACTCGGCCAAGAATCGAAACCGGTTGAGCTCTAGCACGCTTTTTGTTCGTCTAGGTACAGTACTGTGTTGTGGAAGCATTAATCTGTACCAAATTGTTGCGGTCCCAAGCAGTGATAACCTCCACTTCTCTAGTCGGAGAAGTCGCTGCTAGTCTTTTTCCCAGCTCCCCGGCTTGTCGCTCTAAATTCCTGCATGTAGAATGCTGTCGTCAGCAAAGCTGTGGATTGGATTGATCGTACAGGAAAGGAGGTCGTTGATATGTAAGTGGAACAGTGGCGGAGCCAAGACCGATCCCTGAGGAACACCCGCGTTGACGTTGTAAGATGAAGAGGAGAACCCGTCATTTACGACGGATATCTTGCGGAAAGTCAGCCACCAATCTGAAAGCTTCTCTGGGAGGTCACAGGATGAAAGTTTAGGGGATTATAATATATGCAAGGCATTCGATAGGAAATTGACGATATTTAATGTTAAGCGCATAGACAAACAAATTCAAGGAAGTCATAAATTGTCAACACTCACAGAACTTTAAGTGTACTTAAAAAGAATTCAATTGTTTAACGTTTTACAAATCCATATCTATTTCAGCCAGAGACACTAAACTTGAGATACAGAGTTCATCTATGTGCGATTTATACTCATGCGTGCGAATTACTGAATCCATTTTTCTGATCTGTACTTACCACTTAGTCTGGTTATATGTAGCAGTACGGTAGACGACACCAGCTTGAACTTGCTCATGTCGAATGGGATCGGTTCTACATATTCCAAGCTTGAAAGTGAGACGTCTGATATTCTCCTGTCGGACTCCCATTGCACGTTAACCGTTGTGATACCTTTCTTCAGAATCCCGAGCACGATAGCCTTTTGGTCGTTGCTTTTACATCTACATATGCCTAAAATAAAAAAAATTTAAAGTCTTCTATAATTTGTCGCCGGGAATATTTCTAGAGTAGGAACACTTGGTAATATTTAGACGAAATCGTATTTCCATCCCCATTTTATTGCTCATGTGGTCGAGAAAAATGTGACTGGAATAAGTACATTAAAAAGAGCTCATTTAAAGGGTGGGCCGATAAGAGTCATTTTTCGACCATCAGCGAATAGATATGACCTATACATTTAGGAAAAAGAAAACATACTTATTTCAAATTCGTGCTAAACATAAATTAAATAATTATCTGAGTGTTATACGTTAAACGTTATGGTAGTCATTATTGAAATGGGTAAAAGGGGGTAGGTCAAAACAATTCAAAAAGTTCATATGGTCCAAAAGTCAATAGATTTTTGCCTAAATGGCTTTATAGTTTACAACTTTAAGTGCCTTATATCGACCACAACCACCACAATCTTACTAATTTATATAATCTAATCTAAAACATTTTTAAATTGGGTAATTAGCAAATAAATCGCATTAAGTTTTCTTAAGTTAAACCAAAATTTGTAGTCAGTAATTAAGTTTCATTAGATTAAATATTTAAAACACACATGACAACAGCGCGTCGGTCTTTCATCACTCTTATCGAACCGGCAATCGATCGCAAACGGTAACAGTGGTTAGTTATCGTTTTGCATCGATAAATTACTTTATCGTTTTGTCGGGCAGAGCATCGGGCGTGTTGTTTTGTTTTTGTTCGCGTACGTCGTCGTGTTTATTTACAATGTTCTCGAATCAAGAGTTCGCCGACATGTTGTTAGTTTGCGGCGAAGCTCGTCAGAATTCAAATCTTGCAGCTCAAATTTATCGCGACAGATTTCGCCAACGGGTGCACCCTGACAGAAGGACATTTGACAGGAGGAACAAATTTTAAATATCGTGGAAATCAATGCAGATATCAGCACTCGGGAATTAAGCCGCCGCGTAGGACTATCGCATACCATAGTCCATGTACTTTTACGCGCAACGGGATATTAAATTTCCATAATACTCACACGTTGGCTCAAGAAAATCCTCATACCAGTCGTGAAGGTCATTTCCAACAACGTTTTAAAATAAATATTTGGGTGGGTATTCTTGACGATCAGGTAATTGGTCCTTTCGAGTTACCCCCAAAGTTGTCAGGAGAAGGATACCTTAACTTGTAATGAGTAGACTCACTGAGCATTAAAGTTAGTGTGGTTCATGGAACGCTTCGGAAGGAAAACATGATTCAAATATCGAAAAACAACAGAAATGCATCTCTATTTCTTAGCAATAATTTCTGAAGCATATTACATTATTTATAGCGTAAATATTATATAATGAAAAAATACACGTCTTGAAGATCACAAATAAAATCAATAGTAGTCTGGAATCGAACCTTTTATTTTTGTGTGTGTTATGGGCGAAAAATGGCCCTTATCAACCCACCTGCTTTACTGTAGTTCCCACGAAAGAAAGCCGATAGGATTCCATTTTCGTTCTATATAATGTTGATACCATACATCCAAACTACCAAAGTCTGAAAAATCTTTTGTTCTTTACATCTGATGGTAGCCTAATATTCATAGGATAAGTAGAATCATATTGTAAGCACAGGGTGCAGAAAAGCTTATTCGGAATCCTCCTGTTTCACTGTGGGCCACAGGTTAAAGATTTACTGATGTTTGTTTCAGCCACTGTGGTGGCTTTTTCACAGAGCTTATTACGTCACTAGAAATTTACGTCACAACTTTAACGCGGAATGCATTTAAATCTTGAAAGGCAAGTTTTGCCACTTTTTGATCTTAGAAAAACGTAAAAACAAAACGTTTCATGAGAATAAAATTTTTGGCTAACAGAAAAAGTAAATGGCGACGATGATCTTCTGTACGAGTGCGGTCCGATAACTACTGCCCGATGTCGCCAAATTATTCGAATTAGGCTACGAACTGCTGCCCCAGCCACCCTATTCTCCAGATTTGGCCCCGGGCGACTTCTTTTTGTTTCCGAACTTGAAGAAGTCACTCGGGCAGAAATTTGAGTCGAATGAGGAGGTTATTGCTTGGTCAAGTGCATTGTGCTAAAAGGAGACAATGTTGATAAATAGGTCGCCACTTTTCCAAAATTTTCGTTTTTCTTTTGTAGGTCAAACACTCATCGGATCTCCCTCGTAGAGGTGAAGTATAGCAGTTTCTATGTTCTTGTATAAAATTTATCTGTAGGAGTATATTTTAAAACCCAAATTTATCAGAATATTTCGTTATTTCTAGACACACCTTATGCTCTAGGAATACTGGAGATGTTTTCTGAATAATCCCATAGACAAGTTTTACTTACCTCCCATTCTCAAGCCTCTATCAAGCCCTCCAATAACGACCAAAGCGGGCCAAACAGACGCGCACAACTCATCTATCTTCATATCACATTTTTTCTCATTTTCAAACTCATCGTCTATCACAGGAAACAGAGACTCTATCTTTGTGAGCCTCCACATGAGCGCATCGTTTACGTCTTCGGTCCAAGTCGGCGAAGTGTGAAGTCTTCGTAGTAAGGATATGTAGGATTCTGTCAGTACGGCGTACAGCGGAGCTAAGTTAGGCTCGCCGGGAAGAAGATCTCTTTGGGTTCCGTGTACCTGTAAATAAAAAATGGTGGTAAAGTCAAACAAAATTCTGAAAACGATCACGTCAAAAGACGGAGTTATAGCAAATGTTTTTTCATGTTTTTGCCTTCTAAAAGTCAATCTTTCTTTACCTTCATATCCGTGATTTTCACTTTTTCTCCTGGATTGGTGCTGTAAAACATGACGCACGGGTACAATTCAGGTGCATCGATGTTTTCAAAAGCTACTCGTGGTTCCTCCCCATTCTTGTCGAAGCTTAAGGTTTTTGCATCCATATCTAGTACCACCGTGATGTAATCACCTGGAAAAAATATGCTACTGCCTACAACCATATCTCCGATTGAAGAAAGCAAAGTGACAATAAAGTCAAAAATTCCATAAACTACATTAGATGCAATAAAAAAGATTTGAGCACCTTGCGTATAACTCGGGAAGCATGTATCTCGCTCTCCTCCATGATAAAGACTACCACTATAAGCTCGGTACAGCCACATATCGTTCGTTGACCTGTGACTGAAATCTTTGACTGGATACTTAGATACGCCGATGCATGTGCCTTCATTTCCTCGATTTTCTTTGACGATCAAAATTTTCCATTGATAACAGCCTGGAAAGAGAAGATACTTTCTTGGAAACAAATTGTCACACTAATAGAACAAAATCTCAATAGGGAAACATTTAGGTGACAATACAATTAATTAGGCTCATGATTAGTGATGAAAAAATTGAAGTAGTCGATTTGCTTCAAATAATTACACTAAAAAATCAAAAGTTACTTCATGAGCACCCAAAATTCATAGTGCAATTTTAATAGACAAGAATGTGGATTTACAGAAATTTGATTCAAATATTTGTATAAGAATAATTATACAAAATTGACATTGTAGCATTAATGCTAAATGATACAAACAGTAGATCGTATAAAACCCAAAAAGTCATTCAAATAAATATTTTTTCAGCTGTGGGCATTGGAGAGTTAAATATAGGTATGAGTACTAATGAGATTTACTAGTATTTTATTATAGGTTATATAAGTACTGTGAAAACTTGTGCCGTTTATATATACATTTGTCAGTGGTAGTTTTCATTTGTTGGGGCTTTTTGAAAGTTGTGACGTTCTTATGTTTTGGTAGTACGGGATAATCGTTTCTTTTAGCCCGTTTAAGTAACATTACCGCGTATAATCTTGTGCGCGAAACTTGTAAATAAAGTGTATTCCGAATTCGGTGTCTCATCTCCTGACAAGAACCAACAGCAATGTCAATGTTTAGCTCTTACCTGATCGAATAGCCTGGAGACCAAGTCCGTAACCTCTACCTCCAGCTCCGTGAACTAAGGTGAGGTTACTCTCTATGGAACAATTATGGCATTTATCTGGATCGAATCCAGTATCGTGCACTGGAACGTTGCCTTCACCATCTTTCATACCCTTGCCGTCCGACCATTCGTCAGACATTTCTACGGAAAAAAATGTTAGATTTTTGTAATTAACTTATAAACTATGGATGAAATGGGATGCAAAACTAGAGTCTCTGTAGTACACTACATCTTTTTGTAAATTAAATTGCTAGACAACCAAATCAATAGGATTTTTCTAAGCGGGTCTTAAATAGTGTGTTCTATTAGACCAAATAATTAAAACTATACTTTTTCAGGCCTAAAATACTTGAAAAAAGTTGAATTCAAAATTTTTTTTCCATAACATTATCTATAATACCATCATTCTTCCAAATTTCTTGTACTGTTCGACTATTCTATATTTAGCAAATAATTCCATTTTTGAAAGACTGCAAATTTTACAAAATAAGTGCATGAGAATAATACTAAATAAAGATAAATATACTCCAATTAGGCAAATGCTTAGCAAATTAAAATGGCTCAATGTAAAAAATTTTATCAAATATCTTGTAATGATATTCATTTATAAATTAAAAAATAATATATTTCCATCAAGTCTAACTAATTTAACATCATCAAATGTCGACCATCATTTACATAATACCAGAAATAAAGATGACTTCCATTTAATGAACAAAAAGTATAACATATGCTACAAATCTGTATTCCATCAAGGGTTGATTGAATATAATAAATTATACTCGGAGATAAAAGACCAGAAAACTTTGACAAAATTTAAAGTAAAATTGAGAAATCACTTGTTAAATCTACAATTATAGGTTGCCCAGCATTTACATCATACACCATATGGCTTGAATTTACTAGTTCTAAGTTGTTTACAATTGTTCTGTTTATGTAGCCAAATGTGCTAAATAAATCTTTCTACTACTACTAAAAACCAGTGACTGGCAGCAGCATACATCTCAAACTTTTAACCACATAATCATGGATTTCTACTAGTTCATATGAAAAATATAGTAATTATCGTTACTGTATCGACCGAGAATCTTTGAACACAACGATAACGACCCCAGGAAAGCTGTGGATTAGAGTGACCTTACCTTGCGATTCTGGCGAATTTCTCCCGGACTCGGAAATGCTCCACATCTCCCTACCGATCTGGTTCAACAGCTTATCCACAATATGCCTCCTGATGCCATCGTCAATATGGACAGACTGCAAACTGGGCAGAATGACCTGGAACAGCTGCAACACTAACAGCTTCGGACGAAGGATCTTCAGCTGTGAAGTATAGGTCGTGCATAGGTTGCTAGTGTCCAAGATTGACAGGAAGGCGTAGATCCACTTTTTGGAGGCGAGCAGTTTCTGGATGATGTCGCTGGATGAAATGATACGCAAGAACACCAGGAAGTCGCCTAGGTTTCTTTCGCTGTTTCCGCTACATAATAAAAGGTAATTATGGATATTGATCCGATAATCAAAATTATGACAAAATAATACGCTCATATATCGCAAAAATAGCGCAAATATCGGAGTACCACGGCTATAGTGAAAAAAAAAATGAAACCTCAGAAAAATTGACAAGTTGAAATTGGTCATTGTGGTGATAATGACACTAGGAACAAAAAGCAATCCTCACCTCGCATTAAATGCGAAAACATTCTTCTTTTAATTGGAAAGTATGCAGATTTCAGTTTTGCAGGTAATCTTGTGAAGATCACTGCAAAGGTATTTGGTGTGTCATCTATTATGAAAGTTGGGACTTTCCTTTTCATAAACAACTACCTTTGTAATAACAAAGGTAATGTGCGGTGAAACAACAGCGAAAAAATAAAAAAAAAAATGAAACAAATTTCAAGTTGAGTCACTTGTTTAAAGTTGCCTGCAAGCAAAAAAAATCGTGAAGGATCTTCAAAAACGATCTGCTTGCACTCGCGAAGCCTCGGTAGCATTTCGAAGAGACTCACTGTAAATTAAAATAACTTCGGTATTGCTGTAAGAGTGTGCCATTTTTCTTTAGAACCGATGTGTAGAGGTTTTGTTTACAAATTTATTATTTGCGATCCACCCTTGGAAAATGTCAAATTTGCGTCATGTACTAAGGATAAACTTACTTTGGCGAATACATAGTACGAGATAGCGCTTCGCAACTTTCGCCGAACGCCTCCATCGCTTTCAAAAATTGCTCATGAAGAATGTTTACGACGTTCTCCAACGTCGCCAAATCTACTTTTTTGGAGTAGACGCAACAGGATATCGCCAGGATGTGCGTCAGCCTGAGCGCGGCCGCGTTGAGTATTTCCGATTTGCTCAGCAGCCTCGCCGAGATACTGTTGATGTCGACCAGTTGCATCAACAGTTGGACTAGATCGTTGTTTATCACTATTGACAAATCGTTTGGTTGGTACCTAAAAACGGAAAAAAAATTTGTTTGTCGAAGATATATTTAGCATTAATGCTACAATGTCAACTTTGTAGGATTATTCTCTTACACATTTTTTGCATCATTTTTCTGTAATTTTACATTATTGTATGTTAAAATTAGATCGCTTTGCATTTTGGGGATTCAAAGTGTTGTAGTTACACGTTAAACATTTTTGAATTCGAACACTGTTTAATATCATTTTCCAAGTTATTAAATTCAAACACTCCCTTTTGCAATACAGATTTGCAGTTATGCTACTATTACAGTTTTGCAGATGAAAATTTATACTGCCTCTAGTTTCGTAGTTATGATGATGAATATTTAATTTTCTGAAGTGAATGTGGTGGTAATAAATGATTTTTTAATTCGAATATTTAAATCCCTAGCTTTAAAATAAAGACGCTTACTTTACTAATGAGTCGTTACGCGTTTCGTAAAATTTCCTTTTTCGAAAACGATATTTTGTCACAGACCATGACCCAATACAGAGTGAGCCATCAAGTTGAGCGGATTTTAAAAAATCATAGAATAAACTACATTGAGATGTGAGCCATCGAGACCTCGAATCTCGACTTTAAATTCGTGAAAACTCGCTGGGTACATTGCTCGCGGGATAGCAGACATCCCCTCGGAAATGCTGAGCTTGAGCTGGACAATCGTGGTCGGTTTATTGACGTAAACGCGACTCTTGAGGTATACCAGAGAAAAAAAATCCAGTGACGTGAGATCTGCTCTCCGGTGGAACACTAAACTTCCGAGCACCAGGCTACTTATCACCTCTATCCCTGTCTCGCTCGCGCGTGCAGTGCGGTTTTGAAATTCCTATGTCTTTCTGGTCCACCCTGTATATAGCTGAAGCTGAAAAAAAATCTTCATGATCAAAAACCTCATACCTGGTACTCAGCGAAAATATCGTCACCAAAAGCAGGTGCTTATTCTCCGTATTGTTCTGAATTTGATTCTTGAGACTTCTAGTTAAAAATTCGTAAATGCCGTGCACGACACATCTAATCTTCTCCTGTATTTCGGCTGGAGAGGCCTGGATTCCTTCCAGGTAATGGTGCAGTTGGGTGCACGATTCTTCGCCCCTGACGTTGCAGAAGCCAAAACACCCTTCCAGCAGTTGCTGCTGGATGCAGTTTAGAACGGTGGGTGAAACATCTTTCGACACTAAGTGGAATAACAAATTATCCAGGCTTTGATACCTAAAATGAATAAATTCGATAAAATTGCTACAGGCAGATCGCTAAACAAAATACTTTTCATGTATGACTGTAGAACATTTAACAGTACGTCAAACTACATGATTCGGTGGTATTTTTAAAAGTGCTTTCGTAGTCTGTTCTCTCAGATAAATTGGGTGCGTAGGTTCCGAATTCGCACGGTTGGTCTCAAACGACTCATTCTCCATCTCTTGAATTTCAAAAATAAAAAATGCCATAGATGCTATTTTCACATTAAACACAGTTGTACTCAAATTTAAACGATAAACAAATTTCAATTGCTCTTTTGAGGCTTTTCCAAAACTTGGTATATTAAAAAAAATAACTATGCTTGTACTGGAACTTCACTCAATTGGTCTAAAGCATACTTAAATAGTCGATTGCAAATTGTGAAAGTACCAAGATATTTTATTTCAGATAAATTAAATATAAATGCAGGGACACCTCAAGGATCAGAACTAGGTCCGATCCTATTGTTAGCCTATACCGTGAATTAATAAATATAAATATAAATGGTAAATTTGTAGTTTTTACTGACGATACCACAATGCAAGACAAAGATACAAGTAAAATTGAGACAAATATTGATAGTGATATAAAGGAAATAAAATGTCAATGTTTGTTAATAAGACAAAATTTATGCCATTTAAATGCTCCCTTGATTTTATAAATTTAAATAATGAATTGATACAAAATACAAACACCATCAAATTTTAGGGACTGACCAATGACCATAAATTAGATTTTACTAATCATGTAGACAAATTGCTTACTTAACAATCAAGTATTTCCTTTATTGTAAAAACAATTAGTTACAAAGTAGAGGAAAGCACATGATAAAGTAGTTACTTTCCCTTATTTGAATGTCGCTTGAGATATAGCATTCCCTATCAGACATAAATTGAAAGCAATGCTACAGCTAAATGCAGGTCTTTTTTTCTTAATCTTAAAATAATGACTGTCGTATCATTGTTTATTTTAGAAACAACTCTTATATTCAAAAATAAATATTCAATTGCATTCTTCATATTTTTCTATCTATCAGAAGTACAAGTTTTCATTTGCTTCTAAGAACAGTTGATGTAATTGGTAAATCTGACTAGACGAATTATTACCTGCTGAGTGCTCTATTTTTCTGCGAAATAAGAGCCTTATAAAATATGTACGGATCAGTACACCAGCCTCTCGATTCACTACCACCGACTGGCACTTTCTCTAAAGGTTCGTCTAGGACGAAGCCCATATAAGTACTACAAATCCTTCTGAGATCGTTGAACACGACTGCGTCGCGAGAATTCTGATAATATTCTACGTAAGCCCTTTGAGAACTTGATTCTTCATCTAGAACTATTTGAGAACCTTCGAGGTTCACCTCTACACCTGGAAAAATGGGGATCTATTAGAATTTTGTCGGGATAAGTGCCTACCCGAATTGAGCCATTTCATCCATGCCTTTGTAACGAAAAATTTATATATAATACGTGGGCAATCTGCCGATTCATAAAGAAACAAAAAGGTATGACAAATTTCGTTAAAAGATTTGCATGGACCACGTAAAGAAGCTGCTAGAGATTGGTCTAAAAAATTATGTTCAGCACTAGTTATATCCTTTGACAAAAATCTTGGTTACGAGCATGCATCTTTCCCTGTCCTACCGGTATTACCGTCCATCAGGCAAACGTCATAAAACGAAACTTGGGCGATTTCTGTTTTGTCGCCTCATAGCTACAAAGGCACTGGACTGATTTTCAAAAATTGCATAGCTTTTTCGTCCCTAACATCGCAGTGATCTTCTGTGAAATTTTCGCCCAAATCCGATGCGTACTTTACAAGTTATAGACGGGCCAAGGTTAAGCGGACATCAGACCGACGGAAATGAGTGACGTTTTGCCATATACCTTCCAAAAACCAATATCTCATTTCCGAAATGATCTCCAATCGCCGCAACATTTTGTGTATATTGTGTAATAATAGCCCAAACTGATATCCGACATGTTCCTATAGTGGAAAACAATGTTCAGTGTTTTCATCAAAAATGCAGTTTATGTTGGATAGATGAAAATCAACAATGCTGTCGATTTTCCACATTCTCCTATTTTTCATGTGACTATACTTACTTTTAACGAGTATCAAAACGAAGAGGCTCCTTTGTATAACACCATGACAAAGCATTTCGAAATCAACATCACGATCCTTCGGGCTATCAGGTTCAGGATCGTCTGCTTGATCAGTTTCCTTATCTTCATCCAAATCTTGATCCTCTTCTTCTTTATTGTTTCTGTCAAACAACGCACCTGCGGATAAACATTTCATCTCGTTTACATTTTACCTCATATTTCTCGTCGAAAACAGGTCGAGATGTTGTGAAGAATTTTTATATGCGCAAATGGATTGTCAGAGGTCACAAGAACACGTTCTGAAACCCTTAGAGCAGTGACGTTCATAGCGGCAAGCGTTTTTGTGAAAAAATAGTACCAGTATCGATTTTCAGAAAACGATGCCATTTTTTGCAAAAACTAGTAGAGAATAACATAAAGTTTAAACATTCCGGATCACAAATATGGACCTATATTTATACGAACTTTTTATGATCTTTTGGTACCGACTCAATCCTTATATTTTTGACATCATGTACCACCCGGTATAGGAACTAAATTATTATGCTGTGATTTTTATTCCAATAGATGCCTCAGATGCACAAACTTTCGTTGTAATATCACTCATATTATTTAAAAATGATAAATTATAGTTTAGAAAAAACACGCTTTAATAGAAAATCGAACTAAAAAGTAGAAAATAAATAGCAAGTACAACAATCAAGTGTGACTGATTAATTTGGAATAAGATGATTATAAAAATTAAGGCATTCACAAAAATTTAATCATAGTAAAAAAGCGTGGAGTGCTTGATATTCAATGTTAGAATTATTTTTTTAGTTGCTGTCTATAAAATTTGAGTTATTATGAAAATAAATAGTTGAATTTTTTGTTTCTTAATTTTTATATTGATCTGATTTCTGGATTTTTAGTCGCAAAACGACAGTAAAACTACTTACGATCAAGAGCTTCGTTTTGGTATACAATAAATCTAAATTTTCTTACATTTTTTTCGGAATTTGGTAATTTAAAAACTTTTTCAAAACTTCCAAATTTTAATCAAAATCTTCAAATCCTCAAATTCGAATTTCCGAATTTTCAATTCAATTTTAAAATCCAAATTTCCAAATCCATATTTTTTGAAAATTTCCAAATTCGAATATGTATTCTTCCAAGATTATTGTATTGCCATTGGCCCATGGCACTTGGGCAAATTTTTAAGTTTATCAGATTTCTTAAAATTGGTGAAAATCAGGTCGAAAGATTCCGTTATGTACACACACTCGAATCAAGCAATTGAAGGCGTGTTAAAAATGAGACTTTTCCTATTTAAAAAGTGAAGTTTTTGCATCTCTACTTTGTTAGCTGCGATATGAAATTTCGGCACGCTGTGATACAGTCTTCAAAACCCAAAAGTACGCCAATTTAGACCTGAAAAACAAGGTTAAAATAAACTAATTTCAAAATACTTGTAGAGCAAGGTTTTAACTTTAATTTAGAAACTTGGCAACCTGAAAAATTATAATTTTTAACAAAGCCTTAAAATTTGTTTAATCAATCTTTTTAATTAAATGACATTTTTTCCGTTTTTTTTATCATTTCGGACAAAAAGGCTTTCATTAGCTTTTTTCTAAACCTGACAATTTTTGAATTATCATCAATTTAATAGCATGCTTCGGCTATTAGCTCAAAAGCTCTGTTAAAAAAAAATTAATTTTTGATTTCACAAAAAATTAAGGTAAAGTTTAAACCTTACTTTACAAGACCCCGAAGAATATTTTGAGATTAATTTATTTTTAACCTTGTCTGTGTTGTGCGTGAAGCAATTTCCCTCCAGCAACCCAATTCGTCTTTATTGTTAGTGTTACCTATCAGTCGTCGCCTAAGACTTAGCACAGCCTTGTACACCTCCTTGATAGTCGGATGCGACGGAGTTTTATGCAGCAGGCCTGTCTGTTTCAACAATGCCACCAAGAAAACTCTGACGGTCGTATCTAATAATTTCTTCGCATCCTCTTCCAACTCCCAGCTTTCCGTTTCCACCATTTCCATCATGCCTTCGTAGAAAGCATTCCTGCTGTCCGCGTCCTCTTGGGTTAAGGCACAGGCTTCGTCGTACTGCTGTGGTAAATCGAAGGCTAGCTTGCACAGGCTTTGGACCGGTGGAGGCAGACTTTCTAGTCTAATAAAAGAGTCAACAACAGTGTAGTATGGTAAGAGCATACTGTATAATATATTGTTATTAGAAACGTATCGCAGGTAAAATAATTCACCGGAAATGCTGCGCCATGGACAAAATGTCTAAAACATTTTATTACGAACCTCACAAACAGAGCTTCTTGAGCCTTAGCGAAAGTGGCAAGATACATGCAGTCGATAACCATTTCAATATTTTCATTCTCCACGCCGGCCGAGAAAATCTCATTGGTTAACCAATTGCAGCACAGATTCTCCATGGAAGAGGGCGGTTCACCTGATAAACAAAATTTCAAGTACATTCGTCAGAACGTATTTTCAAAATCTTTGAAAAGCCTCACATCAAATAAATTATTACATACCTACAAGTATCCCGCTTAAGCATTGACCAATAACCAATGAACTGGTTTTCTGCATATCAACTATCCAAATCCATGATTGTTCCTCTAGTTGATCTAATGTTGGTGTTTCGCTTCCTGAAAGAGAATCTTCAAATAAAACTGATTATGAGGTTTAAGTACAAAATTAGACTGTTGGACTGAACACTATAAACTGAAAAAGCAAAGTATAACAAGCTTAAGGGTCATAGTATTAACGGAGACTGGGGAGCTTGAGATAGGAGATTTTTAGAAATAGCTTGTCATTTCTCAGTGGATGGCAAATATTATATGCGCCATTAGTGAAAGTAAATCATGCCCCTAATATTTAAGAACATGGGCGAAATCTAGTCCTCCAAATTGGGTGTTCTTCGTACCAGCTGCGTCAGTAGCCTTTATAACTACGAGGGTGGTCCCAGAAGTACCCGACCCAACGAAGAAAACACTAAATTTTTGTAAAAAAATGTATTTATTTTTCAACATAATCTCCTTTGAGCTCTATACACTTTTCCCAGCGATGTTCAATAAGTTCGATACCCTTTTTATAATAAGAACTGTCTTGCTCCTCAAAATATCCATTAACTGCCGACATCACTTCTTCATCGTTGGAAAATCTTTGACTACTGAGCCATTTTTTCAAGTTTGGAAACAGAAAATAATCCGAGAGGGCTAAATCTGGTGAATAGGGTGCATGAGGTAGCAATTCAAACTTTAACTCGTTAGTTTTGGCCATTGCAATAACGGATTTGTGAGCTGGTGCATTGTCTTGATGAGACACCACTTTCTTTTTAACCAAATGCGGCCTTTTTTGCTTGATTTCATCGCTCAAACGTTGCAATAAGTTCGCATAATACTCGCCGTTGATAGTTTTACCTTTTTCAAGATAGTCAATGAAAATTATCCCACGCGCATCCCAAAAAACCGACGCCATAACCTTGCCTGCAGATGAAACGGTATTCGCCCTCTTTGGAGCTGGTTGTCCCTTTTGAGTCCATTGTTTTGATTGTTCTTTTGCCTCGGGTGTGAAGTGATGGACCCATGTTTCATCCATGGTTATGAAACGATGCAAAAATTCTGCTTTGTGGCTGTGAAACTTCGCTAAACACTCAATTGAAACATCTTCACGACACTGTTTTTGCTCGATTGTGGGCAATCGCGGCACCCATCTTGGACACAGCTTTCTCGTGTCCAAATTTTCAAATAATATGCGATGAACCGCACTTTTTAAAATGCCTACTATGTCTGCTAGCTCGCGCACTTTCAGTCGACGATCATTCAGTACCGCTTTGTGAATTTTCTTCACCATTTCTGAAGTCATCACCTCATTTGGTCCACCACTGCGATGCTCGTCTTGGCAGCTCATACGGCCTGGTTTAAACTCTGCTACCCAATATTTTACTGTTGTAAACGAAGGAGCAGACTCACCCAGAATAGAATCCAGTTCAGCTTTCATATTGGTTGGGCTGAGGCGTTTGAAATAAAAGTATTGTACCACATAACGATGACCAATTTTCTCCATTTTCATAAATTCACTGAAAACGTTGATGGCTGCCAAACAAATACTAAACAACGTGGCGTCGTCAAACTTGACACATATGCTTTAAGGGCTGCATACTTTCTAATAAAATGATATTTTTGAAACAACTAACGCCATCTCTAGGTCAGGCCGGGTACTTCTGGGACCACCCTTGTATTCTTTTGTTTTATTTCATTTTGAGGCTCTATACCTCCGAAAAACACCAAATACGAGGTCTGTTAATTAAGTGATGAGACTGATTTTTAAAAAAAAATTAATCAAAGATAATTACAATTTTAGATTGTCACCAAAGTTTTCGACTGTTCCAAAATGGGTTCAGTTGAGGTTACTACTTCTGGGACCACCCTAGTATTCCTCTGTAGGCCTGCTGAAGTTTAGCAAGACTTTCCATAGCACTGTGCCCGAGTCTGAAGCAAAACCTAATAGCACACCTTCGCTCAAAATTGATGTCACTAATTTTTAGAACACAATAGGAAAAACTTTTCCACATAAAAATCTCTACGGACAACCAAACGCTTCGAGAGAGTTCAAACTTGTACTGACGCCGGACTACATGTCCCCCTGTCTCATTACTTAATTAATTGAAGACATTATTCAAAACAATGTTTGCTTTACTGTACTCACTCGACGAATCCTTATCACCCTCGTACAACAACTCCGGCGGTAGCAACCTGTTAAACCTATCCAGCGGTTCCATCAACTTGAGCAGATGTGGATGCACTTGCTTCACGAACGACATGCGCATCATCAACATCGAGTGCAGGATCTTAAACAACATCGCACCCGCTACGGACTCCAACAACACATTGTAGAGGAGCTCCAAGCAGGTGGGGTGCATCACCAGGATGTTGGCCGCTCTCTTCAGCACTTTAAGAAACATTATAACAAAGTATTTTCAAAACGATTACGAAACACAGAGTTAACATAAAAGATCCCGCAGTGAGTACATGATTCTTGTGCACGGACCATGTTAATTTAAAATGAAACATAAAACATTGACTATCAAATTTTGAAAATGTTTGTGCCACAAATTACCCCAGTGTTTTGTTTTAATGTAGATACGAAGGATAAAAATGGAAATTTACGGCTGAGATACTTAAAAAATTTTCTAAAATTGCTGCATATATAGGGCGTAATTGAATATCAATATTTAAGGAGGCGATTTTTGAAACAATTTTGAGAAGAAAACTTCATATGAACGTATGATCTAAACGTCTTAACCTTTGAGATACAGGGTGACACAGTTTTCAATATAAAAAGTCAGTGGAACGCCATTTAATCTTTAAATAAAAATAAATGAAATCTGTATTCATTTATGAGCAGATCTGACCTCTTGAATTTTTCAAGTCCGACGCACGGTTTTCGCAGAAAAAAAAGAACGAAAACCGTTATTCTGCATGGCGATATTATCATATGAACTACGTTTGAACCAGATAAAATGTTTCAAATGAGGAAGTCGTTTCAAAGTTTCTCAGTTTTCACTTCTTCCACTGGATCATAAAAACATGCCCGAAAATTTCCAGAACATCAATCACTCCATATCGAAGTTCGTACATTTAGGACTGACCGATACGACCGCTCCTTTGTTCCTAGGATATCGAGATTGTGGAAAATCATGAGGAGGCTTTTCCGAATTCTACTAACCTTGGGCAGTTCAAAAATCGGATTGGCAAAGTTTCATTAAGCTCCTCACAGCAGCCCCGTTACCTAGGAAACAAGCTTCCATTTAGATCATAGAGGCGCCATAGTTTATGGTTTTTTGACAAAGTGGAATTTTTGTCACTATCTCGAAAACGCGGCATTTCTGGACTGAGTTGAGCCACGGATTTGGTTTCAGCGACCCAAAAACACGTATTTTAAGAATGGTTGGGCTCACGTTCCCGACTTTGTAATATGGTAACTAAAAATTAAAATGCTTTAAATGCGGATAAAATGTCATCTATTGTAGGGATTTTACGTCGCGAATACGAAGTCTTTTCACACTTATCTGATCCCGCTTATCTTGTAGATCTAATTATTTAGCGAAAAATTGCAAAACTATGCGTTTTTGCGACTTTAAGGCGCTAAAAATACATTTTTATTATCGGTCGCTACATGTGAGCGAAGCTTTGTACAATAAGGTAATTTGGGGCGCTAAGTCTGTGTTACATGGTGAGAAAATTCAAAAGTGTTATCGGACCGGATTTGGTATGAAAAGTTTGTAAAAAACTAATTTTCTGAAGCACAAACATTTTCCGAAAACAAGCTACCGTCAAGATCATAGACGCGCCACAATTTTTGGAGAGTTTTTCTTTGTCGTTTTTTGACAAAGTAGAATTCTTAACCCTTATTGGAATTTTTTTAGAATACAATTCCATACCTTTGACGGCGAACGTGAACACGTCAGACAGGTGATTGGCCAAGAGATCATTGTCAGGGTGCGGGTGGCGATTTTTAGGACAGACGGTGTATGCTGCCATCATGTGGTTCTGCAGCGAGGACAGCAGTTTCTGGAGGTCGTACATATTTTGATTCTCAGGATGGCGCCATTTTGATTTCGATTCTAGGGACATGTGGGCGTCTATGCTGTCCAGGACGTCCTCCTACAAAACATTAGCAACAGGTCATGTTTTAAACTTGTTAAAATAAACATGATAGGGAACGATTTCTTGCTCTATTTAGGTTCGTTTCACATTTTCTATACTATCGAACTAGCCAGTCGTAGGTTTTCGACAGAGTTGGGATGTAGAAGAATTGCGTTAAGTAACGCAACGCTGTCATCTGTTCATAAATAATTACGTTCGGCACAAGTTCTGTGCTCAAAGAATCGAACATCTGGCAACGGTGCCGAACCACACAAGTATACCCTACCATAAGCGCCAGACACGATACTATAACTGCGATGCAGTCAGACGTACAAAAGGTCTGGCGCATGAAGGTTGTCATCGTCCCGATCGACCGCGTGCCGCGTCTGTAAATATTTCTCTGTTTCAAGGACAAGTGTACGGGGAAATTTATGAATAATAATGTGCGTAAAATCCACTATAATCCCCAAACCTCGATTTTTAACCCCTACACATTTTTTTTACTGGAACGATTTTCAAAAACTACAAGGCCTTTTCGACATTGCCACAGTAGCAAACTTGTGTTCAAAATCCTAGCGCTACTTCCCAAGTAACAGACGGGCCAAGGATTAGCGGACAGACAAACCTACTGAAAATATGTTACATGTCACATGAAGAGATATTCTTTCATGAACTTACAGTGTGTTTGGTGTAACATTTCAGCAACGTGTGCAGTAAAGTGCTTGTCAACTTCAAATCCTTGACACCCAATTTTTCTGAATTCCTACTGAAGCCCAATATCGCTGAGACGTGCAGGGGCTCCTCCAGGCTATTCATCACAATGCTTAGGAGCATTTCTTGACCCTGAAAGTCAACATAAAAATAGGATTCGAAAAAGAGATTATTTGAAGAATCTGTGACAATCCCACTTCTGACAACTTACTTACTCTTGACATCATAATGCTAGTGTTCTGGCAAAGCTATTATTATTCGAACCCTGTTTATGAGTTTCGCAAAAAATAGTTGCAAGGTAATTTAAGTATCAATCTCTATGCTGTACTGTCCGTCAAATGAATCAACAGATGTTGAATTAACATGTTTACTTGTATTTCGGCCACTTTTCGAAGTACAAATTGACAATAATTTAACTAGTTGTCCATAAATATGGGGCCTAAGCAATGCTACTTACAGCAGAAAGTTGATTTCCGTTATTCAAGTGAGTCAGATGCGTATCTAAGAACTCCATACGTTCACTCAGTTGAGGTAAAAGCAAAGGAGCTCCGATGTTCAGAACTTCCTTTGCTGCTGCGTGGATCTCTTTAGGGGTAACCATGTTCACCAACCTGTAAAATACACAATAGACGAATTTTGTTGACGACTTTAGAAAATGTAGTTGCATGTCGTTAATAACAAATATAAAATAGTTCATTCCAAGGTTTTTGGCAGGTCACGCTTAAACTACCAGCATCCCTTTTATACATCATCTATCTCACACATGCATATGCGATACGTCTATGTGCGTTCTTTACCCTGATGATATCGTTTTCTCTACATATTTTCGACTGCATTGTTTACGTGAAGAAAGTTTAGTTGTTCAGAGAGGTACTGACACCACTATGCATGGCCGACTAAGAATGCGATCTCAGAAACTATCCGTCGTAGAGGCTTGAGGCAAAAACAGCGATTACTGAAACGGCCTAGAGAAAAACCTGGAAAGCATTTTCAAATTTCTGAAATGGCCGCTAGAGGGCGTTTTCGACATTTCGACAGAAATGGTTGATTTTCTCAAAAAAATTAAATGCATTGGTATGATTTTTTATATGAAAAAGTAGCTAAATGATGTCTAAACAAGCTCGCAAAAACCGCATCTCGATATCTTGTTCCTAACCTAAAATTTAGACCAAAGAAAATGTTTTACGGAAATCCCTTAAATTTTTATTTTTCAAACTAATTTTTCCGAAATTTCTTTTTATTAAGTTGTGGCGCTAAAAAGGACCATTTAAAAAAAGGTTTTTAATGCCTCTCATTACGAATTCGGTTTTTCATATCTTCTCTGGTTGTAGGTTGAGTCGGAATCGCGATGTACTTTAACCTTGCCCATAAATAAAAATCAAGACGTTATCAAGTCTTGTTATCGCGAAGGCCATGAAAACAGACTCCACCGCTGTTGAAATATTGCATTGAAATGCGCACGCACAATAATAGCAAAATGTGCTGGATAACCATCCATATGCAAATACAAGTTTTACAGTCTTTCCAGTGGCACATCTTCCAACAACAACGGTAATTGATTGACCAAAAAGTCAAGAAAGACATTGCCATTTATGGATTGCTCGAAAAAATATGGCCGATTTATTCTGCCTCCCAGTATGCCACACCACACATTTAAACTCTAACCCTTGGTGCAGAACTGTTGGTAATATGACACACTAAGTCCCCAACAAAAGCCAACCTACACATTGTAGTATAATAATTTTCTTATAGATATATATTTCTTCTCAATCTTCTGTTCCTCAGGTTACACCCGTATCAGGATGTAGGGGTATGTGTATCTACCTTTGTGGTTGCATATGTGCATTCATTTCGGGCGATGAAGCCAACAAGCAGAACTACGTATTGCTCGGGTTACCTATCCTATTTTCTGCTCGGACCCACTTTCATTCTTTTTGCGGATTTTGCCCATTATTTTCCTATTTTTTTGGTATATACTTCGACAAATTAGAGCAAAGTATACTCTTATTAATTTATTTCTCTAGCTTTCGATAAAACTTTGTCATCAACATTAGAAGAACGGTACGTGAGATAGCAGTAGTCAATTTTTTTTATAAAGTACATATAGCTATGTGTTAGAAAAACATCAAAACGGATTAAAAACTTAAAGATTGATTGTTAATTTTGATTTTTTACATCTTGAAACAATCTAGCAATGCGGAGTCCACCTACTTCACGCCGTTTTTTCCTTATGCGCAAAAGCAGTTTTTCGAACAACTCTCAGATTTTTACAAACAACACCGTGAATAAATACACTACAAATAAATTTGAACAAGCAAACGTTTCAGGTATATCTATCTATAAATTGTGTCCGCACGCAAACTTTATTTTCTTTCCACGGAATACACAAAAACTATTTCCACTAGCCAATAAATCCTTTGACTTTAAAAAAACTATCCAGCACCGACCTATACGCGTTAACTCACAATCGTATTGGGTATCTGGTCGACCAATCAAAGCTAAGCAGTACGTCTGGCTGGTTGTTCGCGATAATCGATGTCGACAAAAAATAATCTGATAAGAAACGAGTCCTATTTCAGGTTTTTGCGTGAATGTATAGAAATTCCTTTATTGCTATTGGTCTACCAATCGAAAAAGAGATGCGCACGTAAATCAGAGATCTACGTAAACTGTTTGTGTTTACTCACAATTGTATTGGGTCTCTGGTCGACCAATCAAAGCTAAGCAGTACGTCTGGCTGGTTTGTTCGCGATAATCAATGTCGACAAAAAATAATCTGATAATAAACGAGTCGTATCTTTCAGGTTTTTGCGTGAATGTATGCAAAATCCTTTATTCAGAGATCGGAGCTACCTAAATTGTTACAAATTGTACTTTGTTCGTAATTGTTTGGTGTATGTGTTCCAATGCGTTCGAAAATTGAACGAAGTCATCCTTCTGGAACGTTAAAAGTGCGCTTTTGTTTCCGGGCTCAAAACCTTGGGAATAAGTGCGTTGTCATGGTGCTTGGTTGCATGGTGCACTTTTTTTGTTATAAAAACCAGTGGCGTCGGTACGGGATGTACACAGGAGATTTAAAAAAAATATATGGTACGCCAAAATAAAACTCATTTATTTTGCAACAAATTTATCCTCCGTCAGATGCATCGTTTTCGCTTGAAAAATAAAAACCATTTTGGCTATTTTAATCAATTGACTTTTCTTGAATAAAAATAAACAGCTATCAAACAACGATCAAATAAACTAATACTATTTAAATAAATTCTCACAAGAATTGTTGACAATCACATTATCCTCGACTTGAAAGATCAGGTATTTTTTGTTGATTAATATAGGGGAATTCACAGAAACATCACTTTTGCAGATTCAAGATTGCAGTTGCGTTCCCTAGCGACCATTTCAGAAACTTGGAAATATTTTCAAGATTATTCTCTTGACAGGATGGATAGGTTCCCAAATACAGTGCCTCGCCTTCTTAGTTGGCCACCCTGTATAATCTGCGTCCAAACGTCAATTTGAAACTTCCAGCACATAGGCTTACTCTTTTTTTCCGTGTAGTCCTATCGAAATACGCATTATTCATTTAATTAATCTCGTCTCGCCACCCTGAAAATGAGTATTCCTAGTCTATGCTTGTCACTGTCAGTGTGACAACCCACTTGACACGAACGTACCATTTTGAATTTACTTTTTATTCAGCTTCGTAATGCAAAACGCAGCAGTACCTGAAAATACAACTAACGGACAATATCGATAGTTTTCGTCAAAATTATTGGAGTATTTTGAAAAGCGATGTAAACAATCTATTTCAGCTGCTAAAAATGCAATCTTGTCTAGATAGAGACTACCTGATTATAACACAATAAAATACACAACTTACGCAAACAGGGTGGTCCTTAAGGGCTTCGCATGCTTGGCGAGCACCTCCGAGTGGTTCCCCGTCGCGCAAAGATTCAAATGCGTCGCGAGCAACTTCAAAGTATGAAGTACAAACTTGCATCTGTCTTCTGGAGTTTCAAAGGGCGCTGGCAGGCGATCGGTGGCAAAGCTGGATGCGTATTTGGAGAGGAAGGTCTCCAAATAGGCGAAGGTCTTCTCGTGCAGGTCCAGGCAGAAAGGTCGATGCTTGGTGACGTTGTGATTGTCAAAAGGTGGGGTGGTCCACGCGATCGAGTGAGATGTCCCGCCGCTAATTTGACGGATGGGAATACCGTCCAGGCCTACCACCTAAAAAAATAGCGACAAGTAGATTGACTACATACTTCCTACGTCTTCGTTGGAAGCTTCAAAGAAAAGGGATGAATTGAATCGTTTCAAAAGGCAAAATCGAATCGTGATTACGTAGGTTCACTTAGGTACGATGAATCTTCGACCTCGGCATTTTTTTGTTGTTGTTGAAGATTTATTTAGCATTAATGCTACAATGTCAATTTTGTATAATGATTCGGTTACATATTTTTCTTCAATCCATTTTCTGTAATATTACATTCTTGTCTATTAAAATAAAAATTACGTCACTATATATTTTGATTATTCATAAAGTGATTTTTTAATTTCACCTTAAACATTTTTAAATTCGAACTCTGTTTAATATCATTATTCAATTTATTAAATTCAAATACTCCCTTTTGAAATATAAATTTACTAGTTGTGCTACTATTACAATTTTGCAGATGAAAATCTATACTGCCTCTAGTTTCGTAGTTATGATATTGACTATTTAATTTTGAGAAGATTTCTGAATGTGGTGGTAATAAATGATTTTTTAATTTGAATATGAAAACGAGAACTAAATATATGAAATTTTTCACATCCAACCACTGCAGTTCTTGTAACATAGACTTAATCCTAGCATATTTGTTTTTATTTAAAATTATTGTCGTAGCTTTATTTTGTAGAATTTGTAATTTTGAAAATATGTTTTCATTTGCTGTAACCAAGATGGTTGAACAATATAAAAAATGGGGAAGAATTACAGTGTTATACACAATTTTTTGGAATACATACTAAGATTATGGGAAACTCTATAGAAGTAATTTATCTTTTTCGATATTTTTGAAATAATGTAATCATAATGATCGTTAAACAGGAGCTTACTATCCACATATATACCAAGATATTTAAATGACTCGACTATCAATTTTTTCATTATTAACCATGAGCCTAATTGTATTGTCACCTAAATGTTTCCCTATTGACATACATTTTGTTTCATAATTTAAGTTTATTGACATTTAACCAATTCATAATTTTTTCAATATCACTATTTAACAGTTCTAAAGCAGTGTGTCCAAATGCTTATGTGATAATATATATAAGTGTATCGTCCGCAAATATTTGAATTTTGCAGTGTTCTAAAATGCCAGAGATATCATTTATATAAATAATAAATAGTAACGGCCCTAATTTACTCCCCTGTGGCACCCTACTGATATATTTTGAACACTTGACATAATATTTCCAACTTTACCTTTTTGACTTCTAATTACTAAGTAATGTTGTAAAATATGTAATACTGATCCTTTAAAGCCATAGTGACGCAATTTCATATCAAACTTTATGAAGCAAATCTATCATATTTCTGTTTCCATGGCAGATGTAGAGAAAATGTGTGACTTATTATGTCCCTTTGTTACCGGGATCAGAAGCTTCTTAATGATAGAACGTCTTTAACTAATACTACCCCCTACCTCCTACGAACCTCAAGTTTCAACCTCTACAAAAAAATCAGAAAATAATCAAGAGCCTCATAGTTTAAGCGATTTTTTTTCGTGTTTTCTGCTACTAGCTCCGCCACCTCGGGATCGATTTTCAAAAAGCTTTTTCATCCTTGGAATATTAGTAACATTGTGTAAAAATTTCACCAAAATCCGAGCAATACTTCTCGACTTGTAGGGATATCTTGATTTCGAAATTTTTCGCGTTTACAATACTTCGCTTGTTTTGGCAGAGAAAGTGAAATGACGTCAGTCAGTCAGCTGCGGGTCAATAGAAAAATGACACGTCACCAGCGTTTCGACGATAAAGAATCATCCTGAGACTTGAGATTAAGGAAGTGTTGCCGACTATTCAGATTGCCTAGTTGGGCATTGCGTGGACTAAGAAATTTCAATACTGAATGAAGTTTCTGAATCGACATTTCATTTAGGATTTTCAATTTCAGATTTCACTTGAAATAGTAATGATGCAAAAGAGATTTTACCTTTATCGGTCGAGCTATGGTGCTAGATGCATGACCCTGTCCGCATTGCCCCATACTGTTGATCCCCCATGCGAAAACTTGGTGTTCGTCAGAAAGCGCCAGGCAGTGAGTATCACTCGCCGATACATCCACTATCCTACAAGGTAAAAAATGTTATGAAATGACATTACCTTTTTTTTTTGTAAAATTTTCATGATCTGAAGAACTTAGTACGAGGGATGTCTTTTAAGTTTTGCATATGGAAATAAAACAACTCGGTAGGTAGTTTTAAATGACTTTATTGTTTTTCGAAGTATTCTCCACGAAGATTAATACACATCTGCATGCGCTCGAACCAATTTTCGAAGCACTTATTCCACTCGTTTGCTGGCAGATCCAAAACGGCATTTTTGAATGCGTCAACTGCGTCTTCTGGTGAGTTGAACCTTTGACCTCGCAGTCTGTTTTTAATTTTCGGGAAAGTAAAGAAATCGTTAGGACTTGGATCGGGACTATATGGAGGAGGGTCCAATAATTCCACGTTTTCTTCCGTTAAATACTGCCTTGTTTTTTGGGCTGTGTGCGAGCTTGCATTGTCTTGGTGGAGGATGATTCTTCTTTCGGGGTTGATTTTTCGAAGCTCGGTGATGACTTTTGGCAAACAAATGGTGGTATACCGATCCGCAGTAACAGTTCTTTGCTCATTAAGAGGAATTGTTGCAATATGACCCGCTTTTGACACAAATGTCGCGACCATCTTTTTCGAAACACTTCGAGAACGGATGACTTTTGTTGGCTTTTCTTCACCTTGGAACACCCAAACAGACGACTGTCGTCTATTTTCTGGTTCATAACGGTAAATCCACGATTCATCACCACCAGCAATGCTGTAAACATTTTTTGTTTCCGGAATTGAAACGGTCAACCGTTTTTTGACACCAATTAACCCTGGCTGCTTTCTGCTCTTCAGTCAACGAGAAACTAATTTACTTACTCCGAATTCTTCATGTAATTTTTTTTGAATTGAGGTCTTTGAGATCTTCAAGGACGCCTCAATCTCGGGATATGTCACATGTCTATCTTCAATGATGGGTCAGCGCACAGCATCGACGTTTTCCTGGGTGATTGCAGTTTTTGGTGCACCCACCCTGGGATCGTCGCTAAGACTCACCCGTCCACGTTTGAATTCTCCATACCAACGGGAAATTGTCGAATGATGTGGCGCTTCGTTGCCGAAAACAGACAGTAACTCAGCAAGGCATTCTTGTTGCGATAACTGTCTCTGAAAGTTGTAATAAATTATGGCGCGAAAATGTTCTCGGTTGAGTTCCATTTTTCTAATGACTTGGTGACACTTAAAAATTTACTGTAGTGAGAGCACTGCACGTATTGTTGTGAAACTTTGAATTTAAGTTTACTAAAGAGTGAGGTTAAGATGCAGTACTGTCGTTTGATCTGCGCGGCCTACTATGTTTCTATATGCAAAACTTAAAAGACTGGTATTGACTCTTTATTCGGTGCTCATTTTTCGACCGATGCTAAAAAGGTACTGTCACTTTGAGCGCGATAACTCCGCGTGAAGTGGTTCGATTGTCATGAAATTTCGACAGGGCATCAACGAAAGACGTACCTATGCATCACTAGATAGATGGCGCTACTTGCGACAGAGAGATAATTACCAATTTACAACAATTACCTGTAGGGAACCAACTCTTCTACCAATATCGGTTTCATGCTGACAGCATCTGCTGAACCGACGCCCAAAATCGGACCGCTGCCCCAAGTGTACAACTGCCCATTTGTGGTCAAAGCCATGGAAAAAGAGGTGCCTGCGCATACTTTCTGAATCCGCAATCCTTGCAGCGCTTCGATCACTTTCGGTCGGTATACTTTCGCGATTTCGCCGTGACCCAATTTTCCGTTGTCGCCAGACCCGAATGACCAAACCTGCAAATATTGTTTTAAATTTTCTAGACATATATACAAAAATCGCTCGTTCGCGCTCTTCATGAGAAGTCGGAAATTGATATAGGGTGGTAAGTTCTTGCATCTCTCTGATCAAAAGTGCATGGAGAAAAATCCCTCGTTTTTGATTTTATGTTTAGGAGCTCGAATATACGAAAATAAGGAATCGCGAAGCCTTGCGTTACATTATTTTGAAATGAACATGGTAATTTTACAGTAATGACTACTGACAGTCATTACAGGTTGCTTTTCTACATTTTGCCTAAATTTCAAAAGCCTGTTGATTTTTTTCGAGGAAAAGTTTCAGTGATATGTGTGCTATCATTACTTCAAACCAGAAAAAAATAAATTGGTTTTGAACCACATAACGACAAGTGATCCCAAAACCGGCAGAGCTAGAATAAAAAGCTACCTTACCACATTGCATATACAGGGTTTGTCCGGAAAGTAATAGAACTGAGTCGATTTAAAAAAATTTAATGATCCAATCGTTACAATTCTTTAAAAACTTTCAAAATAGGCTCCTTCTGCGTCGATGCAGCGCTGCCAGCGCGATTTTCAAGCATTGAAGGCGTCACGGAAGGCATTCTCCGGAATAGCCTTGAGAGCCGCGGTGCATGCTGCTTCCAGCACGTTCTTCATCAGCGACCTCTTCCCGGCCCTCCAAAACAGCCTGCTGCCACCGAAACACACCACTTCTTGCTAAAACAACACCTGGGGAATTTAATCGCGTACCTCTGCTCTAACGAACGCTGCATTTTCGGCTTGCACCACTCAGAGAAACACGTCGCGCGAAAATGCCTGTCCTGACTCTCCTAGTGCTCAGAGACAACTGACCAGCCGCTCATTCGTTAGCTAGGAACGCCCTCTACCGAATCCAGTCGGTGCGCGCATGTTCCGACGTACAGTCATGGCGAAAGAAAATGAGTCCTATTACTTTCCGGACAAACCCTGTATAACAAAAATCATGACAATTCAATTCATTTAGAACTCCTTGAATTTATTTTTATATTATGTATAAAAAAATAACCTTACGAAATAAGCTCTTCATGTTGTCTCACTACTGTGCAAGCCCATAAAAACAAACATCATAAGGAACCAGCAAAATAAAAACTCTATTATGTCCGTATCCAGATATTGTACTTCAGATAAATTAAATATAAATGCAAGGGTATCCCAAGGGTCAGTACTAGGTCCGATTCTATTTGCAGGTTGTGTTAACGATTTAACAAATTTAAACGATCTTAAATTATTAGTATCTAGATCAACACTTGTCAAAACGGTCTAACAAAGCACGTGCATTCTGGATGACGTCAAAAGAATCAACTATTTAAAGATATTTCTCTACAATTCATTTATTAGAGATGCAAAAATCAAGTTAGCTTTGTCATTAACAATGATTGAGTTATTTAGACAATAAGGCATATTTATCTATCTATATTATGAACTTCTCCAGAATTTAAACAGTGAAGAAACACGCTAATTTTAACATATAAATGGGGATGTGATGGGTCACAGCAGACAACATTCGATCAAAAATTTGAAAATAACTTCGATTCTGATGCAAATATATTCCAAAGTTCATCTGTTCCGTTACGGTTGTCTTATAGCGAAGGCACTAAGATAATATGGCGATAACCGTTGTATTCTTCGCCGCGATTGTGCCGACCCATTCGCATAAGATTTGTGAAGGAAACAGTAGATATCCGACACAGGTCGCGAAATTAAACAAATGCTTTCTAGTAAAACATGTAATGATGCTCAGAATGGTTGATGCGAAAGTGTGTAATGCCGCTACCAACACAAAATCCACGATGGAATGCTAGATTTGCGGTGCTACATCCAAAGACTTCAACGATTTATCAAACAAACGTCCTTGTAATGAAGATTCCTTAAAATTTGGCTTATTTCATATTGCGTACAAATTGCCAGTGCATAAACGGCAATTAAAAAGTGAAAGAGATAAACAAATAGTTCAACAAAGGAAATTGGATATACAAAAGGAATTTAGATCCCAAATGAGTCTTATAGATGATGTTCCAAAAGCTTTTTTCAGAACAGCAATGCTGGGAATACCAGTAGGAGATTTTTTACGGATCATGAGCAACAATAACCGGTATAGATTCCCGTCTCCTTTTTCGTCTTAAAGTAATTTTAGAAGCGATATTAAGCGGCCATAAAATAGACAAACAGAAGTTTGAAATATTTTGTTTGGACACGGCACAACTGTACTTGTGTGCTTTTTAGATCATTTTTGGTTGTCATCTTCTTAATAACATCTTTTATATTTTTTAAATAAATATGTTCACGTTTTCCAACTATAAGCATTTTATTTCTTTATCTGCTTTTTTTAGTACCAATATTAGCCATAACAGAGCTAATTACAGTTTTTGAAGTAACTTAAAATGAAAAAAGTTTTGTCCGGATTTTTAATTCAAATACCCGTGTGTGCGCTGTTCAATAGGAGCGCAAGAATTGTTTTGGCAGTGCGTAAGTGAAATTTGAATAAGGTGTAGAGACTCACAGTTTTTCCATCAGCTGATACGACCAGTGTATGCGAACTACCGCAGGCCACGTGACCGACATCCGTCAGATCTATAACTAATGTCGGTGTATATCTGGCATTGTTATCCCCGTGGCCCAATCTTCCATGGTCACCTTCACCCCAGGTGTACAGTTTGCCATCCTCAGTTATGGCCGCACTGTGCCTGTATCCTGAAAAATATACATACAAGTAGAGCAATTTCGAAATATAAAAATTAGTGCCACCCGGCAAATTTTTATTTCGAAAAATCGGGCCTACGAAACAAAGGAAGTGTTAGTACAGTGGACCTCCGGTAATGCGACAAACATTATGCAGGGCAGTGTCGGATTATAGAGCACTGCCTAAGACCCCTATGGTCCGGAATTATTTACAAAAGAGTACCTTGTAATCCGACAAATTACATATCCAATGGTAAGATTATATGTATATGTTATGTATATGTATGTATGTACTTTGAAGTACAAATCATACATAGTTTATGTATGTCGAATTTAGTAAATTAAATAACAATAAAGAGCTTACGTTTTATTATAAAATTAAGCATAAATGCACATACACTATCTACCAAAATAATCAAGAATTATTAATCAAAATCATTAATGAATTTATCAAATTATGAAGATTGGAAATATTCATCAATTTTTTTTAAGCTTGTTATAACGCGAGATCAGAGCTTTGTCCCTCAGTCTTCTCAAAAGTAAAAGTTCGTTGTAGGACGTACCATTCTCTTCAGCCCATTGTAAACCTAACTCAAAGGCGTTATTTGCGTGATGTGCTGTGACTTGTGGAGCAGTTGCAATCGTTATTTTCCTGATTGTTTGTTGTATAATTAGAAACCTCTTTTATAATCTCTTCGTCAGACATTTCATGAAAACCACTTTCCTCTTTATCCATTCCACTGCACCAAATTTCCAAATCTTCCGGACTTATGTGTTTCAGTAGCGACTTGTTCTATAACTTCCGAAGTAACACTGATTTGTGGAACGTTAATAGGAGTGGTGACTATATCTGGCCATAACTTTTTCCAAGACGATTTAATTGTTGTAGACGGTAACGCATTCCACGACTGACAAAGAGCAAAAATCAAGTCTTTCATATTAAATTCTTTTAAAGTTTTTTCTATTGGTTGGTCTTTTGATACGGCTCTCAGAAGTAGGTTTTTCTGATAGTCGTGCTTGACAAACTGAATGATATTCTGATCCCTTGGTTGAATCAGTGCAGTGCAATTTGGCGGAAGAAACATCGCAGTGATGCATTTATTCTCAGTTGTTAGTTCTTCTTCAGACGGATGTCCGGGAGCGTTATCAAAAACCAACAACGCTTTTTGGGGAAAATTATGATCTTTTAACCATTTTCTAACTTCAGGTACGAAGCATTCATCAAACCACTTTTTGTAAAGTTCTTTTGTCATCCATGCACTTTTTTGTCCGGTATAGTGTACAGGTAAAATGTTCTTGAATGCCCGTGGTTTATTAGATTTCCCAATGATGGTCATCTTAAGCGCGTGTGTGCCCGCAGCGTTGGCACATAGTAGTATGGTTACACGCTCTTTAATTACTTTTCGTCCAGGTACGGATTTTTCATTACAAGAAACGAAAGTTTTGTTAGGCATCACACGCCAAAAAAGCCCTGATTCGTCTGCATTGTACAGTTGAGACCGGTCAAGATTTAAATCGTTTACCTTTTGCAAAAATCTTAATCTAAAGGGCTCTATGCAGGTGGCATCGTTAGAAAGTTTCTCTCCTGTAATAGTCATTAAACGTATGTCATGACGACTTTTAAAACGTTCTAGCCATCCTTTGCTGGCCACAAAATCATCTTTTTTTGTTATTTCCTTATAAAAAAACTTAGCTTGCATGGCCAACATGGGTCCTGAAATTAGTGCATGCCTATTTCCTTCCTGAAGAAACCACATGTACAAATCTTCTTCCACTTCTGGACGTTCAGCTTTCTTGAGTGTCTGTCTCTTGCCTAGCCCGCAGTCAGTAGTTGACACGAACTTCTTGATTTTCTCTTGATTTCTTTTAATGTCATAAATTGTAGATCGGCCTACGCCGTATTCACTTGCTAAACTACTGAAAGTTTCATTGCGATTTAAGCGGTGTAAAATATCACATTTTTCTTTGTCAATGTTTTGTGCTTTCGCTTCTGAGTTTGTGATGACATTACTAGGTACTATACTTAATACACAATGAATAAATAGTAAACAATGAACGCACGCTAGGCCGTACGGCTATCACCAGTAGTCAAATTCAAACTATTACAATGCTTACGCGTCGAGCACGATAGCGGTGGCGCGTATAAGTTGTAACCTGTTCAAACCTGCGTGATCTACATTAGAGAAGACTGTCAAATACGTATGTATGCAATACATATTCAAAGGCATGTCGGAATAGACAGGGGCCTAATTACACAATTTCATCGCCTAAACGATTTATTAGAAGCGCACCTGCTACCTTTGACAGACACTTACCAGCATGGACATACTTAGCGACCTTCGCAGCGAACGGCACCAGGATCTTCTCTGGAGTCTTGTGCGTTACGCAATTTCCATGCCCTAGCTTCCCGTAGTCTCCGTCGCCCCAACTGTACACCCATCCGTCCTCCGTAAGAGCCAGAGTGTGCCCGTCGCTGCCCTTCGAGCTGGACAATTGACGAACGGGCTTTTCCAACGGGATCCGCTTCGGCGTGCTCTGATTGGCCGTTTCGCCGAGGCCGAGACGACCGTAACTGCCTTTGCCGCAGGCGGTCACGTGACCGTCCGCGTGGACGGCGAACGTGCAGTATTGGCCCGCTTCCATCTGGAAAAGCAGGGGACACGTATTCATCTCATGCGAATCCAAACCAAAAATGAGAAAGTCGCGCGCAAAAGTAATCTCGTCATTTGAAATGGCTGCTATATTTGCAAATAGCGCCAAATAAAATATATAAACATTAAGTTGTCAACAAGCTATGGAGCGATACACCTAAATAACGTGGACTAAGGACTTATTGTTATTGCTTATGGAGGGCAGGTCATTGATATACAGTAGTGGAACAAGTATATAGACAAATTAATATTGTGCTGTATTTCTTTTTTGGCTTGTTTTATTAATACACCTACCTGTATACATAATACGTTATAGCATAATACTCACTTATACATAAATAAATTCATTAGACTCCCTTCAATAAAAAATTAATTGAAAAAAACTGGAACTATGAAGGACAAAAATATACAAAGCAAAACAATTATAGAAAAAAGAAGCAAAGTTCATTGAATTATAGAAAAACAACCATATTTGTGTTAATAGTTTGTAGCATAACCATTATTATCAATCACAGCCTGGCATCGTCTCGGCATAGATTGTAGAAGTTTGTTGATATAAGATTCATCAATATGTCTCTACTTTTGCTCTAAAGCGACAAAAAGTTAATCTTTGTTTGAATAATTTATATCTCGTATTAGCTTTTCTAAGTATTCCCATAGATTTTCAATGGGGTTTATATCGGGAGACTGTGAAGGCCATTTGAGAACTGGTATTTTTTCATCCAGAAAGAATTTCATTGCGAGATTTGAAGTGTTCTTCGGATCATTATCTAGCTGGAAGATTGATCTTAAGGGCATATTGTCTTCCATATAGGGTAACATGACATGATTTAGTATGTCTGTGTGTACAACCTTATCCGTAATGCCATCTATTCTATGTAAAGGTCCCATCCCAAACCCCGAAAACCACCCCCAAACCATAACAGACCCGCCTCCATGTTTGACAGTGGGCAAAGTGTACTTGGGGTTCAATCTTTGTCCACTAGGACGTCTAACGTAATGAACACCATCTGATCCAAACATATTGAACTTGGATTCGTCTCTGAAACATACCCTCTTCCAGTCAGATGCTCCAATGAAGATGCAACCGTGCAAATTGTAATCGGTTTTTCCTCGAGATTAGCGGCTTCTTACTCGGGCGACGTGCAAATAACTTCAAATCATTTAATCTTCTACTTATAGTTTTCGTAGAAACAGTGACAATTGCTTTTGTTTCGATTTCGACTTTTATTTGTCTTGGGGTTTTAAACGGATCTTTGGACGAAATTACTTTTATTAATCTAACTGATCTAGCATTTAGTTTTCTAAGCCGACCACTTCTCTTACAAGCTTCCAAGATACCTTTTTGTTTATATTTGTTCAATATTGCCAAAACTGCTTTACGCTTCAGCTTCAAATTTTTGGAAATGTCGTTGACGTTGATCATCTTTATATAACTCAATGATCTTAGTTTTCCCATCGAAAGAAATTTCTGGTCTTAAAATCACTCAACTTATTCCACAATACTTGATGAACACAAACTAATCCTCTTCTAGAATTTGTCTACATATTTTTGTCCCTCATAAAAAAGTGCTTATATTCAGACTTGTATTGTGTTCATTGCAGATAATGTAAAAACAAGGAATTTAGTTTTTCTACTAATAACGCATTTGCTTATGGCGCAATGAAGTATGAATTCGTTTTCTAAAGGTATTTAGGTAAATATTCATATTAGTCTATATACTTTTGTCCGTTTCTGTATATTAGAAATAGCAGGGGGCCAATAACTGATCCCTGCGGTACCCCGTTGCAAATAGGCAAAAGGTCAGAGGCGGTGCCTTCATTGCTTACAAACTGCCGCTAGCTCGGTATTTCTTTTGCCATAGCATTCTAGTGGTTTGAATAGTATATCTAAATAAGGCACACATGGTAGCTATAGTACATATAAGAGTTATCTTCTATATTATCCAGTACCTATTTTAATAAGGTGAGAAGTGCTTTTATTGTGGTTGAATTTTTTCGAAATCCGAATTGTGCTACAGATAGGACAGATTTACCTTCGCAGTAGCTTGTTAATTTCTTTTTTCACGATTTTTCAAATTATAGGTATAATTGCAATTCGTCTGTAATTTTCGGCGGAGTCTCTGTTGCGTTTTTGTGAATATGGATAATTTTAGAAATTTTGAATGCATCCGGCCAAATACCCTCTCGTATACATTTATTATACAAGAACGCCAGTAACAATCCATCGAAGGTGGATATTGCATAAATAATATCGCTCTTCTGATATCGTGGGGAAGTATTGGAGATATAAAGAAGGAAAAATATGGTATAGAAATTTTATTTAGGAAAACTCAGAATCAACATTGGACACAGGAAGCATACTCATGATTCTACCCGAAATTGTCGAAAAAAAGTTATATATAATAAATAAATAAAAATAAATTTTTAAAAAAACAATTGGACTCTGATTATTTTAAGTTGTTATAACAACACAGCAAGACAGTCAAACATTGAATTTCATTGAGATATCAGTGGAATACAATGATTAAAAAATGTTCAGTGTTGTCATTTTGTCGATATTCTGAACGGTGAGTTTCTGGTCAGTTTCATAGTAGTTTATTAAAAAAAATCATCAAACATATATGCAGACATGTATGTCTACTCAAGGCAAGAAAAAAGTTCAGGTCGCACTTGCTTTCAAGCAGTATTTTTCAAGTTATAAGTATCAGCACTGCATGAGATACGAATGTTTATATCAATATACTCCAAACAAGTGTCGCATTTGTTACGTATTCTCGAAGCTTCTCTTGGCACGAGAATAATAAAAATAGTGGGTCAAGCATCACTTGCAAAATGGAATAAAACGCTATTGGGTCTCGTGAACGCGTCTTATCGTTATGATTCCATGGTTCAAAAGCGACTATAATGATAAGAATATGAAAGATTTCCTTATTCATAATTAACGTGAGCAAGGCACTCACGTGCAAAATGTTTCTCAGGTTTTTGGATATATTTAGAAATGTATGAAATAAATGACAATATACAGAGTGGTTCAAAAAACTACTCCTTTTGGAGAAAAATTGGAAATGGAAATTAACTACACCGTGTATCTTTCTAAATGTACATTTCAAGACATATGTTGTATTTTGGGATTTAAAAATATTGTCATTGTTTTTTTTTCAATCACCCAGTATAAATGGTTCCATATTTTTAATATGAGATCATAAAATTGAGAATGAACGATAATAGAATTCCGATATTATGAAACAATAGAACTAGAAAGAAGCTTAAATAAATCATTTTGGATTATCGTAAAAATACTTTCTTTAGGGACACATGCTACCTATTCAGAACAATATATTTACTGGAAAAATATGTTATACATTATTTATCTCATCGTAGACAAAGTAACAGAAATTCCAGTCGATATGTAAGCCCAATAATAAGTTGGCACATGTCCGTGATTAGTCATGCGTTACTAGCCCTGGGTCAATATTTTCTGTTTCCTAAGTAAATAGTTGGTCTTAATAGAAATTATAAAGTATGGAATTACTGAGACAATTTCCATACTACAATTAGTCAAATAGTACACGGCGCATTAAAAAATATTTACGAAATCAGCGGTGTAAACTAATTTGGAGCTTATTTACGTAAGACGCATATTTTCATTTCAATGAATTAAATCATGGACTCAGCCTTTAATTGCGGTATTTATTATTAATTATAAGAAATTTCTTCACTTCCCATGTCAATCAACGAGGAAATATTGCAATCGCGAAGTCTGTCGGTAATCTTTGGACCCACAAATCGAAAAGTACTGCTCGGATTTTGATAAATTTTGACACAAGGTTACTATTAATGTCATTAGAAACCAAATCTGTATTATAAACGTTTCGGTTACATCACAATGACTTCTTCCAAGTGACACTTCTTTTTTTTCAGTTTCACATTCCTATACAGCGTGTCCCTACAATATCCCGGATTTCTTTCATACACCCACTAACCTGTTGCACTTGATGAAACGTCTTCGACTTGACAGGCAGGAGTATCAACTCCTGATTACCTTCAGCCAATTGGTAAGAGGAGTTGCTACCCCAAATGTACACCTCGCTATTTTCGTACGCGCCTAGGTCTGTGTCAGACGAGCACCCCCCAGTGTAGTCGGCGGCCATTGACGCTAGTACCTCCATAAGGGACAGTGCCGCTTGATAAATGCTCATATCTTTTTCGTTTTCCGTGGATTCACTGGTTCCTGGACACTGTTTTAAGCCTGGAATAAACACCCTCCATAATTTAATAGGTCAGCGCAAAAACCTTTTTTATTATTATTTTTTTATATCTAATAGTTCGTTTTTGTATTATAAGCACCTTTCTGGGAACAGACCAAAAGATGTGTCTTTCCCAATGTTGAAACTAAAGGTTCTTATAATGGAGGAAGCCTTTGCTAGTCGAGTAAGCAATTTGTCTACATGATTAGTAAAATCTAATTTATGGTCAATGGTAATTTGAAGGTGTCTTTTTGTGTATCAATTCATTATTTAAATTTATAAAACCAAGAGAGCATTTCAATGTCATAAATTTTGTCTTATTAACATTAAAAGTCAAGTAATTGTTGTCACACCAGTTTTTGATTGATTGTATATCACTATCAATTTCTTTTATATCTTTGTCTTGACAAAGTATTATGGTATCGTGTGCAAAAACTACGAATTTACCATTTATGCATGAGTTTAAGAAATCGTTGATATAGACTGGGAATGGATCGCACCTAATACTGATCCTTGAAGTAATTCCAGTACAACCATATGTGTTTATAGTATATTACCATTTGAGTTCCAAAAGACTGAAATTTCGAATAATCTTCAGAGTTTGTTAATAACAAAAATAATGGAAATAGATAAAAACTGTTACAGACTATTTCAGCAAGAAATAGGGATAGTAGTATATAATTTAAGCAAAATAATCTTATTGATCGTATTTTTCATTGCTTATTTTTGAAAATGTCACTTAAATATCAACTATTAACATTCCACTTGTTTTAATTTAGCATGTAATATTTTTAAGGTACATAGGGGAAGCCCTGGGAAAGTGAACACCTGGGAAACTCGAATTACCCGTTTTACATCCTAACTATGAGACGACCATCGTGAAAAATACACTCGTTCAAATTTCTTCAATAATCGGCAATCGGTTGTAGAAGTGCTTATTTGACTACGAGAAATCAAAACGTATTGTTTTACAATGTGTGCTTGTAATTCATTCTTTATATCATTTGTTTGAACAGTTATTTAAAATATTTAGCGTATATTTAAAGAACTTTCTCGGTAGTGCGAATAAGGGGGATTAAGTCAATGGTTTTGGTTGGAAACAAGAAAACACTTAAACAAGTTATTTCAGGCAAGGCAGATAAGGACTGGAATCATATTTTTGTAATTAATAAATTCCAATGACCCCACCAACATAATTGTGTTCCAAATTATGAGACTTGCCTTTCCAGTCCACAGACAAGGGAAATATTGAAGTGACACTTTTAATTACAAAGTAAAAAAAATATATTTTATTTTTTAAAATTGCAACCACTAGATTTTGAAGACTGATTATAATAAAGTTCTTTCAGTAGTTTCCTAGAAATTGTTTAAAGTGTCCAGTTATTTGTTGAATAATTTTATAATCTGCAAGTATTCTAGATACATCTTTCAAGATATCTTAATCTTAATTCACCAGAAGTAAACAGTATGAATCATGTAACATAATTTTTAGACATTGTAATGTTATAATAAATACAATGAACCCTAGGAATTAACTTAAACAATACAACAATAAAAAACTAAAGGTAAATAGAGATTAGTCAAGTTTCCTGGTTGTAATATATATTGAAAGTTTAATGACTCCAAAATATTTAGGGGCAATGGCCCAACTCACTGATATTTTGTTTTTCTTTTAATAAAATAGAGGCATTTCTCATTTTACAACTCTGCCAGTTATTTCTGATTGCCTGAACACCCTGCACGGGTTTTTCTGTCTATTAACTCCTATGTAGACCATCAAAGTTTTTGTTATGCTAACCAATAATGATATGCATGTTTAAGTATATATGGCCTTTCACAAACTGGAGGATTCACCCAGTTCTGTTCATATTATTCATGTATATTTTTTAATCATCAACCTTACATTAATAAAAGAACTTACCCTCAATTTGACTTATCCCACTTCTGAACAGTTTGCTTGTGAGCACTTTGTTTTGAGAAGATGCATCCAATGCCATGCTCATCCATTCTAGCAGATATCTCAATGAGCCTCTCTGTAGAGCTATGCTGAGTAATATCTCACAGCACAATAACTTTCCTTTTTCATCAGCTGCAGTTTCATGCAGAACAGCATTTTTCAGAAATTCACTGACTTGTTCTAAACTAGTTATTCCTAAAATTTCAAGTAAATATTTGAAATATTGAAAATGCTGCTAATACACAATATCCTAACTCTTGAACAAAGACATTTTTCTTCTTCAAGATTGCATTAATATCCCTTAGCTTTTTCTTAAAATCCAGTATGAGTATGAGAACATAATCTTTCATTATCATATAAAGATTCACAAAATATTAGAGAACAAGATATTTGCATTAAAGTCAAATCTTTCAGTATCAAACATCCTTTTCAAATTGTGTTTGAACAAAATTTTTTTGACAAATGGTAGTCTAATTTTGAAGGTATTTGAACATCCTTCCTCCCACATCATAGGTCAAGGAATTATTATTCATGTAGAAAATTTAGAATAAAAATTATTAGGCAGCCTAACTGGTTGCTCAGAGGTATGTTTTTTGAACATGATATGAAGTTCTATATAAAAGAAGAACATTTACTCTGACTACATAACTTCAGCCGACTCTGAACTGATTTTATTAATATTAAGAAAAACCTTGTAAGAATGAGGTACACATAGCTAGTATGTCTCAAAAAAATTGATACAATGGGAGCATAACCATTAGTTATCAGTGGAAAAAGAAAAAAATGCAAATAAATACTAGAAAAATGTAACATCAGAAATTCATTTGTTTGTTTTCATGTTGATAATTCATATCTTTTTTAACTGTTAAATGAAACCACATATATATAGACGTGACTGTTTCCTGAGGTTTTACTCACCTTGGTGGTATTTTTAAGTTTTATTTTGAAGAAGACTACCAAGGTGGTCAACACAGCAAACAGTCAATTTTACATAAATATAAGGTTTCATTTATTGGCACAAAAAAATTATGGAGAATTATGCACTTAAATGCATTGAATACTAAATTAACCTTAAATTAATAACACATTAGTAGGAGTATGGTAATCATCAGAAAATATAAAAACTACTAAAAAAAACTCAATATTTACCTAAATCAGTTAACTGTGCATCATTTGCTAGACACAGAAGTGGCAATTTTTGTATCAAATCAATAGTTGTTTCCAACACCGAGTTACACAAGGATGGTATCCCCAATATTCCACTAACTTGCCAATTCTGCTGCAGCAAAGAAAACAAAAAACATAGCCCAGTTTTGACCCCAACTTCCAAAAGGGCTTGCGACCCTGTCGCAACATCTCTGGGCACCGCAGGTAGACTTGTGTAGCTAGAAGTAGCTTCTGGAGGTTGTGTCTCCGGGTTGTCATTGTCATGATATCTCACTAGCAATGCATGATAGATTCTTTTTAAAATCAGCAGCCGTTGCTTCAAAATCGCAGCAAATTGAGTGGAAGAACATACTTCTTTGGCAAGTTGTAGCTGGGATGTCAACAGTGTGATAACATATTGGTTCAATTCACCCACAGTTGGAGCATCATATTGGAAGCTTGGTAAGACTTGCACATCGTTGTATGATGCTGGAGTAGTCGGTATTACCCTTATTTCTTTATTCTGAAGCAACACATCATACATAGATTGAACCAAATCCCTATTTGCAATATTATCCGTGCTCTTTGTGGACCATGTTGTATTAGTTGGTTCGAGAAAATCTAATTCAACGTCTGCGTAGGTGTTTTCCATCTTATTTGAATGTATTATTTTTTTTTCCACTTGCCATAATATACACCAAATGTGCCAAACTTGCTGAAAAAAGCTTGTGAAAGCTGTTCCACGCGGCGAGTGCTTGAATTGAACGAATTAAATGATATCTCCGTTTGAAAGCTATAAGAATACTGATTGTTGATAATCAACTTTATGGTTTATATTTTTATCACTGAAATTTTGTTTATGTAAAATATGACATGATGACGTTTAGGATTCGGATTTTCCAGAAAATATTGATTCATTTTTATCTAGTGGGATTTTTATCTTATGTAAATTCGGTCGGATGGCATTGACGCTGGTGATGGGAACACACAGATACTGGTATTCCTTCTAACTAATGTTAAAAACGACATGCCACCCTATTATTTAATACATATGTATACTATTCGTCATTATTCGTCAGAGCGGTCCGGTGGACCTGTGCTCTTATTTAAAAGTCTCGTCGGTCTGTTAGTCTGTCAGGTCTGGCTACCCAGACACCAAACATGTTTAATGGGAAAAGGGAAAGAAGCAAAGAAAGGAAGGAAGAAATAGAGCAAAGAAAAATAGTAAATGATTTGAAATAGCTTAAGCATTATTGCTTTGACTACTCGAATTTTTTGTAACTCCAAAAAAATAATTTTGATCGCTTTCGTATACTTATATAATTTTGACTAGTCTGAATTTACAATTTAATTTTGATCACAGTGCGAGGCGAGGCCTGGAATGTTTGCGAACTTGCTCGACTGTGTAGTCTACTGAATCACGCAACAGAGGGTTGCTGTGCGATTTCGCTTGATTATAACACCGCTGCGCCTGTTGTTTTACATAATCCCTTAGATATAGGATATCAAGATCTCTGTGAATGGTCTCATTTGACACGTACCAAGGGGCGTTAGTAATTGTGCATAGGGTTCTGTTTTGCAGGACTTGCAGTCTCTGCATGTGCTTCTCGGCAAGAAAACACCAAGCCGCACATGCGTAGGTGAAAGCGGGTCTTATGACCATTTTATACAACCGAATCTTTTTGATCAAACTTAATTTTGAATTTCTGCACAACAAAGGATAAAAGCTGCAGAAAGGTAATTTGGAATTTTGTTGTCAAAATATCAGTCTGTTTCGGCCAGGTCAACCCCTTGTCAATGATGACTCAAAGATACTTGACAGATTGCTTCCATGGTATGCGAGTTCCATTCATTGATATATCTGAGGGGGCACCGCGACGTTTTTTAGTACAATAGATTGCCTGCGTCTTCGCAGTATTAATTTTGATCAACCACCGATCCACCCACTCCAATACTTCCTCCACCGCACTCTGCAGCATGTCGTGAACCAGGTTACCAGAACAAGACTGGGCTAGCAATGCAGTGTCGTCAGCATAGACATAGATTTCACAGTTGCTGGGGCAAGGGACGTCATGTATATAAAGTGAATAGAGGGTTGGTCCTAAGACTGAACCCTGAGGAACACCGGCTCTTAAGGGCCGTGTTGTTGACAACACATTGTTAATTTTGATCCGAAACTTCCTTCCTTCTAGAAAAGATTTAGATTTAGTTTTAGTAGCCAAAATGGAAAACCCTTTTGGATGAGTTTATACAAGAGGCCCATGTGCCACACCTTGTCAAATGCCTTTGAAAAATCTAAAAGCAAGATACCAGTACTTTTGTTCAGGGTGAACCCCCTGGTTACATGCTCCACTGCCTGTAGCTCTGTACTATGCTCGGACCGAATTGCACGTCAGGAATCACGTGGTGATCTGACGAGAAATTCTCAAGGTGACGATAAATCACCTTTTCAGCGAGCTTAGAAGGAGCTGACATCAGGCGAATGGGACGATAATCCTGGGGGAATATCGAACCTTCTTTGGGATCGTGATGACTTCAGCGACCTTCCACGCCTTAGGAAAGTAATGAGTTCTAAGCATTGCATTGATTATTGTCACCAAATAAGTCAAAGCCTTGAGCGAAAGCAACTTCAGTGCTTTGTTGGTGATTTGATCCTCTCCAGGTGCTTTACGCACCTTAAGGTCCTTAATGTGGTGCTGGTGTGCAAAACGGAATGTCAGAGGATTCCGTTGATGTGCTATGTTGAGATTCATCTGAATAAGAGTCTTCCGTAGAAGAATCTTCTGAAAAGGAGTCACCGATGTTGGTATCGCCATTCGCTCTGAAGTATCTCCTGACAGATCTTACAATTTGTCGTTCCTCGTCAAGGTCATTGTCCAGATCATAATTGGGAGAGAACTGTCATTCCATGATGTCAGCAAAAACTATGCCTCCAGGACCATGAATATGTGGTAGTTGTTCTTGCCTTCCGTTTTTGAGCGATTTTGAAACTTTCCAGAGAGGAATACTTGATTCAAGCATCCCCGCCAGAAAGCCGCTCCACTGCTCATTGCGAAATTCATGGAGTGCATTTCTCACTTCATGGACGAGATTCGTCGTTCTACGAATGCCATCAGGATGACTTATTTAATATTTAATAGATGGAGGAAACATGATGCACATGGGATATTGACAATTTTATTATTCTTTCATATATACTTCTCCAGTCATTATTATGAATGACAAATTTTCGAAAATACATGATCTGAAGCTTTTTATTGAATATTATGTATTATTGCAAAGGGGGCAAAATAATAGTTAATGAAATCAACTGTAAAAACTACTTCCAAACACAATACAATAAATGATAGAACCGAATATACGTGAACAGAAGTCGAATTATGTGTCCTAAAAAAAATGTCAATTGAAAGGACTACAGTATAATAAAGACATTCCAATTAGAATGTAATAATCAAGCATTCTTGGTTAATTTCTTTGCCTGGTCCATTTTTTTATTGGTGCAACAAAAAAATCATTGATTTACACTTCATGATTAATTCAAAGTTCATTCTTAATACTTAACGATGTTTAGGACTCGGATTTTTCAGAAAGTTGAATAATTTTCAGCCAATGGCATTTGTATCTTATGTAAATTCGGACGGATAGCATTGAAGGTGGTGATGGGAATACACAGATACTGGTATTCGTTCAGAAGAACGTTCATGTTATTAAAGACCACATGCCACATTTACATTACCCTATTATTTAACAGATGGAGGAAATGGAATGCATACGGGATATTGACAATTTTATTATTCTTTCAGTTATACTTCTCCAGTCATTATTATTAATGATAAATATATCATCTGAAGCTTTTTATTAAGTATTGTTTATTATTGCAAACAGGGCAAAAAGTTCATGGAATCACTGTAAAAACTTTATTTCCGAACACATCCAGACAATACAATAAATGTTAGAACCTAATTTACAGAAGTCTAATTATATGTGTTACAAGAAAAAAAATGTGTCAATTGAAAAAATCTGCAGTATAATAGAGACAGTCAAATTAGAATGTAATATTTAAGCATTTTTGGTTAATTTCTCAGCCTGAACCATTTTTTTCTTGGTACAACAAAAAAAAAATCTCATTTCATGATGAATTCAAAGTTCACTCTTAATACCTATACAAAAATCTGGAGAACTTAAGGTTTCCAAAGTCTGACGAGTCCATCTTCACTGTAAGAACACAACAGGTTTTGATGAGGGTGATGAGCAATACCTATCACGTCTTTCTCGTGAATCTGCAAAAGATAATGCAAATTATTTGTTAATGCACAATTTGAATTTGAGAGATAGGAATAAAACAAAAACAGCATTCAAGAAAATTGTTGAAGTATTCTTACATTGAGAGTTCTTTCCAATTTCCCTGAGTTGGTCGAAAAACAGTAAAGTACCATGTCTTCGCCTACACAGAATATCCAGTCACCTCTAGGAGAAACGCAGGAGCAGACAAAGTCACCTCCTTCTCGTTTACCGCTGGCGAATGATCGTACAATCTGGAAAATAAAAAAAAAACGTAAACACTAAAGGTTGCTTGGGTCAAATAAATCAGACTACAACATAATAAAATTCCATTTAGCTTACAATTTTATTTTTCCAATATACTCTTTTGGACCATATCATACCCCAACATTTTAAATACTGCTGGGCCTTAGTTTGACCACTGATCTTTATGACTTTCGAATCTCTTTGATAGGTTCAACGAAATAAAAACTTGTTGCAAATATGCCATGTATACAAAATGGGTAAAAAATTAGTACATTTGGTGTAAAATCACCACACCTGGCAACCCTGATCAATTTGTAAGTGCATCGATGATGGCGTGGGAATAAGAGGGTTGTGTAAGTCTGCTTGCATATACGTTTAGCTTGACGCAAATATAATTTTCGGGTTTGGTAGCACTATCCGATAGTGCATTATTGGCAACTGTTCTGTGATTAATGTGAAAATTCAGACATTCGGATAGGAATAATATAAGAAAAAAACCTTTTTGCGACAGAAAATAAAATTTGCTATCTGCCGCCACTTTTTGATATTAAATGAACAGTGATACGAAGCACTACATTGCAGTCATTGACTGAATCTACCCATGCTTTCCAATATAAAGAATTCACGGATATTTCCTGATACAGCATTTATTTTGCTTGACTGATTACAATCTTACCTGTCCTTGCAAATTTATGATAACCACGGTGTTTGTACGATTGCAGACGATGAAGTGCTCGGGATTTTTAGGAAAATTGTGGATATTGTTCACGCTAACATCTGTAGTTGCCAACGACTTGAAAGTATTTACGCATTCAGTAGTTTTTATGCTCCACATTTTCACTGTCCCATCTGAAGACGCACTACAAAAAAATAAATGCTATTACGACTGCTCCAAAATCAAGGTGAACATATTTTACCTGAGGATATTGTGGCCATCTTGAGTATAAATCACTTCATTAACAAACGATGTGTGCCCTCTGAATTCCTTCAGTGTTTTGCCTGATTTCAGTCCATGTATCCTAAAATATATTTTATTGATAACATTCAAACAATCATATTTAAAAAAAAATTTGCATACCTGATTGTGTGGTCAAATGACGCACTCAGCACCTGACTATTATCCCTGGAGAATTGCAAACAAGTGATACCCTTGGAATGTGCTTTATCGATTTTTCTCAAACATTGTCCAGTGCTTATTTTCCAAACCTTCACTCGACCAGCTTGAGATCCGCTAACCAACATTTCACTGTCTCTTGAGAATGCCATACATAAAACTGCATGTTCCATCATCATGAAATTTTCCTAAAAATAAATTAAAAACAGAAAGTTATCAAGTCTATAACTCCGATCAGCTTCTTCCCTGTGAGTGCTGTGATTAACGAGAGTAATAATTTGTTCCACTTTTGATGGATTTATTACCAATTGAGAAATATATATAGCTACCTGGGCTTGGTATTTGAGATCCTTCCTGATTTTCCCTGTGGTGAAATTCCACACTTCAATGATGCCATCAACACTACCACTGATCAGATACTGGCCATCTGGAGAAAACCTAGCACACTCCACATGAGACTTTTGGCCAAACTTGATCTGCTTAGCCATTTGGGTTGGAAATGTTTCTTCTTCTTGTTCTCTGACAGCAGCCTTACCTGAAGATCGTAATTATTGATATAGAAACGTAGAAGTCCGCTAACACCGTCGGAATCATCAATAAATTCAGATGATATAGGCTAAAAATGCTGATCCAAGTAACACATGCCTTTCTACTCCAAAATAGGATGAGATGTATAACCTTGAGGGTGAATAATGTGCAAATTATAGATATAACATACCTCTGAACAAATCAATAGTTGTTCCAGGTGGCAACAATCCTTGATGCTGCTGCCATTTCAAAGCTTGTCCAAGTAGAGCAAGCAAACGTGATGATGGTACTACTGAGACTTCACCAGACAGTGCATGCGCAATTGCAGCTCTTCTCTTTTCTTTGCTGCTGCCATCTGGATATGCCTCACGGGGGTCAAAATATGATCTTGCCAGTAGATTTTCTAGAAAATATATCAGTATGAGGCAATTGTTTGTAATTGAGCAGCCAGAAAAGCAAAACGTAAACATTCGAGTACCATGGATATTATAAAAAAATAGGTAGAAAATTTTTCTGTTACAAGAGACAAAATTGGTGGAATAGAAAAAAGTTTGTTGCTCTATATTTTTAACCAAAGCAGTTGACTTAGGTTCTTGTCCTGAGACTGCATAGAGAATAATAATTTACAGAAATGGAAAAAAATAAAAGTGTAATGAGTCCAATCAGCAAGTTTATCTTCAATTTGCTACAAATAATTACTCTTGTTTTTTTCCTAGAGTGCACGGTTTTCGTAAAAATAAAACAATCACCATGAAGAGCTGAATAAAATAGCAGGCCTTAATACCAACTTGACATTTCTTGTCAAATTGTATGTCAAAGTTGTGTTATACGGTTTTTATCATTGTTGTTGTGAAATGGAATTTAGCAATGATGAGTATGCAGTTATTATTTTTGTGTACGGGTTCTGTAATGGAAATGCTTTAGCACCTTGGTCGGGAGTATCAACGTAGATTTCCTAACAGACGCCAGAGGATTTTACGCGTTCATTTCTAAGACATCCTCATACCAAATTTTAGTTCATTCCAGTTGATGGTCTTGAAAAAACTTGTTTTTATTTTTAAGCTTCAACACCCTGTATCTCTTTAATGAAGCCCTCGAGGAAAAATGTTACATAAAAGACCTCCCTTAAAATGCGGTCCTGTGTATGTTTCATTTTTGGTCACAACTTGTGAATCACCCTGTATACTTATGTCAGTAGAATGAAAACATAAAATCAATAAAGCCTTATTTTGTTGACAGAATCTTCCAGTATGCTTACCTAAATGAATATATCTCTCAGGTTCATTTTGTTTCAGCATAATCATAGGATCAGTCTGTCTCAGCAGAGATCTTGCAGCTCCCAATTCTCTCAATTCGATCAACTCTAACACAATCTAAAATATCAGTTTAAAAATATAGGTAAAGTGTGCTGTAGCACAAAGTAATATTTTAAAGAAGTAAAAACATTGCATACCTGCTCATAGAGATCTATCAACTTCTTATCAGGCAACTTAAGAGACTGGATAGCTTTCAGAACTGTATCCCAATGTCCATTATTTATATCTGCACAAAAACTGTCCACACTATCCACAGTATTCAAAGTAACACCTGTTTCTTCCTATAAGAGGTTTGTACAATGAGTATACTGTATTGCTTTAAGTGAAAAATCAGAGGATAACTTACTTGTAATGTGTGCAAGGTCCTGAATAAGTTTGATTCCTTCAAATACTGTTGGATTAGACGAATAACGCTGTGAAAAAAGAATTCAGTTTAGCAATAATCCGGAACTTGCAAATGTATAATCTTGGATGGCGAATAAAACTTACTCAGCGGATTCTATCTCAATAGACATGCTTGTTTCTGCAAAGAAAATACTATCTCAATTCAAATTTCCAAAAATTCCCTGAAATAAACACAGCCGCACATCAACACAAGCAACAAAATTTGTTTTGCAGGTTAGCTGTCACTGTCAAATATATGGCAAGCTCTGTCAAAAAGGCATGATGATAAGTATTCGTATCGTTCGATTACCGTTATCCAGCTCAACAGTAAATTTGACAGCTTTCTAGTGCTGTTAAAAAAACATGTTAGAGATGAGAAGAGTCGTATTCGGTACGATGATGGTATTCGTTTCATTGGTTCAATAAATTTGACGTTTGCATATCAGCTGACAAGCAAACAAACTTTGGAAAAATAAACAGTGAAAATCTTTGATTATACACCTTGCGGGTGAGTCTACACAATTTCTGCTCCATTGACCAAAGAAGCTTGACAAAAAATGGCTGGATGTGTCCCCTGTTTCATCATTCCATTGCTGTTGTTTATTTTCCATCGATACATTCAACCGATTCTACTGAAATTCTGGAACCCCTGGGAAAATTCCGCAGTGAAGGAAAATGGTGAGAAGGAAAAATGTACCTTCAGTTGCGACTGCAGTTGGAATAAGAAAAAATCAGTTGATGGGGATAAGGAAGAAACTGAAAAATTGGTTGAGAAAGGGCCGACTGACTGTAATGACACGGAGAAGCTGAAGGCTTCTTAATGGTATCTTGTTTGACATTTTTAATTGAATATATTTTGAACATTATTTTGTTATATGCACTATAGTGTTGCATTTTCAATGGATTAATAGTATTTATTATGAATATGATGTGAAGTTTCAGGGTATTTTTTTGTTATTTGTAGACATACAGCATCACAAGGACTAAATAGTATATTTTAATTTCCACCCTACATTATATATTTGTGTAAATTTTCAAATTCATAAATCCAAGATATGGACAAAAAGTGGTAACTACAAAAAAAGAAAACTAAGTAATTGGGGTCACATTACAATCATTAATGGTTATATTCGCATTTAGCACCCCAAATTACCAGTGTCATTTTATTGATAGGACTCACCAGTGGCGACGCGTGACTTTTCCTAAACTGTTATCAAAACCAGATGTGAAAAACCTTATTAAAAAAAAGTTTATTTTGAACCTCCCAAATATAAGTTTTTGCTTATCGTAGGTATTTTATTTAAATTATCTTTAAATTAAGGTAAACATTCCTGGACTGAGTGTGTCTGGGGCACTTGATATACCTCATCGTCTTATGCTATGACTAATCCAAGCCGTCCGAAAAAACAGTCGACGTTTCTAGATGTTCGGAAATTTTTTGATCTTTTTTGGCAATGAATGTTAATAATTCCCTGTAATTTCCTCTATTGTCAGAGTCATCCCCTTCAAAATGAATGGGAATTCCTGTTTTGCCAAAAAACATACCGTATCTAGAAGTGTGCTGCCTAAAAGCTGGGTTAAGATAACTTTCGATTCTTGTTTTGCCAAACTGAATTAAATTGGCTACACATCTCGTATGTAACGGAGACATTTCATGCCTCCTATTTAGAGCCCTAAAACTATTTAAATTATTGACTCCGCTGCTGGTCCACCCATTTTTTTCTGTATAAAACAGATGACATCGCCAACAATACAATCTGTTTTTTTGCAACCACATAACCCAAGAGTTTCCATATACCAACTTAATTTAAAATATCCAACTACGTTTTTTTATTCCTTTTTAAAATTATCTAAAATAGGTGTTGGTCTTCCATCTTCAATGATGTCCTTTTTTTTCTTAAAAATTGTACAAGGAGAATGACTTTTCAAGTAGTTGATCGATTACGCAGCGACGCTCATCCATGTTTAATTGCACGCACACTACAGCCGGTAACCATGGTAACAAGCCCACATAATTGTCGCATCGCCCCACCCACTCGGGCGACCGCGATCAGACACGAGCCGGCTCCGAAGGTCCCCGACGGACTACCAAGTGTATCCATAAATTAAAATGGTAACAACCGCCAACCAAGTCAACTTCATCGTGTTCTCAAAACCTAGTCACTATAGGTCGCATTATTTTCATGGGGCTAATTTGCTATTTACTGAATTACTATTACATATCGCTGTTGGTAAACAAATAAATGAAATTATTTCACAGTACTTAGGCATAAAATATTTATTTCTAAGATTTTTAACTATTACCAATGGTTACATGGACGCTTCGCCACTGGGACTCACGTGATGTCCAAGCAACCCATTTTCTGCATCATTTATTATGCTTACACTATTTTATTGGACAAGAGAATGAATAAAAAGTTCATTGTAAATGGAGTATGGAGGAATAAAAGTCGTTTATATTCCGGATGTTTTATTGCAGTAATCATAATTCACTGCAAATGAAAACAAATAATATATTAGATACATTGATATAACATATACAAATCTATACCATAACATCTAAATAAACTGTCTCAACATTACACATTCAAAACTGGAAAGTTTGGTAAAGATAAATAGAATTACAACTGAATTTTTCTTATCCTCGGTCTACAAAACAAATGATATGAATGAATATCTACAAATTTCATTAAAAGCTGCTAAGACTATGGACACGGAAATAATTTGCGGAAACGTAAAAAAATATAAAATGTTGCAAAACAATATATAAAAAGGTACAAAGATCTACAACATAGCAAAAATAACAGTTCAACCAAGCAAACACACAGTATTGGTTACAATTTTTCTCATGAATAATGGTGTTACTACATTTTATTGTCTTTATTAGACATTCAAGCTTTGCTGTTTATACTGAAGAAGATATCAAATAATTAATGTCTTAAACCACCTTTTTTTGTACACAAAAGTCACAAGCTCGAGACAAAAATGGTCTCTGCTGGAAACCATTTGAGTTACTAGGCTTTGTGCACCATCCTCGAATTATCAAGTGAACAACAAAATGTACTATGTAACAATAAATTCTGAACAGCACCAAAAAACTAAAAGCAAAAATGGAGGTGGCAACTATGTTACAAAAATGAATTTCCTAATATTTGCATTCACTGATCCTTTGTGTTCATCCCGAGTGTGTTAGTATCCACAGTAGCCGAGACAAGCCTGTCATTTGAGTGAAGCGACTCGTTGACGTCTTCAGTGATATACTTCATCCTTTTGAATGGTAGATCTTCATTGGGCAGATATTCATCAATCTCTGGCTCGATGAACCCCTTTTTATTCAACCCTCCATAGTCACTATTGACAAACATCTCTGGCTTGTCCTTGAATAAAAAATACACAGGTTAAGAGCAATGTCACTTGGTGACATTAGAAGTGTTACACCCAGGCAACGAGGTAGTCTTATAGAAAATGAAACGATAACAATCTCACGAAATATTATTGACAATAGAAAAAAAACACAATAATTAATAACTGGAACTTCATGGATTAGCTGTAGCAGAGTCTGTCCCATCATATCCCAGGCATGTTTAATGAGATTTAAATCTGAAGAACGGGGTGGCCACGGCAAAACATTAACGCCTGCTTCTTGGAGAAAATCCGTAGTACGACGAGCAATATGCAAATCAAATATCACGTCGTTCTACGCCTCACCCTTTTACGACCATCGGGCGTACCTAGAAAGAATAGCGATTGGTCGCTGAAAATGACATATGCCACTGTGCCTCCCAATGTTGCCGTTCTCTGGTCCAGTTAAAACGTTCACGTCAGTGGTCCGCAGTCAGAGGAAGCACTAACCGTCGACGGTATGAAAAAAGTCCAAAAGATCGAATGCGGCGATAGAGTACACGCACCTTCTTCTCCAAACCATTGGTCAGCGATCTGACGCGTAGTCGCAAAACGGTCTGGCAGGGCTAGTTGTGTGAAGCGCATATCTTGACGCTCTGTTGCACGCCTCAGTGGACCAGTTGGCCTTCGTGTTCCTCTACCTTCTTCTATCCACACACGACACACACGCATTACCGTCATTGCAGTATAATTAACACGGCGGTCAATTTCGCGATAGGACAAACCAAAATGTGATAATTTGAACGTCTTCAAACTCGAGGCATTTTGTTATGCGGAACACCAGTAAATGAAAGGGCAATAACTAAAAATATCTGTACTACTCGGCTCTCAGAAACTGCTTTCTTTACAAAAACTAAGAAATAACATTTTAGCAAAGGTAAACAAAAACAAAGATAAAACATTGATCTTGTTGCCAGGGCATGCTTTACATATCATTGTTGCCAAAAAACAAGTTGAAGACATTCTTGTTTCTGGGTGTAACACTTCTAGTGTCGCTGATTATGTTTGAAAATCTTATTTATTGTAGTAAATGCTTTGGTCATAACAGTACATGAGACTTTTGTGAAGTGAAGTCACAATAGCACTCTGTAGACAAAAACTAAAGTCAAAGTGGAATTTCAAACCACACAAGTCTTTAACTTTTTTGATACCGAGTGTTTCAGTACCGTGAAACCTGTTCTGACAATCACAAACCGATGGTTGAACAATAACTGAAAGAAAATAAGATAAAATCCTTACCCTCTCCAAAAATCCTCTTACGGCTTCAACTACCTTGCCGAACAATCCCACATTGGAACTGTTGTTCTCAGAAAGCAGTCCTCCATACTTCTTCTCCATCTCCTCAATCATCTTGGTGAACTCCTTGTCGGTGGAGTTCTCGATGTCCAACTCCTCCGCAAGTTTTGCGCGGTTGTAGTCGTCTTCATCTTTGAAGATCAGGAACTCCTCCATGTTCACTGTGTCGTCTTCTGTCGCTTGTGGGCTATAAAGAAAAAAATAAAATTTGATATATTTCTGGGTACATGAAAAAAATATAAAGGATAGCAGGACTACTACAGAGTTTTACCACTCTCAAAACACCTGACACGTGTTGCGCTAACGATGTTAGCAACTTCAGGGGAAGATTAAGCGGGGTGTTCACAGGGTATTGAGATTAGAAAATTTTAAATTAACATTCTTGAGATACTAAACTGAATCGTGCAGCCTCACGCGGACGGTCCTGGTAGCCAGTAGGATAGTTCACACTTTTTTTAAGTAGGTCTTAAATAGTTAATATGTGTCCTAAAAGACTGTAAAACTTTAATCTAAAAATATATATTTCTTAAGCCGCGTACAGACCGAGATTCCAACGGAAGCCAAGGCACATGTGGTTACAGATTTGGAGGTGTTC